AAATTGGAGGAAAAAATCAGAGGACCCAGAGAAAAATCCACATGACCACAGGGAGAGAGACACGCAAACTCGAAATATACAACAGGCGTCAGGGTCGGGATCGAACACAGGACCTGTATACCAGGTGAGGTAGTTAACATCTCGCCACCGCCGGGTGTTGTTATTGGTCCTCCACAGGCAAAACTTTGGACAGGTTTCCACATTTAGTGTCTAATCAGAAGTCAGCCTTACTTAGACATATGCCAGTGGACTTCCCAATGTTATAGATATGAATCCGAGTTCAGCACAAAACTAAATAATCCGACACAAAATAACCATGATCTCTGTTGTGAAGATTAGAAGGAAAGCAATAAATAAGCAGACAATTCGCCCCCTTTCCCATATCTGGGTCAAGCGAGGGCAGTGGGCAACCCTAGCAATGACAACTGAGGCACCCGCGCCCATCTCTCAGGAGACCAGTGCCACACACACCTGTGCTTATGTGCATGGCTCGCCAAGGCCTGGCATGCCGAGGCCGCGTTGGCATCGCTCCTCGGTGCCTGTGCGGCGTTTGGCGACGGCCGGGTGCCGTTGCTAGCGCCAGCGCCATTCTCACTCCTCGCACTTCCCGAGGCGCCTTCTGCAAGAGCTGGAGAATTCCCGTGTCCTGAAAAAACAAAGTGATCGGTGAATATTTTGAAGACTCTTTTCGTTGCGAACGAGTTTTATTTCAGCAAATTATTAAATCGGTTTGAACGCGTTCCCCCTACGCTTTGATCACGACACGAGAATCAGTTTCTAGGGTCGAGGGTACAAAACGCAAACGAGGAAACAAGAGATGGGGGAGGAGCGCCGACGATGGCAGAGGGAGGATTGGCAAAGGGAAAGTGCGGCGCGCATAGCCAGAGCCTGCCTGCTCGCCATTGGCTGGAGGGCACCATCTGTCAACGGTTAACGTTTAAGTAAATCGCTTTACGGCTCACTATACGAGCCGCACGCACGAGAGCGGGGCAACACCTCAGGATTTAAATGTAACGGTGGGCGTGAGCTTGCACGGGCCGCCTGTAACCCCTGGCGCGTTGTGTCCGGGTCACGCTGCATGCGTAGCGTCGCTTCTCTATCAGGCTTGTGCCACGGAACCACTTGCTGGGGGTGTCTTCACGAGTTGACTTCGGCTCCTGACGATGACAGAACGCTCATAACGGAGCCCAACTCAGAAGCCCTTGGACTTGGTTTAGTTGATTATTGCAAATGTCAGTCTCTATCTGTTTCCTTGAAAGTTTTTTTTTCCTCATATTTCTTCATTAACATTTAATGACGCAGGGTACATTTTCAGCAATAAACACGTCATAATGCATCATTTATTTCTGAGTCCATTGTTGAAATCTTACAGGGGAGGGATGGAGGGGGTGAAGGATGGGAGGGTATGTATATAGAACTTCTTTCGCACCGTATGTAGCCAACCGAAGTGACGTGGTTTGGGATATTTTTTTAATGTTCTTACATAATGGTGTACTTAAATCATTCTTGATGTAACTCGGGTTGCCCTTGCAAACGAGGCAATGCTGTTTCATGCCTTTCAGCGGGTTCACGTCACCTCCCGGTTAAAATAAAGGAGACCAACTGGATTTGCCTCACGACTAAGCGAACGACGATCGCGGTTTTTACGTGGCGACGTCTAACCTGGTGCCGGCGGCTCGCGGCAATCTTCTGACGGAGCCACGTGAAGAGAGCGAATCAGCGCATCGCTGGGGAGGGCGCCATCGAGGGCCGGGCCCCGTGTCGCGCCCGCTGCGTTGGCGGCGGCTGCCACGCCGAGCTTCAGCATGGAGGCAATGTCCACGCCGCCGAGAGGGGAGCAGAATCCCGCCATGAGCATGCCCTGAAGTGTACTGCCGGCAGCCTTCCGATTCTGTTGGGAGCAGGACGAACAGATTCACATCGACTTGGGCACAATCTCGGTACAGTGGCGCGCACGGGAAAACACGCCAGTGGCGCCTGTGTGTCAAACGTGGTCCGTAACTGCATAGGGTTTTTGTCGCTCTCCTAAACATGGCGCAGCTGACGTTGAATGGGATTTAACACTGCGGCTGTTAGAATAATGGGCGACAGAGAGTCTTCTTCGTCACACTGTATGGAATGTGTGTAGGAGAAACCGCGTGATAAATTCATCTTATGACTGGAAGTGTCCCATTAACCGCAGGGCTCAGTGTCTGAGGGTTGCTCAGAAACACTGTGAGAGTGTAGCTGGGGCAGTGAGTGATGGAAGAGATGCGAGGGCACAAATAGGAGACAGGAGAGACACAGCAGAGACACTGGAGAGACACAGCAGAGACACGGGAAAGACGCAGGAGACAGGAGAGAAACAGGAGAGACACAGGAGACATACGAGATGCAGGAGACACGGGAGAGATGCGGGAGAGCAAGACGCATGCGACGCCCTCACCTGCTGATGCTGCTGCACCATGCCCATGAGGCTCTGTGCGCCTGGAGACAGCGTTGCTCCCATCGACTCCATCATGGAGCACACCCTGTCCATGTCCACCGTGGGCGTCACACCGGGAATCATCACCGCTCCACCCAGGGCCCCTCGCTCACGAACCAACACGGTCAGGGTTCTGATCCTCACATACTCCTTGTCACCCAGGGACATCAACTAAACAAAAAAACAGCGGTGACAGTGTTAAATGTGCAGAATAAAAACAGAGTTCTAAAATTAGTCCTGCATTTTAAAATGTTACCAATTCAGTGTTGTACCTTGACGCTATGAATAAAGGAGCAGCTTATTATTTTTCCATAATTCCTAAATTACAAAGTTTCACATCACTTTGGAAGACAGAGCTTGCTTCCCATCAACATCAGGCCCGACTAGGCCTTAAGAAGCCTGAAGTTTATCAGGCGAGGCCCGAGGAAGCCTGAAGTTTATGCCAGTTAAGGCTTCATCAGCCGAACTGCAGCTGCTGCTACTGCCACTCTACAGTCTGCTGCTTGTTACGCAAGCTACTGCTGCTGTTGGTGTCGTGTGTGCTGCTGCTACGCAAGCTACTGCTGCTGCTGGTGTCGTGCGTGCTGCTGCGCATGTTGCTGCTACGCATGCTATGGGTGCTACAGCTGCTGCGCGTGCTACTGCTGCTGTTGGTGTCGTGGGCTGCTGCTGCTGCACATGCTACTGCTGCTGTTGGTGTCCTGTGTTGCTGCTGCACATGCTACTGCTGATGTTGGCGTTGTGTGTGCTGCTGCTGATGTGTATGCTGCTGCTGTTGGTGTTGTGCGTGCTGCTGCTGTGTATGCTGCTGCTGCTGTTGGTGTTGCTGCTGCTGCACATGCTACTGCTGCTGTTGGTGTTGTGTGTGTTGCTGCTGCTGTACATGCTACTGCTGCTGTTGGTGTTGTGTGTTGCTGCTGCTGCACATGCTACTGTTGCTGTTGGTGTTGTGTGTTGCTGCTGCTGCACATGCTACTGCTGCTGTTGGTGTTGTGTGTTGCTGCTGCTGCACATGCTACTGCTGCTGTTGGTGTTGTGTGTTGCTGCTGCTGCACATGCTACTGCTGCTGTTGGTGTTGTGTGTTGCTGCTGCTGCTGCTGCACATGCTACTGCTGCTGTTGGTGTTGTGTGTTGCTGCTGCTGCACATGCTACTGCTGCTGTTGGTGTTGTGTGTTGCTGCTGCTGCTGCACATGCTACTGCTGCTGTTGGTGTTGTGTGTTGCTGCTGCTGCACATGCTACTGCTGCTGTTGGTGTTGTGTGTTGCTGCTGCTGCTGCACATGCTACTGCTGCTGTTGGTGTTGTGTGTTGCTGCTGCTGCACATGCTACTGCTACTGCTGCTGTTGGTGTTGTGTGTTGCTGCTGCTGCACATGCTACTGCTGCTGTTGGTGTTGTGTGTTGCTGCTGCTGCACATGCTACTGCTACTGCTGCTGTTGGTGTTGTGTGTTGCTGCTGCTGCTGCTGCACATGCTACTGCTGCTGTTGGTGTTGTGTGTTGCTGCTGCTGCACATGCTACTGCTGCTGTTGGTGTTGTGTGTGCTGCTGCTGCACATGCTACTGCTGCTGTTGTGTTGCTGCTGCTGCATGTTTGCTGCTGCTGCCACTTGGTCTAGAGCAGGCGGTTTGTACAGATCTATATTTGTGTTCGGGTCAGCCACATAGTAGTTTATGCCGAAACTCTTGTAAGTTTGGCATAGAATATGTGACCTAACCCAAACAATATATATTTGTTTTAATTATAACAAAAAAATCCAGCTTTATAACATTCCTCCGGTGTTGCTGAAAAACGAAATCAATTGGCATATTTGTCCATGTCACAACTTAATTTTATTTGCTCTGTTGGGTGGTGGAGGGATATAGATTTTAAAAAAAACTGACACCGACACAATCGACACAATCTCACCCAAAAGAAACTAATTGTGAATCAAATACGGATCATATTGGCTTCGAAAACCTAAGTTTGTTGGTATAGAGTCACAATCTGTGAGCACACCTTTGACGAGGACGGTTGGCTATGTACGGTGTGAAAAAAGTTCAACATGCATACATACAGCGTTACAGCCACACACAGGTGACATTCACCCTCCTGTTACACCCCCACACCTAATTCGCTCATCGACCCGTCTGTGGTCTACGGAGACCGGGAGGACAGACGGCGACTTGAGTAGCAGCTGGTGACGAAGTCACACGAACAGTCACTCCCGAATAAAGTAAAAAAAAATTGTTTTTATCAATGCTGCGGAAACTTCAAACCTAAAGTTGATCTGTGCCCAAACTAACAACGATGTGGCACTCATTCTACTAACAAGGTCAAGCAACCTGGTGGAAATTCCATAAACACGTGGCAGAGGTAACATCTCGTGATGGCGAGCATGTTAAATACCGAGCCTAGTAAACAGGAGGTCGTGAGTTCGATCCCAACCCTGACGCCTGTATATTTGGAGTCTGCGTGCGTCTCTCTCTCTCTGACGTGTGTTTTTTTTCTCTGGGTCCTTAGGTTTTTACCTCCACATTTGGAAAAATGCATTCAGAGTATTTGTCTGCTATAAATTTCCACATGATGAGTCACTTCGTTCAGCTATAATTTGTGGCCAGGTCGCTTGTGAAAGAAAGCTATACAGCTCAGTGGGCCTTACCTGGTAAAATAAAATACAAATTGTCATTAAAAAATGCCATTGTCATTGTCATCTACCAAAGCGATCTACATTTGATTCATCTCAGGGAATAATTGGTGGTTTGAACTCACAGCCTTCCCGCTCTGAGTCGAGCACTCACCATGGAGCTGCCGGGCCGAGCATCTCACGGACATGCGTGGAGTGTCTGGAGTTCGGTGGAGTGCGTGGAGCATGTGGAGTTCGTAGGGCACGCGGGGGGAGAGCGTGGATTATGTGGAGAGTGTGAAGTGTGTGGAGAGTGTGGAGTACGTGGAGAGTGAGGAGTACGTGGAGTGTAGAGTGTGTGGAGTGCGTGGAGTGTTTGGAGTTCGGTGAAGTGCGTGCAGTGAGTGGAGCTCGTAGGGCACGTGGGGAGTGGGTGGAGTATGTGGAGAGTATGGAGAGGGTGGAGACACAGCCGATGGTCACGAGCTTTGCTTGCCTTGAGCTCGCAGGATGGCGATGGAAACTCGAGACAGATGTGTGTCTTGTACAGGTTCACTTCTTCACCACTGCACGCGACAACACGACGGAAAGATGCAGAATGGGGTTATTTTTTTATTAAGAAAATTAATTTTGTGTACGCATACGTGATGAAAAAGTGACACCTGTGAATTCGTGCATTTGTGGAAGTAAAAAATATACAACTATGATTTTTTCAATGAATAGCATTGAGTCGTTATTCATAATATATTTTTGGGATAGGCCACGTAAGAATGATCTGGCCAAATGTATATTGTCAGACCCTCAAATGAAACTGTGAAGGGTACAAGTGTTTAACACGCGCCCATCAGACTCGTCCTAACTTCTTCAGTTCTCACGGTTAAACAAAATAAACCTGAATGTTAACGTGCCAATTGTTTCAGCTCACCACGATAGGGTGACGAACTTATCTTAAAACATGAGATTATATCTAAGTGCTACATTTATTTGTATTATCTGTCCTCACTCAAAAATCTATTATGAATGATAATATTGGCCACGAAAACCTGGTATGTGTTACATCAACACCGAATTCTATTCGAAACTTCCAATTGTGCCAAATGGAAACCATACAAAATGATGTGCCACAGTGCGTGTGTAATGGTGCATCACGATGCGTGTGTCACGGTGTGTGTGTCACAGTGCGTCACGGTGTGTCACGGTGTGTCACGGTGCATCACGGTGTGTGTGTCACGGTGCGTCACGGTGCGTCACGGTGTGTCACGGTGTGTGTCACGGTGCATCACGATGCGTGTGTCACGGTGCATCACGGTGTATGTGTCACGGTGTGTGTGTCATGGTGTGTGTGTCACGGTGTGTCACGGTGCATCATGGTGCATGTGTCAAGATCCATCACTGTGTGTCACGGTGCGTGTGTCACGGTGTGTGTCACGGTGCATCACGGTGCGTGTGTCACGGTGCATCACGGTGTGTGTGTCACGGTGTGTCACGGTGTGTCACGGTGTGTTACGGTGCATCACGGTGTGTGTGTCACGGTGCGTGTCACGGTGTGTCACGGTGCATCACGGTGTGTGTGTCACGGTGCGTGTCACGGTGTGTCACGGTGCGTGTCACGGTGTGTGTGTCACGGTGCGTGTCACGGTGTGTCACGGTGCATCACGGTGTGTGTGTCACGGTGCGTGTCACGGTGTGTCACGGTGCATCACGGTGTCTGTGTCACGGTGCGTGTCACGGTGTGTCACGGTGCGTGTCACGGTGTGTGTGTCACGGTGCGTGTCACGGTGTGTCACGGTGCGTGTCACGGTTTGTGTCACGGTGTGTTACGATGCATCACGGTGGGTCACGGTGTGTGTCACGGTGTGTGTCACGGTGTGTGTCAAGGTGCGTCGGTGTGTGTCACGGTGTGTGTCACGGTGTGTGTCACGGTGTGTGTCACGGTGTGTCACGGTGTGTTACGATGCATCACGGTGTGTCACAGTGTGTGTCACGGTGTGTGTCACTGTGTGTGTCACGGTGTGTGTCACGGTGTGTCACGGTGTGTGTCACGGTGCGTCACTACACAGTTGCTGTCCTCTCCCTCTGTGGCTGGAACAAGTTCCCCGAGGAAATCCGCACACTCGACTCCATCACTACAACAACGCGTCTCTTTGCACTTGCATGCAAAAACTAACTCAATGCCACAACTTGCTTTTATGTTTATTGTATAATGTTTTCTCTCTCACTGTATAGAATCGTGTATTTTTATGTTCACGAGCATCAATGCGATGATGGCCCTTTGGGTGGCCGCAGGTTTGTGCCAGAAAAGCGCCACGAGGTTAAGCAAAAAAAACAGATTTGACTCGAGTGGACATGGGTGGGAGTGCCGGGGAGGGACCATGGTGGAGCCGGCTCCTCCATACTTGTCAGGACAATGTACTCCTCCAGGCAGAGGCTGGCCCCGCGCGCTCCCCACGTACTCCCCCTCGGCGTACAGCTCCACGGTTCGCGCTTCGCTCTCCAGGCTCACGGCAGCCACCGAAAGTTCGCGGCCGGAGCAGCTCAGCTCCACCAGACAACTGCTGCTGCTGCCCTGCTGCTGCTCCTCCCCACACGGCCTGCACAGCCGCACCAGCTCCACCCTGTTGCAATACAAAGATCCACTGTATAGCCTGAACAGACTGTTTGGTGTTGGATATGAGCTTTTTCCAAAATTGATATGAATGATATTAGCTGATAAAATTGTTTTAATAATAACCGAAATAATGAATAAAAACACACAAACCCAGAACCAGAAAACAGCATATGGAGGTCGTGGAAAGGCCATTAAAAAAATGAAATAGTGAACTCCGGGGCAAAGAAGTTTAACGATTATTTGCGAAATCTTCAGATGGCAACGGGAGGACGGTGACAAAGGGTATCTGTTTTCTCTCTCTCAAGAGTCAGCCAGAGAGAGAGCCTCCCGGCCGCCTTTGTCTTCCCGCAGCACGAGAAATGAATTTAATCCCTAGCGAGGAATTGCTTCTAGATTTGAAGCTTTCGTGACTGCAAGGATCCATACTCTTTGGTTCTATTCGGTAAAGTCACGTAGGTAAAAAATAAAACAACAAAAATCACGACGTTTCGGCCACAACACAAGTGGCCTTCATCAGGAGAAGGGACCAGACTGTCTCAAGGACAGCGCTGGAGTGAACACAGCCAAGCTCAGACCGCGACCTTTAAGCTTGTGTGAGAGGAATTAAGGTGACTTGACAAAGGAATTATAATAAAAATTGGCATTCAATTGGCGGACTTAGCATGATGAACGGTGTAGAGGGGGTGAACATGTGCAGACCGGCGAGGGGGGGAGGGGGAGTTTACATATTGATGGTGTGAAAAGGGAATTTGAGCAGCTGCGAAAGTTTGGGATGCCACTACTTGAAAAAAGATACTATCATTGAAAATTAGTTTAATGTTTGGTTCGATTTAGAACATCTTTCCAATGGTTGCTTAATTTGAAACCATCTTCTCGGTTGAAATTGTGTCTGTGTTTGTAAATTTGAATTGCCTCATGAACAAATCTCTGATAAAAACCCGTGGGTTTGCAAAGAACCTTGGTATCGGAGAAAATTATATCGTGATCACCCACAGCGTTGTAACAGCGATCAGCTACGGCAGAAGAATTCGTTCTGCCATGTTTCAAATCTGATTTGTGCTCGCGAATTTGGTCAGAGACATGTCGTTTCGTCTCCCCGATATAGCAGTCACCACAGATTTGAAACACGGCAGAACGAATTCTTCTGCCGTAGCTGATCACTGTTACAATGCTGTGGGTGATCACGATATAATTTTCTCCGATACCAAGGTTCTTTGCAAACCCACGGGTTTTTATCAGAGATTTGTTCACGAGGCAATTCAGATTTACAAACACAGACACAATTTCAACCGAGGAGATGGTTTCAAATTAAGCAACCATTGGAAAGATATTCTTAGTTTTTTCGGTAAAGTCACGTTGAAGGGAAACAACAAAATAATAAAATATATATAAAACAATAAAAAAAATTCTCACGACGTTTCGACCATAACTCAAACGGTCGTCTTCAGGTGTGTTAGTTTGCATAAACGTATTTTTAAACGGCGCATTTATTTATTTATTTAGAAAAACTAAAATCGTTAGCGCCACGCGCAACGATTTGCCAGTTTATTTAGGACTAGTCCATCTATATTCTGAAAAGAGGAGGGGGAGACGAAATTTTTTATAATGTATGCTGTCTGAAAGCCACTGTAAGCGTGAACAATCAATTAAGACCTGAAATGGTTTATCAAATCTTTCCAATGATTGCTAAGATAGAATCCATCTTCTCGGTTGAAATTGTCTCTGTGCTTGTATATGTGGATAGCCTCATGAACGAATCTCTCATGGAAGCCAGATGGCTTACAAAGAACCTCTGTCTTGGAAAAGTCAATGGCATGTGAGCCTACTGAATTAGAACAATGATCTGCCACGGTCGAGGTGTTGGTCCTACCGTGTTTAAGGTCTGCTTTGTGTTCACGAATGCGGTCCGAGACATGGCGTTTGGTTTCTCCAATGTAACTACTACCACAGAGGCAACTTAGTTTGTAGACACCAGGGTACTGTATGTCCGGAATCACATCTTTTTAATGTTTGGTTCTAAATCTAACCAAACATTAAACTAATTTTCAATGGTACAGTATATTTTTTCAAGTAGTGGTATCCCAAACATTCGCAGCTGCTCAAATTCCCTTTTCACACCATCAATATGTAAACTCCCCCTCCCCCCCTCGCCGGTCTGCACATGTTCACCTCCTCTACACCGTTCACCATGCTAAGTCCGCCAATTGAATGAAAATTTTTATGCTAATTCCTTTGCCAAGGCACCTTAATTCCTCTCACACAAACTTAAAGGTCGCAGTCTGAGCTTGGCTGTGTTCACTCCAGCGCTGTCCTCGAGACAGTCTGGTCCCTTCACCTGATGAAGCCCACTTGTGTTGTGGTAAAAACGTCGTGATTTTTGTTTTATTTTTTACCTACGTGACTTTACCGAATAGAACCAAAGAGTGAGGAATTGCAGGGAGGGAGCCATCTGTATCCCCCGGGTGAAGGGATACCTTGGGGAGGGTACGGTGGTCAATGGGGGGACGCAGGATGGCTTGATGGGATGACACACACACGAACGCACACACACACACATAGGCCACGCCCCCACCACTGCGCAGAGCGGAGATTTTTCTTCGAATATAACAGCCCAACCATCATCTCGAAAAACCAGTTCAACAAGGCACAGCGAGTTCAACAAGGTCAATCGGCCCGGCGAGCTACAGAAGAGGGCACGAGCGGCTGGCTCCAACGAGCCCCGCGATCAAACTAAAGATGACGAGACTCGCAGGGTAGCGAGGTGCCACCGAGTGTGAGTTCAGAGCTGAAAGAAGACGAGCGTGTGCCGACTTGGCTCATCCTGCAGCATAAAGAGCCTGTATCTGCCAGCACGAGCAGCCAAGCCGACGCCTCGAACGAGAACAAAGCCCAGTGGAAAGAGCCTGCTGCTGCCAGCAAACCAGCAGCCAAGTGTGTGCCGACTTGGCTCATCCAGCAGCGGAGAGAGCCTGCTGTCAGCGAACAAGGAGAGAGCGCGTTCGGGCATCTCCACAGAGAGAGCGCATGCAGCAGCTACTACAGCAGTGGAGAGAACCTGCTGTCAGCGAACCAGAGAGAGCATTCGGGCATCTCAATAGAGAGAGCGCAGTCATCCAGCAGTGGAGAGAGCAAGAAAAAGCAACGAAGCCGTTGTAAGACACGCCCACCCTCACACCCTCACCGCTCCGCAAGGGATGAACACATTTTTGATACAAGGGATGCCCAACCTCGGCGTTTGCTTGATGCAAGAAGATCAACAACACTCACACATTAACACATACAAGAAGACTCATAAGTGCGTCAACTATTAACTGATAACGAAAAACATTGCGGCCCATTGAGCTACGTGGATACGGTCACTTAGAAGTATTTGAGTCGTTCGTTTTTTTATTGCATAATCTTGCAGATGTATCCATGAATGAACATGACGAATCTATTGACGGATACTTGTGCTTTTGGGAAATAATAATTGTTTGATTGCCTTATCATATGAATATCGTTGCATAATAATCAATCGCCTGCTGCCCTGTTAACAACATGACAAGAATTGCATTAAGGGTGGCATATGATCAATAATGAGTGCAGTACTGCGTGGGCAATTCAAGTATAATCATTCATAAGAGCTCGCATTACGCGGTGGAATCAATCACATGTGCCATCGCCAAAGTGAAACAACGCAATTAATGGTTACTGTGTTGGAATTCCAAGCCGAGAGTTGCATCTTTTAGAGTTAAGGTTTAGTTAGAAAATAAATTGATTAATGCAGAAGTGGTTGCGTGTTTCTTTCCTGTTTCAAGCATAATAATCTTGTTGACAAGAACTGTATTCTGCGTTGCGATCTGAATTCGGAGACCTAACATAAACACACTAACACACTCAGTAAATGTTAAAGCGAAAATAATTGTATTGCCGAGCGTTAATACGAAATTAAACAACAAAACGGAGCTTACTCTGGCATACTTACATCACACTGGCATAAAGTAATACGATCAATTGCATGATCCCGATTGATAATCCGACCCTCGTCAGCGAGGCGGGGCCTAATTATCATAATGGCTCACATTAGCATAATCACACACTCGCATAAATGTATACGATCATCACTCGAATTAGCATAATTTATATGCATAATTACATCAATTAACATAATTGGGATAATTACGCAATTTTCCAAATTTCATTAAATTTTTATTATTTTAATCAAATTTTCATAACCGACATATACAACATGGGGCAAGTGCTGTTAGCGAGCACCTATGAAAGCCGGCACAGCACACGAGGAGGTGGGTGGCCAACGCCACGCCCGGCCACCTTTGTCTCCCCAGTGGCGATATTTACACACCGCACTAGGTACTCATTTCAGGCTGAGTCGACCTAGGGGAGGACGCCCAGGACCGTTTCAGATAATCGTCACTGGTGCTGGCCGTGAGCAGGAATCGAACTTGGGTCGCCGGGTTCGTAAAGCAGTGCACTAACCTCGGCATTACCGCTCCACAGCCTGCTGCACACACGCACCGGCACAAACACACAAGGACAAGCTAAACCTCCATCACGGTAACAAAATAATTCTATCCCATGGTTGCGTATGGCAGCGGTATGTCCAGGAGTTAGATGCCCATGCCAAGCTCTGTTCGCCACAACCAGATGCCTTCAGGGGCAGAGAGTTTTTGTAATTTGCTGTTCCTCCTCCGTTGAAGGAGTGCAGACTACAGATTAGGAGCACTCCCTTTAAGAGTGTGCTCCTAATCTCAGCTCGTTACCTGTGTAGTGCCTTGGATTCACTCGGACGACAATCGCCTTTCTTCCACCGTCAATTTTATTTCCATCGTTCCGCACACACACACTATATAATTACACACACACTATATATAATTTCACACACACACTATATATTTCACACACACACACTATATAATTACACACACACACACTATATATAATTTCACACACACACTATATATAATTTCTCCTCTCCGCGCTCCGCCAACTCGAACACTCGAATTCCCCTCAGCACTGTCCGCTCATACTCCTTGTCTCCACACACAGTCTCTTCTTCTCTCACCGCACACACAGTGTTCCTATCTCTAGCTCCTCACACACAGTGACTCGTCTATCTCTTCACACACAGTGACCTGTCTATCTCCTCACACACAGTGACTCGTCTATCTCTTCACACACAGTGACTCGTCTATCTCTTCACACACAGTGGCTCGTCTATCTCTTCACACACAGTGACTCGTCTATCTCTTCACACACAGTGGCTCTATCTCCTCACACACAGTGACTCGTCTATCTCTTCACACACAGTGGCTCTGTCTATCTCTTCACACACAGTGACCTGTCTATCTCTTCACACGCAGTGACTCAGTCTATCTCTTCACACACAGTGACCTGTCTATCTCCTCACATACAGTGACTTGTCTATCGCTAACTCTCCCTGTACCTACCTATACCGTAATCTCCACTCTGCTCACGCTAACTCTCGCTGTCGCTATTTATTGTCCTCTGGGTTTGGCTCTCAATCTATTCTCCACTAACACTTGCCGGGCTTCCACTCTTCGCGTCTCTCTCTACCCGCTGCTGTCTCCACTTCTCGCCAACAACTCCCCTCACCGTCCAAATCACCTAACGTTTTTATCCCCTTTCCAATCAGCCTTAATTAATTGCCACGTGCCTCGCTAGCATTTTCCCGCCAGCTCCGCACCTGTCCAACGGCCCAGACTCCGTGACGCCGCCACTTAACGGTAACAGCCTCTCGACCAGTCACAGCCCTCGTCCCTTGACTCCCTTAATTACTTTGGCTTGTTTACGCCACCCGTGACTTCATCACCTGATCGAACTTACATGACCCACACTGTTTGTATGCACTGTATATGGCCAACTTACCCATGTGTATTGTCTACTCAACTACATCTGTATAAAAGACACCTGGGAGCCAGAAATCTTTCTGATTGAGAGGGGGTCAAATACTTATTTCCCTCATTAAAATGCAAATCAATTTATAACACTTTTGACATGCATTTTTCTGGATTTTTTTTGTTATTCTGTCTCTCACTGTTCAAATAAACCTACCATTAAAATTAGAGACTGATAATTTATGTCAGTGGGCAAACGAACAAAATCAGCAGGGGATCAAATACTTTTTTCCCTCACTGTATCTCTGAGTCTCTCTGTATCTCTGAGTCTACTACATGGTCTATAGTATTGGTTGCATGTCCACACTCGCAGTGGCCTGTCGCTAATGTCTCTCTATAGTTTACTGTATGGCTCATAGTCCATTGCCACACATTCAATTAGCGATCACGTCCTCCTTCTTTAGCAATTACGTAGCAGCCCCTCAACAGTACAGCAGCATCGTGTTTACGCATCACATTAGCCACGTGGCCTTCCATCCGGGGCTGCTCAACATCATGAGCAACACAATTACTTTAACGCAAGCAACGCTCTGGAACGGCTTCAACATTTAGCGTCTCATCAGCAGTGCAGTCAAGCTTTATTAAAGTAAATACATCCCGTGCGCGACAACGTCACACCATACCTGTCACTGCTTCGTGATAGACCAAGTCTCATCACAAGGGAGAAACACAAACAAATAGACAACTGTTGTTGTTGCCCGTATCGAAACGGCTGTACGCCGCATGTACCTGAAACATCGATGTCCCTGTACAAGAATACGGGGTAAACCCTGTGGGTTGGCACGGCGTGGCAACAACGCAATAGGCAACGTCGCTGTCAAAATCTGCAAGTAACGCCGCGGTAAGGAGTGCAGCGTGAGGGTCGCCTACCGCGCGGGCGGGCGGGCGGACAGCGATGACCCGGCAACAACAAGGGCTGGGCCTAACTCGGCCCCCCGGCCCCCTCCCTGACTCCACTCACCCGTCCCCAGGGCCCCCCCGGCCCCCCGCTCTGCCCGCCGTCTCCTCCTCCTCCTCCCGCACCACCCGCAGCGCGGCAGTCAGAGGGGGGCCCCGCGCGGCCCCCCACGCGCTCCGCACCGCGCACGGCGCGCCGCCCCCCCAAGGCCCCGCGCCGCCACTCATCGCGGTGCGGCCGCCAGGGTCGGTGAGGGATGGTGGAGGGGGGCACAGAGAGGAGAGAGGGAGGAGAGGAGAGGGAGGAGAGGGAGGGAGGAGAGGAGAGAGGGAGCGGGAGGAGAGAGGGAGCGGGAGGGAGGAGAGAGGTCGCCGCCGGGAGTCGTCGATTCCCCCTCGATTCACACAGAGAGCGAGGGACGCGCGGTCCGCCCCGACTCGTCGCCCGCACGCCGCCCCTGAGCCGAGTGGCCTCGGCAGGACCTTCTTGGTCACGGCCCTCGCCTTCTTGGTCACGGCCCTCGTCCTCTTGGTCACGGCCTCCGCCCTCTTGGTCACGGCCCTCGCCCTCTTGGTCACGGCCCTCGCCCTCTTGGTCACGGCCTCCGCCCTCTTGGTCACGGCCCTCGCCCTCTTGGTCACGGCCCTCGCCCTCTTGGTCACGGCCCTCGCCCTCTTGGTCACGGCCTCCGCCCTCTTGGTCACGGACCTCGCCCTCTTGGTCACGGCCCTCGCCCTCTTGGCCACGGCCTCCGCCCTCTTGGTCACGGCCCTCGCCCTCTTGGTCACGGCCCTCGCCCTCTTGGTCACGGCCCTCGCCCTCTTGGTCACGGCCTCCGCCCTCTTGGTCACGGCCCTCGCCCTCTTGGTCACGGCCCTCGCCCTCTTGGTCACGGCCCTCGCCCTCTTGGTCACGGTCCTCGCCCTCTTGGTCACGGTCCTCGCCCTCTTGGTCACGGCCCTCGCCCCGAGCCGCTCGGCCTTGCCGCGGAGTCAGCGGCTCGGGCTCAGCGCGGCGGCTCTGAGCCGATTGAGCCCGAGCCGAGCTGCGACTAAGAGAGCGGGGGCCACACGCGTTACTCACACGGACTTTGTTGTTAGAATTCGTGTCTCCAACTTATTCTCTCCATGTGACCCGAGTTGTGTGCATCTTCCACCTTTGTTTCATGGACCTCGTCCCTGTGTAAACGTCTGTTGCTTTGGCTTGCGAGGGGCTTGGATACATTGTTTCCTATGCTGTGCTTGAGAGAAGTGAAGCAGAGGATAGTTCCCCTTCCTACGCATCCCATCAGCCGCACGTCATCTCGGCAGCAATGGGCTCAACACAATTAGGAATTGTCAGCTTATTTATTTGTTTACGTATTTCTCCAGGAATTAAATGCTTGTCTGCTTGTTTTGTTATATCTCTCTCCCAAGACGCGGGATTCGCCACGTCTTGGCCAGAAGATCAACGTACAGTCTCATGGCTGTCAACCTCTTTATCAGTGCTCAATTCAGACCTCATTGGTCACCCTGTGCTTATACATATCAACGTTCATCCTACAAAGTCCCATCACAGCGGAGAAACACAAATCGTCCAGCATGTAACTAAACAAAACAAATAATGTATTTTGACATGGGGATGCACACTCATGTTGATTTTGTTGTTGTCCGTATTGAAACAGCTGTACGTCGTATGAGCCTGAAGACTCAATTCCCCTGCAACAGAACGGGGGGTCACCCGTGTGGGTTGGCACGGCGTGCCCAGTGCGCACAATGAGCTGTTACGCGTGAACACCACTGTACAATTACTGTACTTGAGCAGACCGGGGAATCGATTTGTGGTGAATCGGAATCGCGGTGCGAGAATCGCTCCGCGTGGGGGGGGGGGCAATGAGCGCGCGCTGTGATGACGTCATCGTGAGGGAGCGCGCCGCGGGTACCCCCGTGACGTCATTAGAAGCGGCGGAGACTCCGCGCGTGCGAGGTCGGCGCTGGCGATACAACTACAGCCACAACCACCTCAACAACCACAACCTCTACACTACTACAACAGCCACCACCACTACAACCACCTCTACAGCCACCACTACAACAACCACTACAGCCACCAACACTACACAACCACTACTACAGCCACAACCACTACACTACAACAACAACCATAACCACCTCGACAGCCACAACCACTACAGCCACCACCACTACACCACAACTACCTTGACAACACCACTACTACAGCCACAACCACTACTACAACCACAACTACCTCAACAACACCACTACTACAGCCACCACCACCTCGACAGCCACCACTACTACAGCCACTACTACAATCACAACTACCTCGACAACACCACTACTACAGGCACCACCACTACTACAGCCACCACCACCTCGACAGCCACCACCACTCCAGCGACTACTATAGTCACTCCTGCCACAGCCACCACTACTACAGCCACAGTCCCCACTACAGCTACTACTCCAAATACTACTACAACCTCTATAGCCACAGCCACTACTACTACAAGCCACAGCATCACCTGCTACTACAAGCCACATCATCACCTGCTACCACAAGCCACAGCATCACCTGCTACTACAAGCCACAGCATCACCTGCTACTACAAGCCACAGCATCACCTGCTACTACAAGCCACAGCATCACCTGCTACTACAAGCCACATCATCACCTGCTACTACAATCCACAGCATCACCTGCTACTACAAGCCACATCATCACCTGCTACTACAAGCCACAGCATCACCTGCTACTACAAGCCACAGCATCACTTGCTACTACCAGCCACAGCATCACCTGCTACTACAAGCCACAGCATCACCTGCTACTACAAGCTACAGCATCACCTGCTACTACAAGCCACAGCATCACCTGTACTACAAGCCACAGCATCACCTGCTACTACAAGCCACAGCATCACCACCACCACCACTCCCTGCAGGCACTGCCCACTGCCAATCACCGCAGGCAGAGCGCCGACTCCGCCTGTCGCGTGGACAGCAGCGGCACGGGGACAGCAGCGGCACGTGTGAGGGTGCGAGGCTCAGCACAACTACAGCACTACCACAACTACAGCACAACTACAGCACTACCACAACTACAGCACTACCACAACTACAGCACTACTACAACTACAGCACTACCACAACTACAGCACTACCACAGCTGCAGCACTACTACAACGACAGCACTACCACAACTACAGCACTACCACAGCTACAGCACTACTACAGCTATAGCACTACCACAGCTATAGCACTACCACAGCTATAGCACTACCACAACTACAGCACTACTACAGCTACAGCACTACTCCAGCTACAGCACTACTACAGCACTACCACAGCTACAGCACTACTACAACGACAGCACTACTACAACTACAGCACTACTACAGCACTACCACAGCTACAGCACTACCACAACTACAGCACTACTACAACTACAGCACTACCACAGCTACAGCACTACCACAGCTACAGCTCTACCACAGCTACAGCACTACCACATCACTACTACAGCTCTACCACAGCACAACTACAGCACTACCACAGCTGAGCTATAGTACAACTACAGCACTACCACAGCTCAGCTATAGTACAACTACAGCACTACCACAGCTCAGCTATAGTACAACTACAGCACTACCACGGCTCAGCTATAGTAAAACTACAGTACTACCACAGCTCAGCTATAGTACAACTACAGCACTACCACAGCTCAACTATAGTACAACTACAACACTACCACAGCTCAGCTATAGTACAACTACAGCACTACCACGGCTCAGCTATAGTACAACTACAGCACTACCACGGCTCAGCTATAGTACAACTACAGCTCTATCACGGCTCAGCTATAGTACAACTACAGCTCTACCACAGCTCAGCTATAGTACAACTACAGCACTACCACAGCTCAGCTATAGTACAACTACAGCACTACCACAGCTCAGCTATAGTACAACTACAGCACTACCACAGCTCAGCTATAATACAACTACAGCACTACCACAGCTCAGCTATAGTACAACTACAGCACTACCACGGCTCAGCTATAGTAAAACTACAGTACTACCACAGCTCAGCTATAGTACAACTACAGCACTACCACAGCTCAACTATAGTACAACTACAGCACTACCACAGCTCAGCTATAGTACAACTACAGCACTACCACGGCTCAGCTATAGTACAACTACAGCACTACCACGGCTCAGCTATAATACAACTACAGCTCTATCACGGCTCAGCTATAGTACAACTACAGCTCTACCACAGCTCAGCTATAGTACAACTACAGCACTACCACAGCTCAGCTATAGTACAACTACAGCACTACCACAGCTCAGCTATAGTACAACTACAGCACTACCACAGCTCAGCTATAGTACAACTACAGCACTACCACAGCTCAGCTATAGTACAACTACAGCACTACCACGGCTCAGCTATAGTACAACTACAGCACTACCACAACTACAGCACTACTACAGCTACAGCACTACCACAGCTACAGCTCTACCACAGCTACAGCACTACTACAGCTCTACCACAGCACAACTACAGCACTACCACAGGTCAGCTATAGTACAACTACAGCACTACCACAGCTCAGCTATAGTACAACTACAGCACTACCACAGCACTACTACAGCACTACCACAGCTCAGCTATAGTACAACTACAGCACTACCACGGCTCAGCTATAGTACAACTACAGCACTACCACAGCACTACTACAGCACTACCACAGCTCAGCTATAGTACAACTACAGCACTACCACGGCTCAGCTATAGTACAACTACAGCTCTATCACGGCTCAGCTATAGTACAACTACAGCACTACCACAGGTCAGCTATAGTACAACTACAGCACTACCACAGCTCAGCTATAGTACAACTACAGCACTACCACAGCACTACTACAGCACTACCACAGCTCAGCTATAGTACAACTACAGCACTACCACGGCTCAGCTATAGTACAACTACAGCACTACCACAGCTCAGCTATAGTACAACTACAGCACTACCACGGCTCAGCTATAGTACAACTACAGCACTACCACAGCTCAGCTATAGTACAACTACAGCACTACCACGGCTCAGCTATAGTACAACTACAGCTCTATCACGGCTCAGCTATAGTACAACTACAGCACTACCACAGGTCAGCTATAGTACAACTACAGCACTACCACAGCTCAGCTATAGTACAACTACAGCACTACCACAGCACTACTACAGCACTACCACAGCTCAGCTATAGTACAACTACAGCACTACCACGGCTCAGCTATAGTACAACTACAGCACTACCACAGCTCAGCTATAGTACAACTACAGCACTACCACGGCTCAGCTATAGTACAACTACAGCACTACCACAGCTCAGCTATAGTACAACTACAGCACTACCACGGCTCAGCTATAGTACAACTACAGCTCTATCACGGCTCAGCTATAGTACAACTACAGCACTACCACAGCTCAGCTATAGTACAACTACAGCACTACCACGGCTCAGCTATAGTACAACTACAGCACTACCACAGCTCAGCTATAGTACAACTGCAGCACTGCCACGGCACAGTTAATATGACTATTATACAACTACAGCACTACTACCACTGTAACAACACACTACAATACAGTACAACACACACGGGTCTGGTAACTGAAAGATGCCCGTTTACACGTCTCGCAGGAGTATTTGTGCGTGTTATTCGTGTCTCTTTGTTTCGTCTCTGTATCAGTGCATGTGTTTGCGTCATTGCCTGTATATGGGGCCATCCATTTAGTTGGTACGTAAAAAATCTGTCAAAATGGGACCCCTCTCTGTACGCACGCCTACTTTATACACAACCCCCCCCCCCCCTGCGTACGCACGCACGCACGCACGCTTGACGTACCCCCCAGAAAACCGACTATTATCACCCAGGAATGTCTGGCATTAACGCTTGTGTCACTCCACATCGACCAGCCCCCCTCATTAATATTCATGAGCTGGTGACGTCCCCCAAATGGACACCTCCCCTCCTCACTAATAATCATGTGCAAGTGACGTCACTCCACGTCGACCAGCCCCCCTCATTAATAATCATTAAAAGGTGACGTCCTCCAAATGGACACCCCCCTCCATTCATAATAATTAGCGGCTGACGTCACTCCTCATGGGGGGGGCGAGGCGCCTCCTCCCCCCCCCCTCCTCGGCGTCAACTGACAACCCTCACTACAAAGGCAGAACCCTCACGTCACGTGATCTCCGTAACGCTGTTGTTCACGTCACGTGATCTCCGTAACGCTGTTGTTGAGACATCGAAGTAAAAAGGACGTCATGATGAACAAGGGATTATAACCTTAAAATGAAATAGCTCTGTGTGACCACGGCCTTACAAATTGCACACGAATGGATGCAATGAATATATCACGTTGCGATCTGCTTTTCGCTTGCAGGTTTCAGATTTACTGCAATACACCCGTCCTTGGAAGGGAAAAAGGCTCGGACTATAGAACGGTCGATATTTAATCCACACAGAAACGATCAAGGATTAATAATATTAACGTGTTTAAGCAAACATATAGTGAATGCAAACTCTCTCTCTGTATATGTCTCTCTCTCCGAGCTTGAATTCACGCCTGATGACGGTTGCTTGTGTTGCAATCAAACGTCGTATTCTATTTTATTTCTACGTGACTTTACCGAAAGAACCAAAGAGTAATTCCTGCAGTCACGGAAGCTTCAAATGAAGTTTGAACCACCTCTACGGGGAGGATTTCCACATAACTCATACTTAACTTCAAATTTAGCAATCTTTGGGAGAACGTAATCAACCAGGTAAAGTGTTAACTGTTGTGTTAGCCGACTCTCTGTGTTGCATTGCATTACATTTCTAAGTTTACTAGGTTTGTTTTCTCAAACTTCCAATTTCTCTCCCACTCTCACTGACTTGCTCATTTCTCTGCCGAAACCCCCCTCTCTATATATAATACCTCATCACAGAGGCGTTGTTTCTCTGTCTCTGTGTGTCTCTCTCTCTGCGTGTGTCTCTCTCTGTGTGTGTCTCTCTGTGTATGTGTCTCTCTCCGTGTCTGTTTGTCTCTCTCTGTATATGTGTCTCTCTCCGAGCTTGCATTCACACCTGATGTCAATTATACTATATTCTTGGTTCTTTCGGTAAAGTCACGTTGAACATGACTTTACCGAAAGAACCAAGAATATGAATCACTGTAGTCATGAAAGCTTTAAATGACAATTATACTCTTTGTTTTTTTCGGTAAAGTCACGTAGGTAAAAAATTAAAAATAAATTAAAACAACTAAATTAAATCACGACGTTTCGGAGGCAGCACAAGCTTCCTTCATCAGGTGTAAAAAAGGCCCAGCAAAATATCTGATGAAGGAAGCTTGTGTTGCCTCCGAAACGTCGTGATTTAATTTAGTTGTTTTCATTTATTTTATTTTTTACTTACGTGACTTTACCGAAAAAAATCAAAGAGTATGAATCCTTGCAGTCACGAAAGCTTCAAATCTAGAACTGATGACAATTGCTTGTGTTGCAATCGAAACGTCGTATTCTATTATTTATTTTATTTTATTTCTACGTGACTTTACCAAAAGAACCAAAGAGTAATTCCTGTTGTCACGAAAGCTTCAAATCAAGTCTTAAAATGTATTTATAATATAATTATCTTCATCCTGAGTGTATGCGGCTGCTGTGTCTTGTATAGCGCCTGAGATCCTTGATGGATGGAATTATTATTACGGCAGACCCCTTCGTTTCTCAGCTAGAAATTCAAACACGTGATGTTCATTGCTCTAAATATTTCTATACATGCGGCAAACTGCACACCGGCCTATACCGTTGTTTTTATTAATTTACCGGTTATGCAAAAAAAAACGATTCTAACAATTCCACTGGTCAGCTTGTGAGAAAGAGGTTCGATAAGAGGCTCGGGGAGATCGCTAAAGGATCTCTACGTTTCAGTTTGTGGCTGAGGAACCCTCGTGGATGGCCATTGTGCAACTGAGTAGATGCGACTGACATGAGTGTATGTTGCAGCATGCAATATATAAAGCTAACATCCAATCTTTCGTGACCAATAGGATTCATAGTTGAATTTCGGGCCCAATCAGACATTTGCCATGAATCTAAACTGCCTGATGATGCTGGTTGTAACTTACAGTGAAATATCATATCCAATTGTTACATTTTTGTGGATCACTCTCCAACACACACGTGTGCCGAAGCGGTAATACATTTGCCACTTTTGTTCACGTGACAACTTTATCCATTGGATTTGTAGCATGGAGGAGGATCTACGATACAAATTTTACTGACGCGATCTGACCCAAAAATCTATTGTGAATGAATGCATGTACTTACTCGATTATCCGCGCTAATGACAGGGAGGACAGCCGCAGATAATTCAAACCGCAGATAATCCAAAAACATTCATTTTCTGTGGATCTCGATGCCAAAAACCATGAATATCGATAGATCGATCGATGCACGTGCTCAATGATAACACTTTCCTGGTCCCGCTCAGAAGACTCGGCCCATTAAGTGGACAGTAGCAGAGCCACAGCAATCAAAATCAAACTCCGTCCACTGTTGTAAAGATATTGCAACTCCTGTGCTGTAGAGGCAATCACGTGGTTTTCGGATTAACCGGAGCAAATATTCGTTCGGTTTAAGCACGTGACTTGTAATAAATATTTCCAAGAATAGCAATGTATGACTGTTTTTAGATTAGTAATTTGGACTTAAGGGAAAATCCGTTATTGATTAATTAATGTAAAAATCTCTGGTGCGTGGATAATCTTGCAATATGGATAAACCACACGCGAATAATCGAGTCTACTGTATTTGGTGACCTTTAATTAAGCTGTCTAACATGTGTTGTGCTTGTTTCGTTCTGTCCGACTTACCCTAGGGGGTTTCACGCTGGCATCATTGTACATTGATGGCGCTTACGTTGGACAGCACGATCGAGAATTGTTAGAAAAAATTCACCAAGACCTTGAGCTGTTCACTCAGCAGCTGTCCCTTAAAAAATACAGGTGAGAACGGAGAAGTAATGCATCTCTACAGTGTTGTCAGTGCTGGTGAGTTGGAATGTGGGGCTCCAGTTTATATTTATTTTAACGGAGTTGCTGAGCAAACAAGTTCTGAACCCAAAATGTCTCTCAAAGTTGTAATTGTAGAGGGTTTTATCCAATGCGTGTTTCGGCTATGCACGGTTTACTTGATGAGGTCTGTTTTCCCGAACACGGGACGATATTTCAGCCATACACGATTTTGACGCCGCTAAGATAATAATTACATGCGCCAACAAGTAGTGTGTCCGTTCGTCCCCAACACTCACGTGGTTTCACTCTTTAATCATGGCGCCTAAGCATAAGTTGAGTGGTGGTGATTTATACAGGTCATGGGTTCGATCCCAACCCTGCCTGATGCGTGTATATTTGGAGTTTGCATGTCTCTCCCCGTGGTCGCGTGGATTTTTCTACGGGTCCCCCGTTTTTTTTTTCCCTCCACGTTTAGAATCAACATGCGTTTAGAGTATTTGGCTGCTATAAATGTCCACATCATAAGCCACTTCGTTGAACCATCATTTGTGATGGCCAGGCCGCTTCTGAAAAAAACTGTGTTCATGTGATTTACGACACGCGACATTGCGAGAGATGGAAATGCCTGCGCCGCTTGTCTGTGGCGCTGTTCATGATGCTCCAAATGCGTTGCGGATGCACATCGTGCGACCAGCACGTTGACGCTGTGCAGAGCAGGGTGCATGTCAGCACTTGCCTGAAATAACGATGGCAGTGGCCGCTCCACGATGCTTGTGGAGTCAGCTCGGCCCGCGGATGGGTGGAACAGTGGCATTCTGCTTTACAATCCAGAGCAGAAGGGAAACAATAAAATGATCACGACGTTTCGACTGCAACACAAGCAATATAATAAGCTTTAAAGCAAATTTTTATCCAGAGCAGATTATGAGTTCAAATCTTGTCTGGAAGGAAACTCATCCTGCTGGTGTCAATCAAATGCATTCTGAACGATTTAATGAGAAGTTGTGTAAATTTCGATTTAAAGCTTTCGTGACTGCAAGGATTCATCTTCTTTGGTTCTTTCGGTAAAGTCACGTAGAATGAGAATAAAATAATAAATTGATAAAATAAAATAACACAATAAAATTCTCACGACGTTTCGGCCACAACACAAGCGGCCTTCATCAGGTGAAGGGACGAGACGTCGCTCCAGCGCTGTCCTCCAGACAGTCTCGTCCCTTCACCTGATGAAGGCCGCTTGTGTTGTGGCCGAAACGTCGTGAGAATTTTATTGTGTTATTTTATTTTATCAATTTATTCTTTTATTCTCATTCTACGTGACTTTACCGAAAGAACCAAAGAAGAAGTTGTGGTGTGTGCGGCATGTCCATCGCTGCCAACTATGTTACGTTTGGCTCGAGTGGCAACTTTACTCTTGGGGACATGGGAACATGTTATGCGAGCAGAGACGTCATGCTTGCTGTTAAGAACGCTGAGTTGGCTTGGGGAGGACACATCGCTAGACACGACGATGGCCGGTGGGTCGAGGCTAATGACAGTAGCAGCCAAGGGAGGAAACACGACTCCACCGTGGAGACGGAGCGATGAAATCAGCTGCAAGACTGAGAGATTGCGAAGGGTTGGGGAGGGAGGCTATCATCCAGTAGTGGATAGATCGAACAATACTGAGCGATTTCCTCTTCTCCGAATCAGTCGCGGAAGTTCTCTATTCCTATCTCGTGGGCACTCTCGCTACCCAAGTCAGACAGCGTGCAGGATAGATCAAGGCCAATGTGATTCATGAACTGTCACCCAAGCTTGTCGTGCGCTCTACGTGGTGGGGGGGGGGGGGTGTGCAGGGTGCTGGTGTTCCCACCGCTGAGCAGCCGCTGCCGGTTCCTCACCCACACGGCCGTGGGGCACCACAAACAGCTCAGCAGCTTCTCCATCGGCTTCGGCAGCCAGCGCCGCACCGTCGTCTGCCACAGAGACCTGCGGTACAGTCCCTCCCCAGCCTTTACTCTACGCTACTCCTATTAGTATTACAGTAATCCCTCAGTTAACGTTTTTAATCTGTTCCACGAAAACTACTGTTAACGGAAATAACTGTTCAATCGAATATAGGAATTGTGTGTTAAAAGCATTAATCCGTTCCAAGACGATTGGAAGTTGACCATTTTTTACCCTAAAAACATAGTTTATAACATTTAAACACTCAATATTAATAAATAAGCATAAGAACATTAAATATTAATAGAAAAATTGCATTCACTATGAAACTGCAGTGAACTGAAATAACTGTTAATCGAATTCACTTATAAGTTGAAAAATAAGTAAAAATCACCGAGTCTGCAAGAGAGCTGTTTCCACTGCCAAAACATAAAACGTTATAATGTAAATAAAGCCAGTCGAGGTCTAAACGCTCATAAATGGACGTCGCTGATTGGCTCAGGGCACGGCTCAACCCCACTTACGAGCGCTCGGATTGGCCGAAATTGGCGCCCCACGTGCATAATGCAAACTTACTGTAAGTTGAAATGTTAATGTTAGTCGAAACTGTGGGGTCCTATGGGAGGCGAAACGTTAACCGAAAAAATCGTTAACCGATTATGTCACTATTAACCGAGGGTACTACTTTTACCGTGCTTGTTATCACGGAAGGCCTCGCTAAGTCTCAAGACTCTTTTTTCACGAGGCCCTTGTCAAAGTATTTTTGCAGTCGAGGGCGACTTTTCTGTGCACAGTCCAAATGTAGTCATTGGCAGGTAATGTTTAAATTCAGGAATCGTCCCCGCGATAAGTTGCTGTATTGTGCGTTATGTATCGTGGGAAACTCCTGTATTGGGATGTTCAGCCAATAATATCAGTTACAACGAATGTGGTGGTTTTTTTACAGTGAGAGGAAATGAGAGAACCCCAAGGAAACCGATTCAGAACAGGGGGAGAACACGCAAACTCCAGACACAAAGATACCCAAGTCCGGAATCAAACTTTGCTGCTCCATGCTGCATGGCACAAGCTCTACCACTGCGCTGCCACCCTGGCGCTCCTCAGATGAACAAAAAAATGACATTTGCAACTCTCCCAGAGAGTAGTCAAGCGTGCTAACCTCCAATTAGCCAAGCGTGCTAACCTCCCATTAGCACGGTTGGCTACGTATGGTGCGAAAGAAGTTCAACATACACTGTGTCTGAGAAGGGAAATTGGAAGTTGTCACCGATATACTTATAAAGTCACTTCCCTTGTCCTCTTGCGCATGTATAGTGGGTACAGATGGAGACTCAGGCTTACTATTGGAGGCAACACATTTATCAACGTAACACCAACACTATTAACACAAAGGGGTAACTGCCCCTTTACCAGATAAACTATGGTGGTGGACCACCAGTTTAGCTACCCTAACACTCTGGGTTAGCTACAGCAGACCAAACCCAAACTCGGGTCCGGGTCCATGTGTTGGAGACTCGGCGTAGAACGTAGATTTTCTTCATGAAGACAACAGCAGCCAGTTCCACTGGGAACCCGGCTTTTTATCCTCTGTGGCGGGGCTCGCTCCGCTCCTAGCGACGACCCCCTTCTCAAACTCTCGAGGAGGTTCTCCACTGGACACGCGGTCCCTCCAGCCCCCCCTTTGGGGTTCCCCGGGTAGACACCTCCGGTCACGTGCCCTCTGGGGTCAACCACAGTGCCGTGGCTCCCTACAACCCCGTTCCGAGGCCGGCACTCTCGCCCCCTATCCTGTAGGGGCTGGCACTGCTCGTAAAGCGGGGTGCCATCCTTGACTGTCGGACAGTGCTGCCCGAGCCCCGCTAGGGTCGGTACTGCAACCCCCTTCAGTGGTGTCCGTGGTGGCAATATGTTGCATGCCGTGCCTTTCCCAGGCTGGCCACACACAGCGACGTGCAGCGATGTCGCTACACATGCATGGTGGCACTTCCTTGTATTCTCACGTCCTTGCCATGCTCGTATCAGTCGATTGCTGTGTAGAGGCGTCCCTATGCCTCGTCGGCTGTGAAGGTTTGATTGACCATCCCTCGCCATGGCGGTCAGTGTGGGTTGGTGGTGAAGGGGAGGTTTCCATGACTGGTTCAGCGATAACTCGCCACTAATGTTTGCCATGGTCGGGAATCAAACTCAAGTCACCAGGTTCATAGTGCAGTGCGCCAGTCACTGCACCACTGCTCCACCCCGAGTATATCAGTTACTACATCACCCAACGGCCGTGTATTAATGAAAACCTTTGGTACCATTCGTTGAACTGGGACCCATATCTCACAGAGAGGGTGCCTTGCCTTTAAAAATCGGGCGGTCCATCAGCATTGGTTCAAGCCTGAATGCTGATGAGACAAGTGGGGCTGATGGGATGTGTAAAAAAAACTGTTTACAATTTTTACGCGAAGGGAAAAATGCTTGAAGGAGGCATGTTGTCTGCTTAGTTATGATGTACAAATCGGGATTTTTGGTTGGTTTCAGGTGCACTCCACAAGACTTGCAAGTCGGTGAACCATCAAACCGCAACAGATATTTTAGTTCAGAAGCTCCGACCGCGTCGACCCGAGCTGCCGGAGCGGGCGAAGGCGCGAGGGTTGCGGGCGGCGGTAGCATCGGCATGGAGGGCAGGAGGAGCGTGGGCAACCCGGCACGCGGGCGCCAGAAGCGACCGGACATCCAGCTGTACGTGCCGCGGGGGCGGAGGCACGAGGGTGCCGCCGAGAATGGGGAGGGTGGCGGCGGTGGCGATGCGCCGGAGGAGGCCGCGGCAGTGGGGGCGGTGGTGGGGCGTGCGCGGCAAGGAGGTGATGCGGACGGCACGGCTGCCACGGCCGCCGCCGCAGCGGAGAGGGCGTCTGCAAAAACCAAAACGAGTCGGCGGGGGTCGACGCACGATCGCAGGGATGTCGCCAGGAGGAGCGCGGCGCGATGCGGCGGCACGACGGTCGCGGAGGGCACCGGCGAAGTCGCGCCAACACCAAGCGATTCCGTGGGAACGGGCGCCGATCTCGGGGGAACGGGTTTTGCGAGCCGCGCCAACGAGCACGGCTCTGTGCAGGGCAGTGATGATGATAATTCAAACGACGCCACTCCATCCTTGCCCCTAAATGTTTTACGGGTGTCAAACGACGAGGCGCCGCCCGGCTCCGTCGGGTTCAAACGCTTGCCAGGGGATACGGACGTCCGTGAGGCCGACGATGCAGACGCCGCGCGCTCCCACAGCGGCCGCCGGAGTGCTGTCGAGGCACGAGTCGCCTGCGGTGCCGCCAACGCGAGCCCAGCCACACCGCGGGCCCCTTGCTTCGCTCGCCGCGCGTCAGGAGACAGCGGCGTGGACCCTGCGCTACACGGCGACCGTAGGGCATCGCCTGCCGTGCCCTCGCAGGCCGACTCCCAGTGCTCGTGGTCTGCCAACGTGCATGGCTGTGAGAAGCAGCTTTTAGCAGCGGAGGCAGATGATAATCCAAACAGCCCACCCATCACTACCAAAGACAACTGGGATGATGATGATGATGATGATGATTTACGGAGTAAAACTCCAGCAAAGGGTCCTGTACCTGCCACACCACTGTCCCTTGCAGAAGAGTTACGGTCCCGCTGTGTGGTGGGAGTCGGCGATGCTCATTGCTTGTCGGAGGTGGCTGCCCCGGTGGTCACGTGTGGTGCCGCTTTACCGGCAGTGGTGGGAGTAGATGTGGGAAGAGAAGCGGGAGGATATGTGGGAGGAAATATGGGAGGAGATACGGGGGGAGATGTGGGAGGAAATATGGGAGGAGATGCGGGGAGAGATGCGGGAGGAGATGCGGGAGGAGATATGAGAAGAGATGCGGGAGGAGATGCGGGAGGAGATGCGGAAGGAGATGCGGGGGGAGATGTGGGGGGAGATGCGGGAGGAGATGCGGGAGGAGATGCGGGAGGAGATGCGGGAGGAGATGCGGGAGGAGATGCGGGAGGAGATCCGGGAGGAGATGCGGGGGGAGATGCGGGAGGAGATGCGGGGGGAGATGCGGGGGTAGCTGCGGGGGGAGCTGCGAGTGGCGGGGATGGAGGTGAGGAGCAGCAGGAGGACAGCTGGGACGCCATGTTCGATGACAGCGGAGAGTGCCTGGATGGGCAACTGATGCAGGAGGTGATGACGCATGCGTGAACGCTCGCCGCACGTGTGAACGCTCGCCGTATGTGCAGCGAGACGCACGTCACACGCTGCGTGTTGCAACGCGCTCTTCGGTGCAGGAACAACCACTGCCGTACCACGCAGTGGGTTTTTGCGGCTTAGTTTACAGTACATACACATTCATAATAAAGGTTTTTGGGTTAGATCGCGTTTATTTATAAATGTGTCGTAACCCTCCACCACCCGACACGGCCAATCAGCAAAAAAAGTGTCACGTTGACAAAAGACAAATAATTCACTACTTTAGCCCACCGGTGTGTTGAAGAGTGAATCCACATTTACAGTTTGAGTACGACGTTTCGCTGGTAAATACATCCAGCATCATCGGGCAATTTGCCAGAATGGTAAAGCCCTCGCTTGCTCCCGGTTTTATATAGAGCAGCAGCAGGGTGACGTCATCACTTAACTCATATCAGGTGCAGTGATTGGAGGGGGGGGGGTATTGCAATTATATAATCGATTAGTAGTCAGTCATTGGTTATGATTAGTAATGAGTTGTAGATTAGTAATTATTTAATCAAAATGTAATGTGTATTATTTAATAATACGCTTCCAGGCCGCACTAAGCCTGTAGCTGTCAGAGCGATTAAAGTTATTCTTGTTCCTCTCAATTTCAATGGATTCCCTAATTAGTCTTTGCCAGTAATAATTAGTTTTACACACCACTGCAACATTGTCAAAATCAATTGAGTGTCCTTGTTGACAAGCATGTTCTGCCACTGCCGACAGTTGTGTTTGAGATAATTTAATATTTCTCTGATGTTCTTTTAGTCTTACACTGATGTTACGTCCCGTCTGCCCAATGTAGCAGCTGCCACATAAACAATTAATCCGATATACACCATATACACCATTGAAATTGAGAGGAACAAGAATAACTTTAATCGCTCTGACAGCTACAGGCTTAGTGCGGCCTGGAAGCGTATTATTAAATAATACACATTACATTTTGATTAAAGAATTACTAATCTACAACTCATTACTAATCATAACCAATGACTGATTACTAATCGATTATATAATTGCAATACCCCCTCCGCCTCTAATCACTGCACCTGATATGAGTTAAGTGATGACGTCACCCTGCTGCTGCTCTATATAAAACCGGGAGCAAGCGAGGGCTTTACCATTCTGGCGAATTGCCCGATGATGCTGGATGTATTTACCAGCGAAACGTCGTACTCAAACTGTAAATGTGGATTCACTCTTCAACACACCGGTGGGCTAAAGTAGTGAATTATTTGTCTTTTGTCAACGTGACACTTTTTTTGCTGATTGGTCGTGTCGGGTGGTGGAGGGTTACGACACATTTATAAATAAACGCGATCTAACCCAAAAACCTTTATTATGAATAATATTGGTCGCGAAAGCTTACGTGTTAAACTGAGTACATACACATGTCTATGGGACCTTTTTGTCAGTATCAAAGGATGAAAATGAAGAATAAGTTTTACCCTTTCTGACAATAGAATTCCTTTTTTTCATACTTTTACACTGGCAAAAAAGGCCCTATGATATAGCTGCTCAACCAAAGCTATACATGCTCTGATACGTGCATTGTCTTTGTAATGTTTACCTTTTACCGTTGTCTGGTCTGACACAGCTGAGACTAGGCCATACGAAAGGCTTTATCTGGTGTAGGCCAATCAGTTTCAAAAACAATGCATACATTATCAGAGCATTATGGGACCTTTCTTGCCAGTATCACAATTCGTAAAACCTATTGTTTTCGAGGCCGACCGAAACAATGTCTGGTTTCGGCCGAAAACGAAACCAGACTAAAAGTAAAAAAAATACTTTCGTCCGAAACCGAAAGTATACCGAAAGTTAAAAATGTACTTTCGGCCGAAACCGAAAGTATGCCAAAAGTTAACTTTTTGGCTTCGCCCAAGACAGAAATTATGCCGAAAGAGGCCATTTGCCAACTTTCGGCACCGAAACCGAATTTTGGTCGGCCTCTAGACGCGTCACAGACTCGCACGCACGCACACCTAAGCCCTCTCCTGCTGTGTGGAACCCATGTGGAGGAGGAGGAGGTGGGGTGGGATGGGGTGGTGGGAGGGTTGAATTGAATCATTGGAGGGGTGGGTGGGTTGGTGTGTGTGTTGCTGGTGGGCGGATGAGTGAGTGAGTGTGCGCGCGCGTTTGCACACTGTTGGCATCAGCACGTCACTATAATCTGCTCAGTGTGCTGTGCGTGCGCCCGCGTGTGTGTGTGTGTGGTACGTGCTTTGAACTGCCTGTGAGAGCCCAGCCTCTGAGCCGCTCCAACAAAAGTGCTCCTGGTGGACTGCTGCTGCTGCGAGTGCTGGCTACGTGTGTGCTGGCTACGCGTATGCTGCTTGCTGCTGCTCGGCTAGTTTGGTGGTTTTGGGGGGAAGTTATTTTTTTCTTATTCTTCTCCGTCGTCTGTCTTATCCCCCCCACCACCACCACACCCCTTTCACCCCCATCCTTGCTTGAGTGTGCGTGTGTGCACTGCTTGCGATCACCGGAGAGAGTGAGGAGCGTCTGCCATCAACTACCGCCGCCGCCGCTGCTGCCCGAAGTCGCATGCGCGCGCTTATAGTTTAAAGGCCGACCGAAACTGAATTACTGGTTTTCGGCCAAAAACGAAACCAGACCGAAAGTTACAAATTTACTTTTGTCCGAAACCGAAAGTTACAAATTTTCTTTCGGCCGAAACTGAAAGTAAACCGAAATAAAAAATTTTACTTTCGGCCGAAACCAAAACTATGCCGAAAGAGGCCATTTGCCAACTTTCGGCGCCGAAACCGAAACCGAATTTCGGTCGGTTTCTAATTGTTATATTATCTGAATATGTTTGTTTGTATGTTTTACCACAAGTACATGTGGTTAATGCAGACTTGATTCCTTGAAAAAGGTATCTACTTGGTGTTTGAACATCTTAACACCTCTTTCATTGCCAGAAAAGGTAAAAAAAACTTGTAATTTCTTATAGTATGAACACATAATCTCCTCGTGTATTTTCACCACCAAATAAGATCGCTTTCTATCGTCAAAGCAACCTTACCCACTATGCTGTGTAGCTCTTTTTCAGAAATGACATGGCTATAAATGATAGCTCAATGAAGTGGCTTATCATGTTGAAGTATATTGCAGCCAAATACTCTAAACACGCGACGTTGTTTCTAAATGTGGAGGGAAAAACCGGACGAGGTAGTTAACATACTTTTACCATGACACCCTAACAGAAAAGGTACTTACCGATAAAAGTCTGGCAGTTCTCCGGCATTGGTTCAAGCAAGCTTCATTGTTGATCATATACCAAATTTCATAATCGGTCCAGAGTTTTTATTGTGTTCACAACCAACGTTGATAAAATACGCACTCCCAGAAAGCCGAGCGGCTGATGGGATGTGTAACATCGAGGAACGGACATGTGGAAGAGGAGGCGTATTGCCCTGCTTAGCCACGTTGCACGTCCAGTTGTTTCCATCATGTGTAGTGACTGTGAATGTCACCGTGTGGTGCCGAGCTTGCGAGACCACGGCGGATAATGTCATTATGTGCAGCCTGGTTACTGGGCGTAGTACCAGCCCTAGCGGGGCTTGGGTGAGCGCTGGTTAGCGCAGAGGCACCACGTACAGTGTGCGGTGCGGGCTCCCGGTGAGGGAGTGTCAGCCAGCCAGGGTTACGTTGGGGCACTATACGCTGATTGACCTGCCGACACGTGACCGGATGATATTGGAGGGGGGCCACCGGTGGATGGGGGCCGCTGGGTGGTCACGTGGTATAGAAGAGCTCTCGGGAACCTTCGGGAAAGAGCTCGAGAGATCTAGAAGGTGGGTGGGGCGAGGGGTGGAGCCAGCCCCAGGCCGATATAACGGGGGCCCTGTGAGGGGCTCGGGGTTCTTTGGGTTGTTGGTGAAGATCCACGTCGGGTTGAAGAAGCCTCTAGCCACGCGGTCCGGGACCCAGCTCGTGGTCCGTACCGGGATAGTGGGACCGTGTCTAGTTCTGCCGTAGCGTGGTTAGATGGGCGTTCAACACCCGAGTGTAGGTTACGTTATGTTGAGTTGAGTTGATGTAATAAATAGTGTTGCTCCCAAGACAACGTCTGCATCTCAGTTGGACTCACTACATATGTACTCGGCGAGCCTCGCGCAACAGCGCTACACAATGGCTAGGTCGCATGGTTTAGGTGGCGAATTATCTGCTCGATGATGTCAACCGTTGGTAGTTCACTGATCAATGTTGGGTCTCTTCCTGTTGTTCAGCTCGCAGGCAACCTGAAGCAGGAGACGGTGACGACGCTTCAGGAGCCGCAGTTCGACTACTATGGCTACCGGCCAGCAGAGCCCGGCTGGGATGATGGCGACTTTGGCCACGTCCTGGAGATCTACGGCTTCCCAAGTGGCTTCCGCACCGAGGACCTCATCTCGGCGTTTTCCGCCTTCCAGTACATAGTCCAGTAACATAGTCCGGTACATAGTCCGGTGCATAGTCCAGTAGCATACTCCTGGTCTCTTGAGTTCTCACCCGGTTAAAAGGAAATTTATTTGAACTTGAACATTCGGAGTCGAAAGCCTACAGAGAATGCTTAGATTTATAATCTCAGGGCGCTTTACACCCACGGTGGTGAGATGTTAACAACCTCACCTGGTATACAGGAAGTTGTAGGTTCAATCCCGACCCCGACGCCTGCATATTTGGAGTTTGTCTGTTCTCCCTGTGGTCGTGCTGATTTTTCCCTACACATTTATAAACACGTGTTCAGAGTATTTTGGGCTATAAATGTCCATATGATAAGCCACTTGTGGCCAACTCGCCTCTGAAAAATAGCAATATAGGCCACTGGGCTTTACGTAGTAAAATAAAAAATATAGTTTATGATGACATCACACAATGGCCTATTACTTCATTTAAATTACATCAGGGGGATATTTAATGTCCACTGTGAAGTAGATGGCACTTAGTGTGTAATAATACATTGCAATTAATAACCGGGGTGTCCTGCTGGATTTGAAAGGTGAACCTCTGCGAGGAGTTGCGAACACACAACCGCTGTGCTGCGAGAGCCACGGTCATGGTGGTCACTTTCCTTGATCAATAAACTCACCACAAGGACCAGGCCACTTCTTATTGACAATGGCACAGCTTCACTCAGATATATCGGGAGCACTCCTCCCTTAATGGCTGTCAGTTTTTTTTTTAAAACATTACCACACGAACTCCGGTCATCCTCACAGCTGCTTTTGGCTAGCCCAGTGGCTTCCTAATATCCTTGCGATATTAGTAAGCCACTGGAAGCTATGCACTTTTAAATCATATAGATAGAAAACTAATTTCTTAAAACTGCTTTTTGTGTTTAGTTTGTTGTCCTTCTCCTGCACCTCCGATTAGCGCGGGTGGCTACTTACGGTGCTAAAGAAGTTCAACGTACATACACATACATGTGCGTACGTTTACGCACGTGGCACAGAGTACGCTCGTGAGCTTTGCCCCGGGGTGTACGTGGACGTGTTCACGCATGTCGCGAGTTCACGACAGGGCTAGGCGTGACCGAGCTGCGCGTCGGCCTGGGGCCGCTGTCACGGCAGGTTGCTGCAGCGGTGGTTCCCGTGTGCCGTGTATGCCGTGCGTGCCGTGTGTGTCATGTGTACCGTGTGTGCCGTGTGTGTGTGCCATGTCCCGTGTGTGCCACTTGTGCCATGTGTCGTGTGCGCCGTGTGCGCCGCAGGTCGAGGGGCTTCGACGTGAAGTGGGTGGACGACGAGCACGCGCTCGGCCTGTTCAGCAGTCCCATCGCTGGTGTGTTCCCCTCCCTCTGCCATTACCTCTTTCGCTCTGCTTACCGGGATTTTTCTCTATTACCGCCATCGCTGCTTGTTCACCCGCCAAAGTCTCGTCAAATGTCAACTCTCTTTTGTCAGGAGGGTCTTGCCACGTTTTCACTGTCGAAGGCGATGTCGCTGCGTGTAATTCCAATTGAGTAATTTTTCAGCATTGGGATGTTTGGCCAATACTGGTTAATATTAATTATAATTGCAACTTATAGAGCACCTTCCATCATGATATCTCAAGGCAATTTACATCGGTGACAAGGAGGGGAATGGGTAAGAAGTGACCAAGTTAAAATAAGAAACGCCTTCTGAAAGGGGAATGATTTTAGGTGGGACTTGAAAGGTCCCGGACAGCCTTTGGCATTAGTTCCACAATCCAGGCACCACGTTTTTTTTATTGGGTGCAATTGTGAACAAGAGCCATATCGTGCATGAGTACATCTCATCGGCATAATCATTGGTTCACTGCAGCTCAAAGACTCAGTCCCTACAAGGTGTGTGGTGAAGTTAGGAGATGTCCATGTGCGTGCTCAGCATTTGAAGGCCTGAAGACCAGAATCGGTGATTTCGCCGATAATGTGTTCAGGGAGGCAGTTCAGTATCCAGACAGCATAGTGAAAAGGGAGCTTCTGTCCAGGGAGCATGTTCTGGCAACAGTTTCATTTTGTGGTGTTTTTTTTTGCTATGGGAGGAAACCGGAGAACCCAGAGGAAGCCCACGGAGAACAGGAGACGAACTCCGCACAGAAAGGCACCCGAGTTGGGAATCGAACCGAGGCCCCTTCTGGCTGCGAGTGACGAGTATTACCACTGCGCCGCCACCACCCTGCCGCGATATGGCTGAGCGATAGAGCCTCCTCGCTGGCACGTTCAGACATGTCTCCCATTGTCGTCGTCGTTGTCACCGTTACCATCGCCCTAGCAAGATTCCAGGGACAGAGAACTCTTATTATCTGCAGCCTGCAAGGTCAAGAAGAGGCAGCACTGCTCTCTTGTGGATCCTCAGCAATTACAAACAGGCGGAATATTCACGTGGGTCAGGCTGCGTGTTAAAGCATTTATTCTCCTGGGCTTTTGCCATGCACTACAATAGTCCCTTGGTTAATGTTTCGAAACTGTTCCACGAAAACTACTATGAACTGAAATAACTGTTGAATCGAATTCACTTCTATGTTGAAAAATAATAAAAAATCACCGAGTCTGCAAGAGAGCTTTTCCACTACCAAAACAGAAAACGTTATAATGTAAACAAAGCTAAGTCGAGGTCTGAACTGCTCATACATGTGTGTCGCTGATTGGCTGAGGGCATGGCTCAGCCCCACTTACGTGCGCTCGGATTGGCCGAAATTGGCGCCCCGCGTGCATAACGTAAATATACCATGAGTCAACATGTTTACGTTTGTTGAAACCATGGAATCCTATGGGAGGCGAAATGTTAACTGCAAAAACCGTTAACATGTCACTGTTAACTGAGGGACTACTTTACTTACTGCGGGCATCCTCAGGTGTGGAAGTAGGCAATCTCGCTAAGAATGTTGGCATAAAACTACTAGCTAAAGAATATACACAGCAGCAACATCCCCCCCCCCCCTATTGTGAAACAACTGCAGGCTGTGTATGTGAAACATAGCGGCACCTTCCTTTATAATAGCCCTATGCTATAGGAACGATGGCGGGAATATCACATGTACTCGTGATTTTATTTGATGACAACACGGATGTTTATAATATTCCACAAAGCATGACTATTGGGTGCTCCATAATCATTGTTGGGTTGGGCCACGTAACGATCTGGCTAAATGTTGTTGTGTAATCCCTCTACCACTGATGATTACATGACCTTGGGTGCCACTCAAATGTTCTCATTCTCAAGGTCACGCCTCCTGGTTGTATTTGTTTGTCGTTAAACTGAAGCTAGTGCGAGTTTAGAGACAATCCCTCAATATTTATGTACCGGGTGCTCAATTGAGTTGGACATGCATGACAGTCGATGCACACGGAACCATGGTAGAGGCATAGACCCAGAGAAGGGGACCCTGAGCAACGTGTGAATATCAATCAATCGTAATGATAATTCTCAGCCGTTGACTTTTACACCCAAACTAACCAATTGAGTGATCCCAGAAAACAGAAACGTCACTCTGCCACATGCACAGCCTCGCCCGAAACCCGCGGGGCCACACAAACGTCGCGCGTCGAGCCTAACGTGCGCTGCGGTCCGCGTGGCGCTGTGCACAGCTCAAGACGCGCTGGCGATGAAGCACGCACTGGTGAGGACGCGCCCTCTCTGCCGGGCGAGCAGCCCGACGCGCGACAAGGCCCGCCGCAACCCTGGTTAGCAGCGCCGCCACGGAGTTCGCTCGCCTCGCCAACGCCTCGCTTAAGGAGGCTGACTTTGCAATGAATAACGATAATACTAACGACTACCTTATTACTCTTTGGTTCTTTCGATAAAGTCACGTAGAAAGAAAAGAAAATAATTACCTAAAGAACCAAAGAGTAATTCCTGCAGTCACGAAAGCTTCAAATCAAATTTGACTACCTTATTTTTTTTATTTTACTGGGTAAGGCCCACTGAGCTACACAGCTCTTGTTCAGAAGCGGCTTGGCCACAAATGGCAGCTCAATGAAGTGGCTTATCACGTGGACATTTATATCAGCCCGATGCTCTTAAAGTCAATTCCTATTCACGGTCAATACCAGTGACGATTATCTGAACATTACCTGAACAGCTCCTGGGCCAGACCTAGGTGCAATGCGTAAAACATCGCCACTGTGGGGAGACAAAGGCGGACGGGTGCGGTGCCGGCCACCCAAACAACCCACCCCCTCGTGTGCCATGCCGGTACCCTCCATAGGTGCTGTTCCGCTCACAGCCCGTGTCCCAGCGGTCTGCTGAAGATCTCTTAGGGGTCTTTGTGTTTGTGCTACGTTGTAGAGTTCCTGCAGCCTGTGAGGCCGCGGCCCCAGACGAGCGCGGTGCTGGCGCGCCGCCTCGTGGCCGGGGCGCTGGGCGTGCGGAGCGGCGCCTCCCCCGAGCAGCGCTCCGCTGAACGCCGCAAACTCCAGGAAGCCAAAGGTGAGCGCCACCGCTGCTGACACTCACCTGGCTCCTGATTCAGTGGCAGCAGCAGCGCAAGTTCACATATAAGGTCAACCCTTGTTAATTCAACAAATATGGGGCTCTGGCCTTGCCAAATGATCCAATATTCCGAATTATATACAACTAGCGGGAAGTACCCGGCGTTGCCCGGGTCTTAAAAATATTTTAAAAGTACTCTTAGAATCTAACAGCAGTGCGTACTGACTGTGGTGGTACCTGCTATGATTACAGCAGTGCATACTGTGGTGGTACCTGCTTTCACTGCAGCAATGCATACTGTGGTGGTACATGCTATGATTACAGCAGTGCATAGCGACTGTGGTGGTACCTGCTATGATTACAGCAGTGCATACTGACTGCGGTGGTACCTGCTATGATTACAGTAGTGCATACCGACTGTGGTGGTACCTGCTATCACTACAGTAGTACATGCTGACTGTATAGCAGTATTTATCGACTCTATAGCGCAAAGTACTCATCTGACAGAGTGGCGTGGTAAGGCGTAGTCCCGTGCAGAGCCTCCGGCCTCACCTAGATTGTCCAGCCAGCTGAGGTGACACCTTGGCAGGCTGGGGCTGGGCTGCTACCCCTGACCCCCCCCCCCCCAGGCACGATGTCCCTGGCCGCTCTGCAGTAATAACTACGGCCTATAGTGGTAGCATCTACCGACTGTATAGTAGAAATAATTGGGCGCATCGGGGTGGGGGGGACATGAGACAGTGAAGAATTTACCTGAGCGTCGTTTAGTGTATTTTTCTAGGATTTATAACGCGAAAGAAAATGTCCCCCTCCCACCGAAGGCGTGCGACTTGGCATGGGCCATCCTCCCCACCAAAGGCGCGTGAGTTGGTATGGTCGTGCACGCGTCATAAATAAATAATAAAGCGCACAGAAATCGCACTAAATCGCAAATTAAACTAATTTCAAGTTGACGGATGTGAAAGAGGAAGAGTGCTTGCTCACGGCGGGGCTTACAGCGTGGTACCTGGCTTTTTTTTAAGTACAGTGAGGGAAAAAAGTATTTGATCCCCTGCTGATTTTGTACGTTTGCCCACTGACAAATAAATGATCAGTCTATATTTTAATGGTAGGTTTATTTGAACATTGAGAGACAGAATAACAACAAAATCCAGAAAAACGCATGTCAAAATTATTAAAATTGATTTGCATTTTAATGAGGGAAATAAGTATTTGACCCCCTCTCAATCAGAAATATTTCTGGCTCCCAGGTGTCTTTTATACAGGTAACGAGCTGAGATTAGGAGCACACTCTTAAAGGGAGTGCTCCTAATCTCAGCTTGTTGCCTGTATAAAAGACACCTGTCCACAGAAGCAATCAATCAATCAGATTCCAAACTCTCCACCATGGCCAATACCAAAGAGCTCTCCAAGGATGTCAGGGACAAGATTGTAGACCTACACAAGGCTGGAATGGACTACAAGACCATTGCCAAGCAGCTTGGTGAGAAGGTGACAACAGTTGGTGCGATTATTCGCAAATGTAAGAAACACAAAAGAACTGTCAATCTCCCTCGGCCTGGGGCTCCATGCAAGTTCTCACCTCGTGGCGTTGCAATGATCATGAGAACGGTGAGGAATCAGCCCAGAACTATACGGGAGGATCTTGTCAATGATCTCAAGGCAGCTGGGACCATAGTCACCAAGAAAACAATTGGTAACACACTACGCCGTGAAGGACTAAAATCCCGCAGCGCCCGCAAGGTCCCCCTGCTCAAGAAAGCACATATACATGCCCGTCTGAAGTTTGCCAATGAACATCTGAATGGTTCAGAGGACAACTGGGTGAAAGTGTTGTGGTCAGATGAGACCAAAATGTAGCTCTTTGGCATCAACTCAACTCGCCGTGTTTGGAGGAGGAGGAATGCTGCCTATGACCCCAAGAACACCATCCCCACCGTCAAGCATGGAGGTGGAAACATTATGCTTTAGGGGTGTTTTTCTGCTAAGGGGACAGGACAACTTCACCGCATCAAAGGGACGATGGATGGGGCCATGTACCGTCAAATCTTGGGTGAGAACCTCCTTCCCTCAGCCAGGGCATTGAAAATGGGTCGTGCATGGGTATTCCAGCATGACAATGACCCAAAACACATGGCCAAGGCAACAAAGGAGTGGCTCAAAAAGAAGCACATTAAGGTCCTGGAGTGGCCTAGCCAGTCTCCAGACCTTAATCCCATAGAAAATCTGTGGAGGGAGCTGAAGGTTCGAGTTGCCAAACGTCAGCCTCGAAACCTTAATGACTTGGAGAAGATCTGCAAAGAGGAGTGGGACAAAATCCCTCCAGAGATGTGTGCAAACCTGGTGGCCAACTACAAGAAACTTCTGACCTCTGTGATTGCCAACAAGGGTTTTGCCACCAAATACTAAGTCATGTTTTGCAGAGGGGTCAAATACTTATTTCCCTCATTAATGGATGGGTGGATGGGTGAGTGTGTTGTTGTGACCTGCAGTGTGGTGAGTGGGTGGATGGGTGAGTGTGTTGTTGTGACCTGCAGTGTGGTGAGTGATGGGGTGAGTGGATGGGTGAGTGTGTTATTGTGACCTGCAGTGTGGTGGTTGAACGCAGTGTGTCTTGAGACGAGACAGTCTGCTAGACCGAGTCCTTACCATGGGTGGAGGAATTAATGAATGAATAGTAACCTTGGTGGTCACAATGCGAGAGTGACGAGGTGACATACATTTTAATATTAATGTTCTTTATTCAGAAAAAAGCCTCCCTGAGTCTCAAGATTATTTTTCATGTGTATTATAACTAGAAGTCGTGATGTAGTGCGATTAGAGAATACACACTCACAAGAAAGGGATGTAGTGAGTTGCGAGATGTAAGAGACGGAGATGCAGTCACTAAAGGCATTGATATGAATACAGTAGTCTCTCTCGGTGTACGATGCCATCGATTTACGATGTTTCAATTAACGATCCGCCTCCCATAGGGTCCCATTGTTTCTATCAACGACAAATTTTTGATGAACGATATGTTTTACGATATCACGCGGCCAATCCGAGCGCTCCTGAGTGGACTCTGCAAACCTCAGCCAATCAGCGGCGTCCTTTTATGAGCGTTTTAGAGCAACTGGCGGCTATCTTTTCAATGTTTGATGTTGCGTTGCTTATGGAAACAGCTCTCTTGAATACTTTTTTTGTTTACTTAAAAGTTAAATAAGATCAATAACAATGGCCCCTCAAATGAATGTGAAAAAGGACAAGAAAATTGCGTGTTTAAATATTATAAACTATGTTTTTTTTAGGGTGAAAAAGGTCAACTTCCTATTGTCTTGGAACAAATTAAGCTCTTCAACGTGTATGAACCATAATTGTAATTAACGATGGCTTCCGTAGAACCAATATCGCTAACCGAGGGACCCACTGCACTGCTTAGATTTATCCACACGAGATGGAGTAGAGAGGATAGGAGGGAGATGAGTTCAGACCAGATTTAAAAGAGATTATAGGATATGCACGCAGGGGAGATGGAGGAGACAGATAATACACGATAAGAATTGTTCATTAGAATATGTAAGAAAGATGTGAGAGCGAGAAATGGGAGGTAATCTGTGGGAGAGCGGTGCATTTAGAGCTGTTGGATAGGAGAGGTGCTGTGTCCTGGCAAGATGGAGAGGAGATTATTATTATTCATTATTATTATTTACTTTTTTACAAGGCGCAGCAGACCCACACATCTGAGGACGTAAGTTGGGTTGTCTTGTTGGTTTTATTTCTAAATGGGAGAATCTCAGCAGTCAGGCGCAGCTGCTCAGGCCGACAGCGTTCCAAATCTGAGGTCCAAGGACCCGAAAAAACCCCGAGGCTCCGACACGTTTTTGCTGAGAGTGTGGCTGACAGAGGAGCACTCCTAGAAGGGCCTCGCCTCCCGCATCTAATCCCGCCTGGCTTCTATCCACGTCACTTTCTGTCCATCAACCTTTCCAAAACTCAAATGATATTTTTGCCTGCCTCCCGTTCCCCTCCTCGCTGTCCCACCATTTCTCTACCTCCTTTTTTGATGTCCCCTATTTCCGCAGCCCACAACTTTGCTGGTACCTGTGACTCTTCCCTCACCGATCACATTTCCACCACTACCCGTGCTCACCGGTTTAATTTGTTCAACATTCGCAAAATCCCACTGATTATTTCCACCTCTGCTGCAAAACTCCTCATCCATTCCCATATCAATACTCATCTGGTCTATTGCAACTTTATTTTTCTCGGTCTCCCCATTTACTCTTTTGCCCCCCTTAAACAAATCCAAAACAACTCAGCTTGGCTCATATTCAACCTCCCCTACAATTCCCATACCTCGACCCCCCTCGCGCAACTGCATTGGCTCCCTGTCTACTACCTGTTCTAATTCCTCACCCTGGTCTACAAATACCATCATGGACTTGCCCCACCACATCTTGCTACTCTCATATATTTCTTGCCACTCTTGTAATTTCACACATCACAGATTTGCCCCCCATTGCGTTCTCATCTATTTTATTCACCTCATCTCCACCATTACATTCACATTTACCATTTTTTATTCTCTTTAAAGCGCCTCGGTTAAGGCGCAATATAAATTACGTTACAATAAAGCGGCAAGTGAGGGACCTTGACGGGAAACGTACGGAGATCAAAGTGTGCACAGCAGTGCCCCGTCGAGCCACACTCAGGTGGCCCCTCCGCACATCACGTCACAGCGGTGGCGACGCGTGGAGCCGCATGGTCAGAAACTCGCCGGGAAAGCCGCCGCTGGGCGCTGCTCTGGTAAAGCAGTGGGGATGATGCCGGTTGACCGGTTACATAAATCGGTTGTGGGGGGGCGCAGCGGTGGCGAGATGTTAACTCCCTCGCCTGGTATGGAAGGATGTCGCGGGTTCGATCCCGACCCTGACGCCTGCTGTATATTTGGAATTTGCGTGTCTCTCTCACCGTGTACATGTGGATTTTTCTCGAGGTCCTCCCGTTTTCTCTCCACATTTAGAATGAACACACCTTTAGAGTATTTGACTACGATCAATTTCCACGATATAAGCCACTTCGTTGAGCGATAATTTGTGGCCAGGTCGCTTCTGAGAAAAAGCTGCACCGCTCAGTGGGCCTTACCTGGTAAAATAAAAAGTTTAGTTTTATAAAATATGAGCTCGTGGCCAGTTTGACAGCTCTGCTCTAACCTAATTGGTGTAATGAGCACCAAGGTTATGCAATGTTACCAACGCCTTTGGCATATTCAACCTGAATGATTAACTGAAAAATGTATCAAGTTATGCTTGTTTATTTTTTATTTGGCAGATAAGAAAAAGCTGATTGCCAAGCAAAGAGAAGACATCTGGGAAGGAAGTGTCTGAAATAGCCCCGCAGAATATTTCTTTTTTTATATTTAATTTAAGATATTGTGTTTGGTACGGGCCTTAGAGAGCCTGTTTATTATGAGGTTTAGAGAAACTTTTTTAGCTCAAGGTTTAGAGAGACCGTGTTTCGTATGTGGTTTATGAGACTGTGTTTAGTATGGGGTTTAGACTTGAGTGGCATTTATAGAGACTGTTTAGTACGGGGTTTAGAGAGACTGTGTTAACGATTGTATTTAGAGAGACTGTTTAGTATGAGGTTTAGAGAAACATTTTGTTCAGGGTTTAGAGGCTGTTTAGTATGAGGATTAGAGAGGCTGTTTAGTAGATATGTGCATATATGAAGCTACCATCATCCATTGCAATGATAACTGTGCCTGTTTTAAAAAAAGTTACTTCAATGGATTAGCAGTAGTACATTAGAAACTCCTTATTTTTGGGGTGAGAAATCAGCTCCCCTTTCATTGGCGTGTACCTCTTAACACATGGCTGCAGACATCTCACGCGTGCCGATGTGGCCGTGTGTTTTCACTGTCGCGGTACCGAGTGGTGGCGCGATGGGGGGTTGATATCCACTGCTGGATGAAGGCCACCCCTGGACCGGCGGGCGCCAACTCACGGTCTCACGATAAACCATCGTCACGCAAACTTCGGTCAACCTCGCAGCAGCAGGAGCGGCTTTTGGCGAGCCCATCGAACGAAGACGGTTACCGCATCGCGCACGCTTTTGGATGCATTTCTGCTGCCGTCTGGAACGGCCCTCCTACTGCTATTAGGAAGCCACTGGAGCAATGCACTTTTAAATCTAGATTGAAAACGAATTTCTTTAAAATAAATTTTTGTGTTTAGTTTGTCCTTCCCCCGCACGTCCGATTATCGCAGTTGGCTACGTATGGTGCACAATAAGTTAAACATACAGTACATACAGTGAACATACAAGCACCCATACACAAGCATCACTCCAACGTGGACACTGAAGCAGGGAGTGGAACAAAAAGAGTAAAATTATACAAAGCGGCGTGGAGAGGTGCATGCTGAGATGTACACTTTGAGACAGCAAAATTTAATTAGAAGCGAAGTTGACATGATCACCGTAAATGAAGTCGGTGGGTGTTGTAGCAGCACACATCACTGCTAGAGCGGAAGATAGCTGATGATCTCGACCGGTGTCGGGGTTGGCAGCTAAAGGAGAGATCGCGCCCCAAGAGGGCGTCTGCCGTGGAGATGGAGCAACGCGATGAGCTCGGTTGCCGGAATGGGATTGTAACATCGCAGGGTCTTGCGGTTGGTGACATCATGAGGCCTTCAGCAGTGAATAAATGGTGGTTGATGAGGCAATATTTAAACAATAATCTCCGCAACCATTTGAATGTGGATATTGTAAAACTCGTGAAATGTAATATTTAAAAACCCTTAGTTGCACCTATGTGACTGGTTTATGAGTCGCCATTCCAGTTCGTATGTGGAGTGTTTGTGTGTCTCAGCACTGCGGCTGCAAGATGCACATTCTCGGTGTCAAAACCAGGGCTGAGCACAGCGTGAGGACTTTGTACAGCGCTGCCGACGCGCGTCCACACTCGCAGGCGATCCCCTTGTTAGGGGCCGTCCATAACGCACCTGGGGGGGCGGGGGGCGGGTCAGACATTTGTGACGATGTGTGACAAGGGGAGGGGGAGGGGGGGTGAGAATTGTGACGTCACATCAAAATGCGCAACTTTAAATAGACAACACGTTCTACTTCATTAAATAGACTTTTTAGTAAATATTTTCTCCTACAACAGAGTGGAGCGGCACATTAAATACGCACCACAATGACGAGTTTAAAGCGATTTGAAGCATGTTTTTTTTTAGGGGGAGGGTACAGAGCTTTGTGACGTCATATTTGAGGGGGGGGGGTCTGACTTTTTGTGACGCCGTGTGACGATGGAGGGGGGGGGGTCAAAATCGTCCAAAATCACGTGACGTCCTTTATGGAAGGCCCCTTAGGGGAGCGGTGGCACAGCGATTCGCTCTGCGCAAGGAACCCCCCCCCCCCCCCCCCCGATGCTCGTCGGTCGTGGGTTCTGGAGTGCAGTCCGTGGCCTCGCCCCGGAGGACTTGGGGAGGGAGCTGGGTTGCGTTTCAGAGTGGTCGCGTGTAACTTCTCATGATAGCGTTCATAAAATGTCTAAACAATAAAGTGTTGAAATAAAGAAGCCGCTTGATTCGCCGCCACATCTTCCTCTCCACGTAAAAACGCCGAAGTATTTTTTTTACACATCCCATCAGCCACAAAGATTCTCGGAGTGCATAATGTTCAGCTGCATTTGTTCAACACAAGAAAGCAAGAAACACTCCAGGCACGCGGTTTACTCCAGTACCGATCTCGGAATGATGTTCTTGCCTTAATTCAATCACTTTACTTTAAACCTTCTCCTCTTGACATCCTTCCCTATGCCCCTTTTTAAATGCTTCACTAAACTCGCTACTACGACTGCGCACCATCGCCAACGCTTCATTTGCAGCTGGGTGTTTCCCACCATCTTTAAAAATAGGACAAGTTTCACCACAATGTCTGAAGAAATCCAAACTCGACACTGACAAACCTACTAGTTACCGGCATCTTGCTCAACTTAAGACTCTCATTACATCTTGCCCAAACTTTTGTCCCTATAAATCTGCCTACCGTCAGACTTACTCCACGGAGACTGCAATTACTAGAGTCTTCGACGAAAATTCTTTGAATCGTCGACTCCGGTGCAATCACGGCTCTCGTTGGTCTGGACATTTCATTATCTTTTGATAATGTCAATCACCTATAGCTTACCAGTCTTGAGTCCGACTTTGGAATCAGAGGATTAGTCCTAAAATGGATCTCATCCTCCTTGGCTGGGAGGACCTCTGTTAAAATCGGCGAATCCACATCCACAATTACAAAGCACTCATGCAAAGTCCCCCAGAGCTCAGTGCTGGGACCACTATTGTTTAATAGCTTCGGAATTAAATACCACTCCTGTGCTAATTATATTATTCACCTCAATAAACACCACTAATGCTCAAGGAATTGAAAATCTCTGAGTGCACAATAACCTTGCAGCACTGGTTCTGGTCACATGATCTTTAAATCCAGCCACATCTGAATCCATCCCCATTGGCACCCGACAACGGTTCGGGTCACCCTCTCTTCCTTGCCAGCACCACCATTCCCTTTACGAACCGCATCAAATTCCTTGGTGTCACTCTGAATTCTACCTTCTCTCTGGATATTCACGTCAACAACATCATCAAAACTTGCAAATGTCATCTCAAGGCTCTTCGACACCTACATTCACTCGTTTCCATCGACATTGCCAACACCCTCGCCTGCAGTATAGTCGGCTCTCACCTAGACGACTGTAATATCTCTACAAGTCATTAGCCTCAAATGTCAACGGTTACATAACCACCTTGCTGGTGTCGTCCTTGGTGTCCACCATCGAAGACTCGACTCGGCCACCGCTCTCCATACTCTTCATGGGCTGCCTTTCGCCGGCAGGACAGACGAGGAAGTCGCACGGGACTTTGCCATCGCACCTTCACCGGCTCCGTACCACCACACCTCGCCTCACGACTCTCGCATTGCACTGAAGCTCACAGTAGAACCCTACGCAGCAGCAGCAGCGTCACTCAAAATCTGCTTCTGTACACTACGCTACTTTGCACTATACTACTACACTAAACACTACTATACACTACACACTACTATATGCTACGCTACTATACACTACAATGCCGTAGCCATGGAGTCAACATTGGGGGGGACCAAATCTTCCAGGGTGTCTGGGGGTCCCAACCCAGAAAAATATCTACATTTGAAAACTAATTTCCTGCCTAAAATATAAAAAAATCACTAACACATGGGATGGACTTTTTATTTATTACAATAATGTCTAATAGTGTATTGTATTACATCGCTCTGTTTTTACTTTTTTTTACCGTTTCTTGTTTCATTGTATGTAATGTTTGAGATTAGGGATGAATAAAGTACAACCATAACCACAATCATATAAACAGCAATCTATGCATTGATTTATACGAAGACAAGTCCAGATATTGTGGCCAAGATTTAGCAAATTGTTGTTTTTATTTACATAGCATAGCAATTATTACTACTTTTTTTAGCAAAATATTGGTGGGGACATTTTGTAATTACAATATATATTGGGGGGATATGTCCCCCCAATATATATTGTAATTACGGCCTTGATACACTATACTACTACACTAAACACTACTACACACTACACGCCACACTACTATACACAACACTGGACACTACACTATATACAGACGACCCCCGCACCTACGACCTAATTGATTCCTGTACGACGGTCGCCAGTGGAGCCGTTGTAAGTCGAAGCCTCGTTTCCCATAGGCGCAATGTTATATATTGGGGTTCCGTTGCTGGAAACCCATTACCATAGAAATACCAAAATTTACCACGAAAATAAATGAAAATAACCCTAACAAACATTTATTGTAACTTAACATGACAGTCGTTGGGCGATCATAGACACGAGTTTTGGTCGTTATTGTTGGGGGTCTTATTTAAAGGTCGTAAAAGCCGTCGGAAGTCGGGGGTCACCTGTACAGCACTACACTGACAACCTCACGTCGGTTCTCTGCTGTCGCCCCCTCGGTGTGGAACTCTCTCATCACTTTGCACATCCGCAACAGCAATGCACTCTTACTTTCAAGAAACATCTAAAGGCCTCTCTATCTGTCCGGGTCAGGCTTTTGAGCAGCCCTGAGCTTGGCTCCGCACCCGAGTTGTTGACTTGTCCGCAAAATCTTGATTTGAAGCTTTCGTGACTGCAGGAATCCACTCTCTTTGGTTCTTTCGGTAAAGTCACGTAGGTATAAAATAAAATAAATCACGTTTCAATTGCAACACGAGCAATCATCATCAGGTGGGAAAACCACATTAAGAAAAAATGGTTTGCTGCAAAGTGTGGTGCGTTATAAATGTCATTATTACCTCTCTATTGTTTTCAGGTTACAAAAATCTTCGCGTCACTGCAGTGTGAACAGCGCACAACACAACATGACTGGGCCAAGTCCACGTCCTTCCCCAACCAGCACTCAGATCGCCCGCTGTGCGATGGATACCCGGGAAGCGAAACGCCGACAGGGGACTGTGTTGATGACCAAGACTCTACACGTTCATGTCTTAAACGTTGTTGCCGACTCCCACGCTACAGTTGAACGTCAGGCCAAGTGTGCACGCGGCAAATTTATTATTTTGTGTTGAAACTGCATTCAGCAGTATCCAAGGGTGGTGAGAAATGGCAAAAGAGAGGTTCCATCTTCAGTGACATTCTGTAGAATATTGAATCTAAAATGTTTGTTTCATTCATATGAACGAAATCGTTCAATAATTTTAAACTAAAACTAAACTATACTTTATTTTTATTTTACCAGGTAAGGCCCACTGAGCTCTTTCTCAGAAGCGACCTGGCCACAAATTATAGCTCAACTAAGTGGCTCATCGCGTGTAAATGCAATACAGCCAAATACTCTAAACCAGTGGTTCTTAACCTGGGGTGCACGCACCCCCTGGGAGAGTGAGATGACCTTTCTGGGGGTGCGAGACATGGCCAGATTTTTTTAAGGTAAACCATCAAAAACACAAATAAAGCACGGGCACATAAGTACAAATTTGATTTAAAGCTTTCGTGACTGCAGGGATTCATATTCTTGGTTCTTTCGATAAAGTCACGTAGAAGGGAAACAATAAAATAATAAAAATATAAAACAATAAAATTATCACGACGTTTCGACTGCAACACAAGCAATCATCATCAGGTGTGAAGACCACAGCAAGAAAATTTTTAAAAAAGTGGCGGTTTTTTAACATTAGCACCACAGAAAGCGATTTGACAGTTTGTTCAGATGGACGAGTCCATCTACATATACAAACACAGAGACAATTTCAACCGAGATGGATTCTGGCTTAGCAATCATTGGAAGGATTTGATAAACCATTTCGAGTCTTAATTGATTGATCACGCTTAAGGTGGCTTTCAGACCGCATCCATTATTTTTCGTCTCCCCCCTCTTCTTTTCTGAACATAGATTAACAAACTGCCAAATCGCTCTCCGTGGTGCTAACGTTAAAAAACCGCCACTTTTTTCAAAATATCTTGCTGTGGTTTTCACACCTGATGATGATTGCTTGTGTTGCAGTCGAAACGTCGTGAGAATTTTGTTTTATATTTTTATTATTTTATTGTTTCCCTTCTACGTGACTTTACCGAAAGAACCAAGAATATACAACTACTTTTTTTCATCAAACCCCTTGTGTATTAACATTGTAGTGCAATAGCGCCGGCTGGTGGACAGCAGCGGCGACTGTGGTGGACAGACAGCACACACACCGGTGAGGATGTGAGCACTGTGTGTGGGCAGAGGGGAGGAACTAGGGCAAGAGTCACGGAGGACCCCGTCTGGAGGCCCCTAGAACCTACTAGCGGGTTCGAGAAGAGAAGCGCGGTCAGGGCGGAGCCAGGTCGCGCTGGTAGCAGAAAAGGAGCCGAGCGGGAGCTCGAGGCTGCCGGTTCTGGGAATGGACTCGTCTCGTCGTTGATGTCGTCTCGTCGCCGTTATCGCTAAACGTCTCCGCTAGATGTTGCGCTACGAAGGAGAGGAGTTGGCTATCTCAGTCAGCGCCGTCAGTGTTATACGGGCTAGTGTTGTGTACAGGCAAGGCTGAGCGACTGTGCAGAGCGTGCAGACGAGACCGTGAAAGTTGTTAATAAAGTGCCTCCTAGAAACTCTCTCTGAATCGTTGACACAACATTATACAATCTTTAGCGATTGAGAACCAAAGGCGTGCAAGGCTGCAGTAAAGGTTAAGAACTACTCCTCTAAATGTGTGATGTTGATTTTAAATTTGGAGGGTAAAGCCGGAGGACCCGGAGAAAAATCCACGTGACCACGGGGAAAGAAACAGACTCCAAATTCACAGGCGTCAGGGTCATGATGGAACCTACGCCCTCCTATATACCAAGCAAAGTAATTAACATCTTGCTACTGTGGCGCCACAAGAAATGTTATCTCGTAAATAAAAACTACTTCATTTGCTTGCATGTACTTGCCTCAAATACTGCAGTGACCGACCGGCCGAGCGAAAGCAACACTGCTGGCGGCTCCTGCGTGATCAGTGCACACGCACGACCCAACGCTACTCGCCCATCCGGTCCATCTGGATGTCGCCGTGGTGAGATGTTAACTCCCTCGCCTGGTACGCAGGTGGTCGTGGGTTCGATCCCGACACCTGCTGCTGTATATTTGGAGATTGCGAGTCTCTCCGTGGTCGCATGGATTTTTCTCCGGGCCCACCGGTTTTTCCCTTCCACATTTAGAATCAACATGCGTTTAGAGCATTTGGCTGATATAAATTTCCACATAAACCACTTCCTTTGAGAGGGCTCCATGTTTTGCAAGCATAAAAGGAGGGAATAACTGTGGCCGGAAAAAAACGGAGCTTTGTATGGAGTGATAAGACTGTGTAGCTTCCACACAATATTACGCAGCTGATGAAAATAAGTCACTCGACTAATTTAGTGAGACCTCGGCTATCAAATAGGAGCTGGTCATAAACAAACTGCATAGGTACGGAAACTTCTCCACTCTCTCCACAACTGCACATTTGATGACAAAATACCCAGGCAGGTGCTTGTTTTTTGTGGGGTTGATTTTAAGGCTCCATCTCTGAGTAGCATGCTCCAGGTTCAGCAGTCACATCTCCAACTCCTCCTCAGAATGGGCAGTAATCACCAGATCCGTATACATATGGTTGATCAAAAGTGAGCCATTTTCGACTGCACCCAAGCATCGATCAGCCTCCCACTGTATTTCTACCAGATGGAAATTCCACTGGTCCATCCATAGAAAGCTTATCAAACTATGCGATCAAAGAAGATGTGAGTGCAGGGGCAAGAGGAAATCCCCGTCGCACCCCAAGGTGCACAGAAAATAAGTCCAACACCTGGCCATGCAACTTTACCCAGGCCTGCCCACCATCATGAAGGTCCCTAAAGATTGCGAGCAGAGGGTCTGGGACTCTGAAAGTACTCGCTTCTGCCATCTCATCGTAAGTTCCATCTCGCAACCTCCGATCTCTCGAACCTGATAAGTGAACATTGCTTCTCCGTTGCAGCTCCAGTCGGAGGGAATTCACTTCTTCTCTCAATCCACCGCATATCGCAGTCCGTGTCTCCCTTGTCAGAATCTGAAGACATCGCTCTTTCTCCCATGCCTCCGAATGTGCTTTTCGAGTTCAATTTGTGCGCGTTATAATTTTTTATTAACGAAGGAAGAGTAGCTACATGTGGACTACAGTTGCAGTTTTTGAATCCGAGTAACATTTCAAATTTTAGACACAACATAAACGGCCATGGCCAATGAATGCCAACATTGCTTTAGCCTCCGGCATCCTCCCCCAGCTGAGTGAGGTGGCACCACCATGAGGCTCATTTATGGCATCGGGATGAGAGCAGGACCCCAATTGCACAATTTCCAAGCGATTGATATCACACTCATCGGCAGGATCCATAAGTGGGCCTCCAGAAAATGTGGATTTTCAAAGTCAATAAATAAAAACATAAAATAAAAAAGCAGCGTATGCTGACTTAACAGGATAAAAACATCAAACTGAAACTTGCCACTTACAATGCGCACACTGTACAAAGTGTTGCGTGTACACAGCCGAACCGTTACCGAGTCTTTACACGTGCACAGGGAGACTAGCAATAACACAACTTTGCAATACTTGGTCATGACAATTATACATATAAAATATCACTATGATTCCTTAAAAATGACCGACAAACTAAAAAGCTGATGCAGTGAGCACTAGGTAAATATTTAGAAAGCGTTTCTCTACTAAGACCATGCTGACAACACCCGTAGTGATGCCTTACAAATACAGAACGCGGCTGTGTTGATGTATTCCGCATGGAAACGGCCTTTACGGGAGGAGTGGCTCTGTCCATCAGTGTCTCTGGAGACCGGATCGCTTTATCGGCTGCCGCCACTGCTGCCTTTGTCTTCATAGATCGATATCTCAATCTGGGGAATGAAGGTTAAGAAATGCAACGCACAGGGTAACGATAAAGATCCCCCTTGTAGCCTTAACAGACTGTTGGGGAAAGTGCTGTTAACGAGCACCTATGAAGGCCGACAGAGCACACGAGGGGGTGGGTTGCTAGCAACACGCCCGGCTGCCTTTGTCTCCCCAGTGGCGATGTTTACCACACAAGTACCCATCTGAGGCCGAGTCAATCTAGGAGAGGCCCAGGACCAGTTAAGATAATCGTCACCGGTGTTGGCCATGAGCAGAAATCAAACTCTGGTTGCCGAGTTCATAGGGCAGCGTGGTAACCGCTACATTACCGCTCCCCACTAACACACACACACTCGCCCGCTTTACTCCCTACTCACTCACCCACTAAACCAACCACCCACTCACCCACCTTTAAAATCACTCGCTCAACCACCGACTCACTCTCACCCACTCACGCACAGACATGGGCAATCGGATGAAAACACGCCGGATGCCTCGCTACTCAGATGAGTGGTGTAAACCTCTACGTTTTCATGGCAAAACCCAGTCGCACAAAGGCGCTCGACGCTGTAAGGATACCACGCGGAGGCCTCTCTCGATGGGGTCAGTGATGAGCAGGCCGCGCGGTGCGTAGATCTTCTCGTTCTGCTCTTGCACGTACTTGGAGATCTTCCTGAGCACCTGCCAAGTGTAATATCTACACGTGAGGTGCGTCACATCTACATCAAGGGGTCAAGCCTGAGGGCACGGGCAAAGAACAAACGCAGCACTCGACGCTCACAAAGCACGTGACAACAAATTCTTTGGTTCTTTCGGTAAAGTCACGTAGAATGAGAATAAAATAATAAATTGATGAAATAAAATAACACAATAATATTCTCACGTGACAACAAGTCACGATCAAATTAAGAAAAAAGATGTGGGGGGGAGGTTGACCCCCCAAAGGTCAATTTATTTTTTAGAGAAAGGTCAAAGCAAAGCAGAGTGTGATGTGTGCATGTAACCCTGACCATTGTGTGAGAGGTATGCAGTGACCCTGGCTCCGCGTGAAATGCATGGTGCTCGCATATGTGACGCTTGAGATTTGTTTATTTTAACTGGGTGAGAACTCAAGAGACCAGAATCGTCTCATTTGCAAGAGTGACCTGGTGGGATTCGCAGGGGATGATTGATTCCCGCACCTCCCATTTGCACGGTTGGCTACGTATGGTGCGAAATAAGTTCCACATACATATGTCCATTGTTAAGTGCAATCCAAACTGAGGAATTTGCTAATAATTTTGGAATTTGGCAAATTTGGACCCCGATGACCGCTCACAATGGCCTACTGTTGCGAATGACATGTGGTACAGTAGTCCCTTGGTCAACAGTGACATCGGCTAACGGTTTTTCGGTTAACGTTTCGCCTCCCACATTTCGATGAATGGTATGTTCACGTTATGCACGCGGGTGCCAATTTCAGCCAATCCGCGTGCTGGTAAGTGGAGCTGAGCCTTGCCCTCAGCCAATCAGCGATGCCTAATTATGAGCCGTTTAGACCTCGACTGGCTTTGTTTACATCACACTTTCTGTTTTGGCAGTGGAAACAGCTCTCTTGCAGACTCGGTGATTATTATTTTTCAACTTATAAGTGAATTCGATTAACAGTTAGTTCGGTTCACTGCAGTTTTCGTGGAACGGATTAAAAACGTTAACCGAGGGACTACTGCATTTTCATGGTCATCACACCCACGGTGAAAATGAGGGCGGCCGCTGGATTGAAACCACAAAGCTCTGCAATGGCACAGTTATGGCGAGAAACTTGCGCTGCTGGCGAGGGAGCGGCACCTTCTCGTAGCGCGTCTCCATGCACATGAAGAGAGTGTATCCCGTGAGGCAGCCCAGGCAGCTCTCCACGTACGAGTGCGCTCCGATCTTCTCGGCCTCCGTGTAGAGCTTGTTGAAGGTCCGCACGGTGTCCTCAAACAGGTTCTTCTCGATCTGCTCGCCAGACATCGCAAAGCACACGCTCGGTCAAGAATGGTGGCGGAGGTAGCAGCAGCAGCAGCAGAGATGCCCAGAGAGCCAAAAGCCCAGAGAGCCTTTGGCTTTGTGGAGCGACAGGAGGCGGCGAAGTGTCTGATTATTTATTTTGTATCTTATGCTATCTAAACGTAAGCCTGTCCCTCATTTCGTATCAGGTGACTCATTAGACATTTGACACTAACAAAAATACATACAACCCAACAAAGTTGACTGAACCATTCAAGAAAAAACCAAAGTAAAATTATTTACTTCTTACACTATAAGAAAAATGACAAGAGGGCAGGGCTACACGATTATTTATCGATTCCTCTTCCGATTATCGCTGGTCAGGAGGTAGCAGGGGGGGGGTGTGGTGGCGTCGTCGGCTTTGGCGGCCGTTTCGCGCTGAGCGTGGCTGTGGGGGAGGGGTGGGGGGCCACCATCTCTCAGGGGCCGAGTAATCGTCTGCTAAAACCACAGTCATGTAAGTTCCTGATTGTCCCAGCTCTAGCTTGAGTACAGCAACACCGCAATATGCAAATATTCGACATACAAATTTTCCGTGTAACGAACTTTGGATTTATTACCATTATATTAATGGTAATGAAAATAAAGTTAAATCATAAACAAATATACTGAAAGTAATATGTAAATAATACAAGTATCCATCTGAAGTACAATATAAATGAGAATGAAAATTATAATAAGATATGTTTCTGAAGCAATGCGCATCATGTTGGGTCACAGAATGTTTGCTTACATTCGTCCTGGCGAATCAGCGCGCAACAAAGCACTATGCTACGGCGCTGTGGAGTGTGGTGGGCAATGCAACCTATTGGTGAGTGTGAATATATTTTACAGTATGATACATTATTTCTTGGCAGTTTTTTTATTTTAATACTGCACAGTATAAAATACCATATTATTTTACATATAGATTGTCCATGTTTACAATGTGAATAGGTAAGTTACAAAGTGTTTATAGTATGAAATGGTGAGTTACGAAGGCTGGGAACGCATTCTCACTGTACAAATCTTATAAATTTCGATTTAAAGCTTTCGTGACTGCAAGGATTCATCTTCTTTGGTTCTTTCGGTAAAGTCACGTAGAATGAGAATAAAATAATAAATTAATAAAATAACACAATAAAATTCTCACGACGTTTCGGCCACAACACAAGTGGCCTTCTTCAGGTGAAGGTCACCTGTGTTGTGGCCGAAACGTCGTGATAATTTTATTGTGTTATTTTATTTTATTAATTTATTATTTTATTCTCATTCTACGTGACTTTACCGAAAGAACCAAAGAAGACAAATCTTATAAGTTAGTCAAAATACTAAGTGTCAATAAACAATCAAGGCTCCAGGAATGCATATACTGTACTTTGTATATCGAGGTATTACTGTGTATATTTATTACAATGTTAAACTGTGCTGTAATTATTTAAGCTAACGTGTCAAATTGCATTCATGAAATCTAAACGACTGCATTTGCGTTTTTTATTTAGCTCCGTCGGTCTGTCTGTGACAGCGGGGGGGGGGGGCAGGATAACCCGTAAACAAGAGCCGATATGAACAAAACGTTAGCAGAACTTCGCGGAACGTCAAAGGGTTTAATTAAACTTGGGACGAAGACCAGCACGAAATGATTAATAAATGTAGCGCTAAAAGGAAGTGCGCTCCTCCTATTGTGGATGATGTAATCATTACACGTCAGGTAGTTTCACGTTACACAACATCTCGTCGTGCGGCTTGTGTCTCTGTGTGGTGAGTCTATGGGTCTCTGTGTGAGTCTATGTATGTACGTTGAACCTCTTTTTCATGGTACATAGCAAACCGTGCTAAATGGAGGTGCGGGGGGGGGGAGGACAACCTATACAAAGAGCTTACCAATCATTTGGGCAATGGTCTTCTCACATTCTGCCACAATTTTCCTCATTTCTGTAACCTAACCCGAACACCGTCGAAGACAAGCGCATGCCGTAGCAAAGCTTGCCATAGCAAAGCTTGCCGTGCGTATGTGCGCGAGTGTTCCTCCTCGGCTAACCCACGCAACGGTCGTGGTGCCTGCTGCAGGCTGCACTCTAACCAGGGCGACACGTTACGGGGGGGGGGAGGAGGGAGCAGCTTAGTCACCCGGGGCTCCAGCTCAGGCAGGAACTTGATCTGGAATCGGCAGGAGGTTCCCTCCGAGTAGTCGCGCTGCACGTACACTTTAGTGAGAAGGAAGGCCTGGCGCGAAAGGTCATCCAAACTATGTGCCTGCACGCATCACACGCCGACACGCACACATCACACTCCCATGCATCGTACTGAATTTGAAACACAAGCTTGAATAGACGTTTAGCTCTCCAACCCACAGAAACTTTACTACCACCACCAACTTAGATCATCATTAATCACTGCTGAACCTAGAAGCTTTGATAGCTTTTAATCACCGCCATCATTAACACCACCACCAACCGCCATTCGCCACTAAGTGGTGGTGACGTCACCACCTATGAGATCTTCACTCAAAACTGCTCTAGAGGAGTTGTACACCCCTAGCTGCCACTGCTATTCAGTGGCCTAAAATAAAATGTTTCGCTCCGGATGACCGCTGCCAAGTATTATCTGTATTTTGATTTAGTGTGCTGATCTTAAAGGTGCATTGAAAAATGTGATACTCCGACTGATGCTCCTGTTGTTGTGGAGTGACTCATGCAGCCAGCATTGGCTCTAGGGTTTGGTGTTACATGTTATTTATGTAGTTTATTGTTAAAAATTCGGTCACAGTCCCTATGATCACTGTTACATTGCATTTATGGCTTATTTTGATTTCGAAAACGTTTTTTGGTTTGGCCATGTTTTTTTGTGTATTGTAGTACAGAGTTAGACTGATGGCCTTAATCCTAGTTGTCTTGTGGTTGTTGTTGACTTGCATCCCACTGGGATTTTTGCACACAGCGTTGGTGTACGGTGCTATTTCAGGAATATTTTGATGTTTTTTCCTTGATTTTCTGTTTGCACAGTCACATAGTCACTTTAAGATGTTTTCTTGTTCATGTTTTTGTTTTTTGTTTGTTGCGGTTGCACCCGATTCAAGAGCCGAATGGCTCACAGGGCTATACCAAAATAAATGGAACTAAATGAACTATGAACTTAGTTGTCAAAGGCTCGCTGACAGGTCACTGGACAGACTCAGGTGCCAGGGGTTGACTGAGATGTCTGGCAGATATACCAGCTGTGCCCCTACCGTGCCAACTTGCTATGTTTTAGCCGCCCGGCGCTCTGCTCTTTGCTGTGAGCGCCACTCCTCTACTGTTGTTGGGAGGGCGACTGACTCAACCAGAGTATCCTTCAAATCCTGCGGAACACGTCCAGTGGTCCAGCCTGTTGTGCTGATGTAATATTGGGCAGTCTGCACACAAGCGCCACCCTCGGCAATTTCCTTGGGAAGATTATCTCTGCCCGGGCGATTTTGCAGGTCTGACTCTTGATCGCCTTCTGTACTTTCCTACACTCATCACAGTGGAATAGGCCTCGGCAAGGTAAAGTAATTTCCCCTTTTTATCGGGTAAAAGGGTAAAGGTGTCGACCATGCCAAGGGGTAAGGTAAAGGGTAGGATAATGGTAGCGCGAAGTATTACCCGGTAAATACCCTGTTTACCACTTGCTAAAAGCTCCGTGGCGCAGTCCGTGGCCTCCATTTTTTATTGGAATCATTGATGTCGGACCAGATGGAGACGGACCACGTTCTTGAGGTAGAGAACGAGGTCGAGAATGCCAACAACGGCATTTTCGGGGTCGCTGCAAACAGCAATCGAAAGGGGCAGCGGCATGCGTTCCCGTGGGAGCACACGCTACGATTGGGTGGAGGGTGATCCCCGTGTGCAGCAAGGAAAGCGGCAGTGCGTGCACTGCTGCAAGTGGTTTCCTCCCACACAAATGCGTCGGGGTGGAAAGCCCACCTCAAGAAGCACAACGTGCTCGCCCCAGGCAGCGAGGTCGGGACGTCGGCATCGGCGAGCTGCCTAATATGCAGCAAACGCTGAGCCGGCCAGCAATCCCGGATCACCTCCTGGTAAAGTTTTAGAACGCGGTGGTTAATTTTGTTATCCAAGGTGAAATCTCTTTGGGAGCCGCCGGCACCATCATTCGCAGGATTGTCGAGCATCACGCCATCATGCTGCCCATTGTCGGGGCGTTCTTCTCCAACCTGGACGTCGTCATCTCGCTCACCATCGATGAGTGTTCGAACAGCAAACCGGAAGGGATTTTGGATGGTCACGGTGCACTGGATCGACACCAAATCTGGTGCGTCGAATTCCATGCTGCTGACGATCCTCGATGTGCAGTCCGGAAGGGGTGTCGGCAAGCGCATTGGCACCGCTCTGTCTGAGCACCTCCAAATCCTCGGGCGCAATGTCTCGACCAAGCTGCTCGCTGTCACCAGCGACAATGACTCCGATGCGATCAGTGCTGTCAAGACGTTGTTCGCCCTGGGTGTTAAATTCAGAACACCTTGCTGATCCAACACTTTATCACAGCTATTTCAATGTTAAATTCTCCTGTTTGATATGTAAACTCCTTTGTCAAGGCGCTTTACTTATCCCACCTAGCTTAAAAGACGCTGCGAATCTTAGCAGCGTTCATTGAGGCGCTGTCGTCCCGACAGTTCTGTTCCTTCACCTGAAGAAAACTACTTGTGTTGTGGCCGAAACGTCGTGAGAATTTTATTGTCTTATTTTGTTTGTTTTATTCTCATTCTACGTGACTTTACCGAAAGAACCAAGAAGATGCTTAGTTTTAGTTTGGAACGCGGCCATCCATCCTCCTCTCACCGCTGCGCAAAGAGCCGCTCGCTATTCCATCTCCACCGACTCTCTCAAGAGGCACCCTGAAAGGCCCCGCGTCTCTCCCGCCACCCTCTCTCGTGACACCGCACCAGCCAGGTACTCATTTAAGGCGGAGTCGACCTAGGGGAGGCCCATGCCCAGTTCAGATAATCGTCACCGGTGTTAGTGGCCGTGGAATTGTTCGCGTTACTGAACGTCGTGACCACAGAGCCACCCGTACAGCCTGGGGTGGGGACTGCTTGGCCCAGCGCTGCGCGCCTGTGAGGGGGTGGTGTGGGCAGAACCACACCCGGCCGCCTTTGTCTCCCCAGTGCTGATATTGACGAGATACTCGTTTGAAGTTGAGTCCACCTGGGGGGAGGCCCAACCCATATGTTCGACGACAATGTTACAATGTTATTTATTTATTGTGAGCGAGAATTTAACTCGGACAGCGGAGTGCCTTTAACCACTGCTGTTTGTACTGTATTGTACAGTAGTGCCGCTCCCATCATAGACCAAGGGCCCCCGTGTAGCCTGTAACAGACTGTAGGGGCAAGTGCTGTTAGCGAGCAGCAGCATCTGTGACGGCCGGCACACGAGGGGGTGTGTGGCCAGCACCACGCCCGGCCGCCTTTGTCTCCCTAGTGGCAGTGTTTACTCCACACCGCACCAGGTACTGTTTTGAGGCCGAGTCGACCTAGGGGAGGCCCAGGACCGGTTCAGATAATCGTCACCGGTGTTGGTGGGCGTGAATCGACCTCGGGTCGCCAACATCACCAGCAACATCACCATCACAACCAACATTATTATCAACATCACCATCACTACCAACATTATTATCAACATCACCAGCAACATCACCATCACCACCAGTAACATCGCCACCATCACTACCAACATTATCATTACCAACATCACCAGCAACATCACCATCACTACCAGTAACATCACCATCACTACCAACATTATCATCATCAACATCACCATCACTACCAACATTATCATCATCAACATCACCAGCAACATCACCATCACCACCAGTAACATCACCACCATCACTACCAATATTATCATCATCAACATCACCATCACCACCAGTAACACCACCATCACTACCAACATTATCATTACCAACATCACCATCACTACCAGTAACATCACCACCATCACTACCAACATTATAATCACCAACATCACCATCACCACTAACCAACGTCACCACTACCACCAACATTACCACCACCATCGCCACTAACCAACATCACCACTACCACCACCATCACTACCAGCAACATCACCACTACCACCAACATCACCACCATCACCAACAACCACCACCACTACCACCCACAACAACCACCACCACTACCACCACTAACACCCACCACCACCATCACCACCAACACCAACAACCACCACTAACACCCACCACCACCATCACCACTACCACCACTAACAACCACCACCACCATCACCACCAACACCAACAACCACCACCACCACTAACACCCACCACCACCATCACCACCACCACTAACACCCACCACCACCATCACCACCAACACCAACAACCACCACCACCACTACCACCACTAACACCCACCACCACCACCATCACCACCAACACCAACAACCACCACCACTACCACCACTAACACCCACCACCAGCACCACCACCAACACTAACACCCACCATCACCACCAACACCAACAACCACCATCACCACTAACACCAACAACCACCACTAACACCCACCACCATCACCACTAACACCAACAACCACCACCACTACCACCACTAACACCCACCACCACCATCACCACTAACACCAACAACCACCACCACTACCACCACTAACACCCACCACCACCATCACCACCAACACCAACCACCACCACTAACACCCACCACCACCATCACCACCACCAACACCCACCACCACCAACACCCACCACCACCACCATCACCACCAACACCCACCACCACCATCACCACTAACACCAACAACCACCACCACGACCACCACTAACACCCACCACCACCATCACCACTAACACCAACAACCACTACCACCACTAACACCCATCACCACCATCACCACCAACAACCACCACCACCACTAACACCCACCACCATCACCACTAACACCAACAACCACCACCACCACCATCACCACTAACAACAACAACCACCACCACTACCACCAACAACCACCACCACTACCACCACCACTACCACCACTAACACCCACCACCACCATCACCACTAACACCCACCACCACCATCACCACTAACACCCACCACCACCATCACCACTAACACGAACAACCACCACCACCATCACCACTAACACCAACAACCACCATCACCACTAACACCAACAACCACCATCACCACTAACACCAACAACCACCACCACTACCACCACTAACACCCACAACCACCATCACCACCACCAACACCCACCACCACCATCACCACTAACACCAACAACCACGACCACCACTAACACCCACCACCACCATCACCACTAACAACAACAACCACCACCACTACCACCACCACCACCATCACCACCAACACCAACACCACCATCACCACTAACACCAACCACCGCCACCACTAACACCCACCATCACCACTAACACCCACCACCACCATCACCACTACCACCACTAACACCCACCACCACCATCACCACTACCACCACTAACACCCACCACCACCATCACCACCAACAACCACCACCACCACTAACACCCACCACCATCACCACTAACACCAACAACCACCACCACCATCACCACTAACACCAACAACCACCACCACTACCACCACTAACACCAACAACCACTACCACCACTAACACCCACCACCACCACCACTAACACCCACCATCAACACCCACCACCACTACCACCACCACTAACACCCACCACCACCATCACCACTAACACCCACCACCACCATCACCACTAACACCAACAACCACCACCACCACCATCACCACTAACACCAACAACCACCACCACCATCACCACTAACACCAACAACCACCACCACCATCACCACTAACACCAACAACCACCACCACCATCACCACTAACACCAACAACCACCACCACCACCATCACCACTAACACCAACAACCACCACCACCACCAACAACCACCACCACTACCACCACTAACACCCACCACCACTAACACCAACAACCACCACCACTATCATCACCACTAACAACCACCACTACCACCACTAACACCCACCACCACCACTAACACCAACAACCACCATCACCACTAACACCCACCATCACCACTAACACCAACAACAACCACCACCACTACCACCACTAACACCCACCACTACCATCACCACTAACACCACCACCAACACCCACCATCACCACTAACACCCACCACTACCACCACTAACACCCACCACCACCATCACCACTAACACCCATCACCACTACCACACCTAACACCCACCATCACCACTAACAACAACAACCACCACCACTAACACCCACTACCACCACTAACACCCACCACCACCATCACCACTAACACCCATCACCACTACCACACCTAACCCCCACCATCACCACTAACAACAACCACCACCCACTCCGCGTTGATCACCTCCGCCATGACACGGCCGTCCCCCGTCCGGTGACGTCATCACCGCCGGCGCGATGACGTCCGCTCTTGACCAGGAGACGTTCCCTCACAACGTGGTTATGTCATATACACGTTAGCGTGATATCTCGTTGAGCTGAGCAAGGTGATGTCATCGCGCGGGTGTGTGTCGTCATAGGTCGGGATTGGGCTCCCCCCTGAAGAAGGGCAATTACGATTTAAAGCTTTCGTGACTGCAAGGATTCATCTTCTTTGGTTCTTTCGGTAAAGTCACGTATTTTATTTTATCAATTTATTATTTTATTCTCATTCTACGTGACTTTACCAAAAGAACCAAAGAAGAAGGGCAATTACCCAAAACGTCAGCTATTTATTTATTGGTCATTTAAAGGCTGCAGTGTTGTTGTTGACGAATGTGTTGAAATGTTTTTTCACTAAACTAAACTTTTTATTTTACCAGGTAAGGCCCACTCAGGTACACGTTTCTCCAAATTTTTGACAAACATGCTCCGTTGGTTAGATTTAAAATTAAAGGCAACCGCCGACCATGGTTTGATCCTTTGATTACTAAGCTCATGAAAACTATGGGACAAGGCTTGGGCATGTGCTCATAAAAGTAATTTGGTCAGTGACTTGCTAGAGTACAGGATTTTAAAGAATAGACGTGTCAAAAAATACGGCATGCAAAAAATGCTTACTTTCCCTCCACTCTCCTGGAAAAAACATGGCAACGCCAGGATCTTCTGGAAAACAGTCAAATGTAGCGAAAAGGCATCTAACACAGATAATCTTCCTATTGCTATTCTTAGTTCTTTCGGTAAAGTCACGTTGAAGGGAAACAACAAAATAAAAAAAAATATATAAAACATTGTTATTGTTTTATATAACATTGTTATTGTTTTATATGTTTTTATTTTGTTGTTTCCCTTCAACGTGACTTTACCGAAAGAACTAAGAATATGAATTACTGCAGTCACGAAAGCTTTAAATCAAAAATCTTCCTATTGCGCTTAACCGAAATGGGGACTATTTTTCAAAGCCCCAGAAAATAGTCGACAATTTTAACCTTCATTTTTCTGAAGCTGGTGACCTTTTTGATAATGTATTGGCAGTCACCCCTGCTCATGCAATTCCTACACCGCTGTCCAAACATTAAACGAATTTAGTTTCCAGCCTATCCACGAAAGTAATGTTCTGAAACAACTGTCCTACCTCAAAGGGTCCTCCTCTACCGGAGCGGATAGTATTCCCGTCTTTGCTCTGCTAACTGTTGGTCACCTAAAATACAAACCTATAGCCCATATTTTCAACCTGTCCATCAAATAAGCATCGGTACCTCTAGAATGGAAACATTCCTATGTTCGTCTACTTCACAAAGGGAGCCCTAAAGATGATCCAAATAACTACCGACCTATCTCAATTTTGTCCCCGTTGATGAAAATTTTTGAAAAATGATTGAACTACCAAATTAGCAGTTTCCTGTCCGATAACAATCTCTTACATTGAAACCAATCTGGGTTCCGAAAAAAATACAGCACCACATCTGCTGCATTAGACTTTCTAAATCATATTTACAGTAGCATTGATAATGAACAGTACTGCGTCAGTCTTTTTCTTGACTTCGATACAGTCGACCACAACACCCTGCTTAGTAAACTAAGTTGCCTCCGCTTCTGCAAACACGAAGCGGAATGCTTAAAAAATTACCTTACTTCTCACACCCAAACTGTATTCATAGATGGTTGGAGGTCAAACAGTGTTAAGATAACAAAAGGGGTTCCACAGGGTTCCATACTCGGCCCCCTCTTGTTCTCTCTTCATGTGAATGACTTCGGCACTGACCTGGATCGTTCCAGGGTAAATCTGTTTGCAGATGACACCATACTGATTACTGCTGGCCGCTCTCTGGATGATGTGATTGCTAAGCTCCAGGGTGATTTCAACAAACTACAACATCAGCTAGTTGCTCTTAAACTAGTCCTGAATACCTCCAAAACCAAGGTTCTATGCTTCTCACCAGGACTAAAGCAGGAAGTTATTTTTCTCCAATTACATTCCTTATATAATTATCAAATGGAGCAAGTTAAGCTCTATAAGTATCTTGGGTTCATCTTTGATTCAAAATAGAATTTTCAAGATCGCATTGATTACATTGGTAAAAATAAAAAAATGGTTTTCTGTATCGACACAAGCACTGCTTCTCCCCTATGTTCCATTTGGAATTGATAATAGCTACCATACTTCCTATACTTGATTACTGTGACATCATGTATTATAAATCAGCCCCAAGTACTGTACTAAAGAAGCTTGACCCAATATATCACTCGGCTTTAAGATTTGCATTGAACTGCCCATATCGGACCCACCACTGCGATCTTTACATTGGGTCAAACTTAACATCTCTTAATGATCGACGGCTTGTACATCATTGATTATTTATTCATGATGCACTTACAAAAAAATCAGCAGACTACCTGCTGGATCTCCTCACGGTTTCGAATAACAAATGTAACCGAAGGTCTTCACTCATTTACCAGCTTCACATTCCTTATTGCCGTACAACTACTGGAAGGTCCTTTGCTGTTGATGCCCCCAGGGTCTGGAATGCTATCGCCAATAAACTGTAACTTGGATCACTACCTGTGAGATCTGCACTCAAAACTGCTCTTGACGAGCTGTACACCCACCCCCCGCTGCCACTGCTATGCAGAATGTCCTGAAATGAAATGCACCGCTCCGGATGTCTGCTGCAAAGTATCTTGAGTTTCGATTATAGTGTGCTGAACTTGAAAGGTGCATTGAAAAATGTTGATGCTCCTGCTGTTATGGAGTGACTCATGCTGCCAGCTATGGCTGCAAAGTTTGGTCGTACATGTTATGTATATCGTTTATTGTTAAATTTGAATCACAGTTCCTATGATCACTGTTACATTGTTTTTATAGCTTTATTTTGGTGATTTCGAAAACGTATGGTTAAGCCATGTTTGTTGTTAGCCTGATGATTTTATCTAAATTGTCTTATGGTTGTTACTGTTAGACTTGCATCCCATTAAAATTTTTGCACACAGCGTTGATATACGGCGATTTTTTCTGGCAGATTTTACTGTTTTTTCCTGGATGTTTCTGTTGCGCGTCGTCACTTTAAGATGTTATTTGTTCATGTTTTGTTGCGGTTGCACCCGAGTCAAGAGCCTCATGGCTCACAGGGCTATACCTAATAAATTAAACTGAGCTGTGTAGCTCTTTTTCAGAAGCGGCCTGGTCACATGATAGGTCAACGAAGTGGCTCATCATCATCGTCACGTGGAAATGTAAAGCAGCAGCAGCCAAAGACTCTAGACGCGTGACGTTGCTTCTAAATGTGGCGGGGAAAACCTGGAGGAAAATCCACGCGACCACGGGGAGAACATGCAAACTCAAAATATACAGCAGGCGTCAGGGTCGCGATAGAACCCACAACCTCCTGTACACCAGGCGAGGTAGTAAACATCTCCGAGCCACCGTCGACGCTTGTGCACCAACGCAGCAGCGTCACAAAATGTTTCTCTTGGTAGCAGTGAAATAAGAATTCTACGAAGAGATCACTTAGAGACACGTGCTCCATTCAACTCGACTTCACGACTTAAAATGATTCTATTTAACGGTTGATTCTATTCGCCATTGTGGCTGCAAAATTTACACGAACCCAATGTGCACACAGTATAGACACCGATCAGAATTAATTTTTGTTTCGTGCGATTTATGCGTGTATGTTGCGCGTAAGAATATATCTGAACACATAGGTGGACTGCTACACGGCAACAATACTCTCACTGGAGGCGTAACAATTAATACCTGCAAATGAACTGTCAAGATTCAGGGTGACAATTCGATTGAAGCTAAATGCAAATAATCGATTATCCGGCAGCTTCGGGGAGAAGGGGCGCCAGATTTTCAAAAACGCCGGATAATCACTCATTATTATTAAAATTTGCTTATTGTTGCACTCTTGCATATCTTTTTAGGTGTTGCATATGTTTTGTTAGTGTTTTTAATTTGTTTATATTAAATTAGTATAAACATGCAAAAATATCCTGTAAAACGTTACTGTACCGTTCTTACCACTCCAATCTTGAAGACTCTGCATGCGGTGATGTACGTTGCACTAAAGAATGAAGTTATTTTTCCCCAATTACTACTGCACTCGTGTCAACATCTTTGAGTTTGACGATCGCCGGATCGGCCAGGGACCGCCAGATGTTGGAAGCAGCCGGATAATCGATGATCAACTATATATATTTTACACCGAAGGAAATGATAGCGGCCTCTTGCGGCTGCAAGTGTCACTTGAACCCATAACATACAAGACATTGGAGTGGCGGTGCAGTTCTTAGAGCAGTGGTTCTTAACCTGGGGTGCACACGCCCCTTGGAGGAGTGAGATGACCTTTCTAGGGGTGCGAGACATTGCCATTTTTTTTAGAAGGTAAATAATCGAAAAACATATCAAGCACGGGCACGTAAGTACAACTAATGTTTCATTAAGCCCTCTGCATGTATTAACTATGTACATTTTGGAACGACTGAGGCCCAAAGAGGTGCAAGGCTGCAGTAAAGGTTAAGAACCACTGGCTTAGAGCATTGCCCTGAGCCCAGCGACCAGATTAACTTTGGCCTGTAGCTAACATCACGGACATGCCTCAATTGCCGCTCACGTAGTATTACTTAGTTTTTATTCAACTGAAGAAGTTTTACAAACCACAGCAACAAAAATTAACAAGTATGGCATGATCCACGAGAGCAAACGTCTCCTCCGTCATGACCATTGTCCTGGAGCTGAAACAAGCGGAAGCAGAGGGGGGGAGCACCCAAGACCGAGCTATTTAAGGTCAGCAGTCATATCCAGATACAACTTCCAAGTGTTCAACAAACAAGCACTTGAAGCATACTCTCAAAGACATAGGCAATGTGCAATAACACCAAATGTTATTGTTGGGGGACAGATTGAACGGAATGCCGATGTGTATAACCATCACGACTCGTGGTCACGCTGATTAAATAAAGCAGCACTTGCACAATAATCCCATGATCTGAGCAATGTATTTGGCCAATGTATAATGCCAGCACATCAATGAGGACTAATTCAACGAGAAAAAAATCAAACGGAGTGTTAACGTTAACGAAAGCACAAATTGTGAGGGCAGGTTAGAGAACACACATTTTATTGTGGTTACTACTTATGAAATTGGTCAAATAAACAGGAATTGAAGAATAAACACGGGCTGAACAAATTATTTAGTGACGCTCTATTTGGCAGCGGCACAAGCACAGGTTACAAAAAAATCCAAATTCGTGAAGAACGCTGACCTTAAAGGGAAAAAAATATTTTATATTTTATATAAGGTACATTTTTTGGAATGGCCCTTCTGGGTACTAAACCCTAACCTCACCTTGATGAAGGGCTATTGGCTGAAACTTCACCCCTTATATATTTTAATTACTTAAGGCAGTGTTGTTGACAATTGAAGGCAGGCGATGCACAGATTACGTGGCAAAATAAGCAGTGCCGCTCATGGCCATGCAGCGACGGACGGTATTGACAGACTTCCTTGCAGCAGCGGATTGAGGCAAATAGTCTTATTTTCAAGCACGTAATTGAAAAGGAGAAAGCAACATGTAATTACGTAAGATTAATCATAAAAAATGTATATTAAACAAAGCTTTTTAATAAAATTTACCTAGACTAAAAGCGTATATATGAAAACATCACCAATAGGCTTCAGTTCCAAATAATTTGGCAAAATGAAAACCTATTTGGAGAGGTCTAAGGGAAAACATTTTATTTACACTTACCGAAAGCCCATATGTAGCGACGGAAACTAATGCTACGTTGCACACGTTGGTCATTTGTGGGGGGGGGCAGTAACAAAGCTTAGTCTTCAATATACGGGGTGGGGGGCGCTAATTAAGGGGGTCACCTTCCCCCAGTTGATATTTTATCAACAAAAACGCCCCACAAAGACCAAAAACACATCACAAATAAATCCAAAAGAATGGGACACGACATGGCTACCCGCCGAAAATTACATGCTAGCTTGCGGTAGCACACACGCAAGTGGGAATGCACTGGCGATTTACATTTTTTATGCGCAGTGTGGAGACACGGCTAAGTCGCCATGTTTATACGCAGTGTGGAGACACGGCTAAGTCGCCATATCCACAACATTACCAAGTTGTCCCTTTCACCTTCGCAAACATCGCCCGTTTACGCTGTTACCTTTCAAAAGCTGATGCCGAGAAGCTAATTAATGTCTTTGTCTACTCTAGAATTGACGTTTGCTATGCTGTGCTTGGGAGTACTCAAGAAATATATCAAGAAGCCACAGTATGTACAAAAACTCAGCTGCCCAGGTTTCAACAAAGTCCTAGTGTTTCAAGGACACGAGTTGTCTTAAGATCCCTGCCGTGCACCGTGGAGGCCATCACCAGGGATACAGACCGGGCCATATAATGTTTATCCACTATCAGGACATCACATGACAGAACAGACCTTTTCTTTAAATATGCATTATTTTTCCTCCACTGAATTGTAACATGTGTGATATTAGTAGGTGATAATCCAAATGCCGATAATCCCGAGTGCAGGCCAGCTTATTCCACGGCAAATCCTCGTCTGGCATTGCACGCCTGCTCCTTTCTCTTCTTTCTCTCCTCCTCGAATTTATTCCGCCGGTCGTCTCTGCAGCCACAGGAAGAAGAAGAAAAAACACAAACGACATGTGCAAAATGGATTAAAGAATAATTTCACCAAAAATGGATTTGTATAAAATTGGAAATTATGCTGGTCTTGCAAATTATCTCCATGAATGTAGGACATTAGCGAAAAAAAGTTGCTTAAAGTCAGTTTAACGCGGAGCAAAAAGTTAGGATGCGAGTGTAATCTTTAATATTTATTATGCGTGGCCAATTTTTGCAGCCAAAACCCCTGTCCAAAAAATACATAAAATGTAACTGGGCATTGGCTAAACATCCCATGCTGAAAATGTACCTGTAAATTAATCAATTGGAATTACACACGGCAGCAACATCGGCCCATAACTGCGAAAACGTGACAGGGCCTCCTAAAAAAGGTGTCTTGATGCTCAGAGGATTTCCAGAGTAAACAATACACTCACTCATCTTCCCTCGGCTAAACGACTCATACTTGGTCTCCCAGTCTATGCATTCATTCCACTACAACAGATTCAAAATAAGTCTGCACGATTCATTTACAACCTACCACACTGCTCCCACACCTCTGCCCTTCTTAAATAAATTTACTGGCTCCCCATCTACTACCGGTGTTCATTCAAGCTCCTTACGCTGGTAATTAAATCTCTTCATGGCCTTGCCCCACCGTTATCTCGATTACCTTGTCTCGTTCTATGTCCCCTCCAGCCCGCTCCACTCAATCTCTCCCAGCACTCCTAACCATTCCCCCCTCTCCTCATGCACAATCCCGTTTCCGCTCCTTTTCCCTACTTGCCCCCTTGCACTCGAACAAACTTCCCCTCCACATTAAGCAAGCACCATCTCTGTCTAGTTTCCGCTCCTCCCTCAAGACCCACCTCTTCTCCCTGGCCCATCCTTCCCTCCATCCCTAGGTACCCCCGTAATTTTCGTACCCACGAACCTCCCTCCCTATACCCCATCCCTATTCATGATATCACTTTTAGCTACCCTAATTGTACCACTCATAATCCTTGTAAAGCGCCTTGGTATAAAAACGCTATATAAATATAAGATAAGTGTACTAATAATAATACAATTATTATAATTAAATACTTTATTCATACAACCTAGATTAGGGGTTAGAAACCTGCGCCTCCGGAGTTGCATGTGGGTCTTTAAAGACCGCTTCCTTCTGATATTAGGAAGCAAACTAATTTCTTTAGAACTGCTTTGTGTGTTTAGTTGTCTTTCCCCCGCACCTCCGATTAGCATGGTTGGCTACGTACTGTGCGAAAGAAGTTCATGCTACCAAACCTCTCTGTTGTCTTTTGCAGAGCCCTCAGCCGTTACTCAGTCAACACCCGACCTCACATCTGGTGTTGTATTCACATTTGCTTTCATGTCTCCCTTTGACTGCTGACTTCTAATGGGGCACGTCGATGCCTGCCCTGATAAACTACGCTACACCATCCAGCACACTGTATTTTCTTAAGAAACCACCAAACTCATGTTTGAAACTATATTTGGTCGGTACCTTAAGGTTACAAAGTGAGCACTGAATGATGGCCGTTACCTGGTTTGCAACTTGGGCTGCTTGTAGCCTGCACGGGCTGGCAGTGAAGTGGTGCCGTTCTCCTTCGCGTCCCCAGCATTCCATGGTTTCAGCTTGCCTGCAACCGTCACACACATTTCAACATTCACTGTATCACCAAAATTAAGACAATCACGATTAACACGTAGTAGGCTTTTGCGACCAATGTTATCTGCAATAGAGGTTGTTTCGGTTAGATAGCGTAAATATAAATGTGTCGTTAAACCCGCCACCACCCGACACGGCCAATTAGTAAGGTTTGTCACGTAAATAAAACATGTCAATTAGTTACTGTTGGAGAGTAAACCCACAAGATTTACAATTCACAATGCCAATAGGCATGCTTTGTTTACGTGATAAACCTTACTAATTGGCTGTGTCAGGTGGTATTTATATTACGCAATCCCAAATAAAAACCTCTATTATGGAAAATCATGATTACTACATGTTAGTGAACCTGGCACTGGTTACTGAGAAATTCAAACCAAACACTTTTTGTAAACGATGAGAAAACCCATCACAAAGGAGAATAATGTGTGCAGGCAGAGGTACAAATTCTCACAAGGTGCATTTCCACTTCTGTTGTAATCCTACTGGTTAAGTTAATTTCCACCCAGCTTGTAGAGATCTCCGTGCCTGCACTAAATGTGTAGCTTAAGGATCTCACCTTTGTGAGGTTTGTAGCTCAACGGTTTGCCAAGGCTGGCTTGCAGGTTGAACGCCGACTTCCTCTTGGCTCCAGCAGGAGAGGAAATCCCGTCAAACCTGAACGGAGCAACTGGTGCACATTTTGAAAAGAAAATTATCCACCGAATGCAAAATATGATCAATGTACATTTCCTAAAATACATAAAAGATCTATCTTACCAATGAAAGTCATTTTTTGTCTGTCTCTATGTCTGTCTGCGCAGGTACCTTGTGATGTTTTTAACTATTCGTATTTCCCATAAGTCAACTTTAAAGTAGTTAAATTAACAATTTATTCCTTTTATAAGCAGTTCCTTTTATAACCAGAGGGCAGCGCCAAAGCACGCATCTGCGCATGCGCGAGAACGTTGATTCGGTGGGGGGGGGGAATTCTCATTCGCGTTCAAAATGCAACAAAAAAACACAACGCGGAGGTAAATTCTTCAAAGTATGATGTCCTCTTCTCCCCCCCCACTCCAATGTGTGCATTTACTACTATAGAGTCGGAAGATACTAATACTGTAGAGGGGGCGGGGGGTTAGTAGCCTAGCCCCAGCCGGCCAAGGCGCCACCTCTGCCGGCTGGGCAATCTAGGCAAGGCCGGATGCTCTGCACGGGACTAGGCCTCTCCATGGCACTCTGTTAGGTTAGTAGTTAACAGCTATAGAGTCGATAGATACTATTATAGAGTCGGTATATACGACTATAGAGTAGGTAGATACTACTGTAGAGTAGGTAGATACTACTGTAGAGTTAGTAGTCACTGCTATAGAGTCAATAGATACTATTATAGAGTCGGTATATACGACTAGTAGTTAACTGCTATAGTCGATAGATACTATTATAGAGTCAGTATATACGACTATAGAGTAGGTAGATACTACTGTAGAGTTAGTTACTGCAACTGTAGAGCAGTCGGGGGTGGTGGGGGGGTAGCAGACCAGCCCCAGCCGGCAAAGGTGCCACCTCGGCCGGCTGGGCAATCTAGACAAGGCCGGGGGCTCTGCACGGGATTAGGCCTCACCACGGAACTCTGTTAAGTTTGTAGATACTACTGTAGAGTAGGTAGTTAGTATATACTGCTATAGAGTCGATACGTACTACTATAGAGTAAGCAGATACTACGATAGTCAGTATATACTACTGTACCGCTAGTAGATACTGCTATAGTCGGTAGTTACTACTAGAGTTAGTAGATACTACTATAGTGAGTATATACTACTGTAGTGAGTGATAGTAGATACTACTATAGAGTTAGTAGATACTGCTATAGAGTCGATAGATACTATTATAGAGTGGGTAGATACTACTAGTCAGTAGATATTACAATAGATTCAGTATGTACTACTATATTCATTAGATACTACTATAGTCAGTATATACCACTATTTTTAGGGGGTGGGGGGTGGTCGACAATTTTAGGAAACCTTTTAGATCAACTATTTACCCACTACTTTATATTACTCTTTGATTCAGGACTTTTGCATGCCTCTTATAATTTTGTTGACGGACAAATGGACAAACGGAATGCCGGGCTTTCACAATAGCTTCGTATTTGTATATGTTATGTTTTTAAGATAAGTTTTGAAATATATTTTTCCCCCGGGCAAGGCTGGGTACTTCCCGCTCGTTCAATGTGTTGTCAAGTGCTGATTGCCTAAACGGTTTTCAGTGAAAGTGTGCAGCCAACATAGCTGAATATGAACCCAGTATTGTAGCAGGCCTATACAAATCCACTCCTCTCCCAATACAACGAATTGTCACACTCAGCGGTGATAATTTTTTTTAAATTCCTTCTTTATGGGAATTGTAGCAGTCTCTAGTGGCAGCATGGATCATGTGAACCTATTAATTACCGCGCATATTAATCAACCAGGTGGCTGAGCGGTAGAGCGAGTGGCTCACAATCGGAGGGTCGTGAATTTTAAATCCCCTTTGGGGATTGAATCAATCCATCATCATCCCCCTAGGCTTAATACAATAAGTATTACTCTGCAATGAAAATCAACAGTACATTTCCTATGGATTGCTGGCCCCCAACATATGGTGAAATTCACACAAGCCCAGGGTTGAAAACAGGAGATGAGCACCAGTGCCTCGATCCTAAGTTCAGTGGGAAATCACCAATGAGGACAGTATTTCCACATTATTTGCAAGAGGATACGTTCCACAGATGCTCATGAATAGCAAATTTTGTGAAAGATTTTGGCGTACAAAAACAAATCGTCTTTAAATTAATTAACTTAAATAAACGCATAAATAAACTATTAAATACATGAAAATTATAATAACATATCAATTTATCTCGCGTAACTTTATCTCTCATCACATTCTATCTCATCAATTTCTTTCTCGACGCAGTAGTCGTGTAGAGTTCCAGATGCGATTTGCGGATAGCCAAAATCGCAGATAGCAAGTTCATGAATAACGGAGGAATTCCATGCCACTTAGCGGGGGAAGTCAATAGTGGATGTCCAATTGATTGCTGGCCCCCACCATATGGTGGAAATTCAACCACAGGTCCAGGATTGTAAACAGGAGATGAGCACCAATGCCTCAATGGTCATTTGAGCAGGAAATCACCGGCGACTGTATTTCACAATCACCTGAAGACTTGTCAAGTTGGGCACTGGCAGTGGGATGCTGGCGCACAGCAGAGGAGCTCTCTCTTGTGATGGACAGAGCAGCGTGCTTGGGGGTCTTCACGCTGCTACGCGGGGGGTTGCTGCGCCTTCCGCCGGGAGCCTCGCTGAACCTGCACAATCAGGGAGCACAATGGGAAGGGTTGTTAAACCACCCCCCGCAACCACCTACAAACGCGACACGTTGCTAAGTTGACAACTGTGATTTAAACCAACAAAACCATAGCTGCTTGCGAGATTAATTATTTTCAGTCTCAATGAGTTCATGATGTATCGAAATCATAATCACTGCACTCAAAACCTGGCATTAAGATGTCATAGCTATAGCCCGATAACATATTCTCTGGATTTTAAGACACTGCAATCACCTTCAAGCAAAAGTTAGGGGTGCTGTGATGACTTCCGCACAATGTAACACTTCACTTGGAAGAATGTATAAATGAGCAATTACGGATTGCGGTAAAAGTTGTTTTGTTTACCGAACATTAATTTTGGAAGTGGATGTGACGGGCTTGAACACGGTGGGTCTGGGTTTCGCCTCCTTCTGCGCCATCAGAAGCTGAAGGCGAGGAGAACGCCGCTCCGCCGACTTGGGCATGGATTTGCGCGAGCCTGCTGCGCGCATGGCAGGCCTGGGAGCCGCCGTGACGCTGCTGCCTTCCACGGTTTTGCGAACGGCCGTGTTGGCCAGGCTGCTGCTGCTGGACGCTGTGGTGTTCAGAGCGGTGAGGGGCTTGGATGCTCCCGGCAATGCCATGTTCCGTTTTGGAATTCGGCTTTTTTTGTCCTTGTCAGCGGCTCCCGTCAAAAGCACCTTGTCCGGACTGAAGAGCCCGTCCCTTGTCATCTGGCAAAGAGGCAGTTTTATTAGAACCAGGTGAGAATCTCATTTGTATGAGTGAAGTGGGGGGTCATCAAAAAATTACTAAATCAAAATATAAAAAAATAAAGCACAGCAATTAAGCCAGTATAAATCAGGGTGAAAACAACTGTCGCATGATCAATCGAAAAGATTGCACAAATAAAGTAAACTCTCGCTATGTGCGAGTTTAGGATTTGCGAGTTTTGCATATTCGCAAGTTACTAAATGTGTAGTGACACAGCGCTTACTGCTATCCAGCAGCAGCAACTGCGGTGGACACACCGTTGAGCATATATGTAGTGACATAGGACGTCACTACTGTGTAGGCCAGTACGAGGACTGGGGGTGCCTGGGGGGTCACGTGGTGGAGGACCCAGACCTTCCCAGAGGTGGGGGAAGGGAGGCGTGGCCTGGGTGCAGCCGGCCACGCCAGAACGGTTGTAAGCGGAGTGCGAAGGCAGAGCGGGGCTGTTCAACCCCGAAGTGAAGACGAGATCATCGCTCCTCAAGTCCCGGGTCATCGTCTGGGACCAGGCAGCCCGTTGCCTGCCTGAGTCACGCTGTATAGTGTTCCAGAGTGTTAGTGAGTTGAGGAAGGTGGTCACCACCTTATGTACAGTGTTATATTACTTACCGTTCTAATAAATAGTGTTGCCTCCAAGCTGGGTGTGTGTGCACCTAATTCGAACACATTACATTTGGCGTCAGAAGTTGCGGAAAAATAAATATTGCTAGGTGTTATCCTAGGGTAGTAAAATGATGCCTTCGTACGACGAGGACGGCGTGACGACCATCCTTTGGACAGCCCCGGGGATGGCAGCCCCGGTGACAGAGAGAGATGGTGCTGCACGCGGAGTGGCGGGACTGGCATCGTACCGCTGCTTCGCGGCCATCGGGAATGGAGCGCCGGAGCCGCGGGGAGAGGATGCCGTCGTCGCTGCGGGGGCTGGCAGGGGAAGCCCGGGCATGCGGGCACAGCGGTGGGGCCGCCATTTCGGCATTTGGCGGGGGCGCTGTTCCCGCCAAAATGCCGTTCCCGCCATTTCGGCGGTTGGCGGGGGCGCTGTTCCCGCCAAAATGCCATTCCCGCCATTTCGGCGGTTGGCGGGGGCGCTGTTCCCGCCAAAATACCGTTCCCGCCGACGTCAACACCTGTGGTGGCGGAGCTCCACACGTTAGAGTGGCGGCGTCCCGTCTTCTGCTTGAGCGCGGGCGCCGGCTGCAGTCTTCGGGGCATCCCAGCGCTCCACCCTGCCGTCCTCCGCTCTTCACAGCTTGCCAGGCGAGGCGTGACGCGACACACACCGGCCCCTGTTGACACCTCATTCCATCTTGCGCCGGCATGCGGGGTGTCCAATTGCTTTTTAATAACTTTCCTCTATCCGTGACGTTCGTGTCGGGTGTCCGCGTGTCACATTATTGGTTAATTACAGCATCGGGATTGTTATCTTAAGGAGCCAGTTAATGATTCATTCGGCTATGTGGGGGGTCTCGGGCTCCGTTAAGATCCAGTGAATTGCCGGGTTCATGATTTGTTGACACTTTGTTGGTTGCCGTTGCGGAGTCGCTATTGTTTTGGGTATACAGTATGGAGCTTGCTCGTGAATGTCAATGTGTGACTTTGCGAAACTTTGCTTGTGAGTGTTAACAATGTATGTTTTGCATGGAGCTTTGTTCGTGATTGTTAATGTATAGCTTGTGCTGCGATTGTTAACGATGTATAGACTGTATGGAGCATTGCTCGAGATGGTTGGCTATATGCGGACTGCATATGCTGCATGTACTGTATTACTTAATTCGCCGATTATTAGGGGTTTGTGTATAGTTTTTTTGGCTCTAAAATTTCGAATGCCTGAATCCCATGGTTAATGTTGAAGGGGATTATCAAATGACAGGTTCAGTGTGTTACGTACTCACTGGTTGGTTCCTATCCGTTGTTGCTCGATACATGAAAAAAATACGTTTTTTGTGCGAGGGTGCCCCTTAGGTTCCATGTAGATCAAGGGTGCTTGGGGCTGTAAATTGCCGCCACATTGCGTTGCTCTCTCAACTCGGTTGGTACAGCTGCATGCTGCAATGCGAGTCTCTGAGATGATGTGTACGGATACGGGATGTAAGGTGTATTGTTGTGACCATTGGGTTTTCGGGATCGTCACAAATTGTGCGTACCTGTTCGACTTTGGATCAATTCAGTAGGGGATCCTAATTCTAATTGTATGTGTTGTGATGGTGTTAAATTGTGTGGGGGATGACTGCCTTGGGTTTTGGCTCTGACGTCATTGGCATGGAGCATTTAAATTGCAATGGTGACATGCTGCCAGTGATTTGGAATTGTGGTGCTGGCTGTCGAATATCTTGGGGCGCAGATGCTGACCAGGATGGCCCAGTGAGTGTTGCGTGTCTAACACGAGTTGTGGTCCCATCATGCTATGGCTGGGGGCTTGACCTGACAGCCCGGGAATTGAGACACTCCGTGGCGTGTCTAGCCTAGTGGGCAGTTCGCTCACATGGCTCGGAGAGTGTGGTCCCGTCATGCTATGGCTGATGGCTTGACCTGACAGCCCGAGATTGAGACACTTCGTGGCGTGTCTAGCCTAGTGGGCAGTTCGCTCACATGGCTCGGAGAGTGTGGTCCCGTCATGCTATGGCTGATGGCTTGACCTGACAGCCCGAGATTGAGACACTTCGTGGCGTGTCTAGTCTAGTGGGCAGTTCGCTCACATGGCTCGGAGAGTGTGGTCCCGTCATGCTATGGCTGATGGCTTGACCTGACGGCCCGGAGGTTGAGACCCTCCGTGGTGCGTCTGGAGCTGTAGGCTCGCCCTGGCGGCCCGGAGATCGAGACACTCCGAGGTGCGTTTAAACAGTGGACTGGAGATTTGTAGTGTTCGGGTGCAGTTGTCCCGTTACGTTGGGACTGTATCCCTCAGTTGTTTGGGTGCATGTTGTGCAGTGAGTGAGCGATGGGTCTTCTCAGCTCGGTCGGTACAGCTATATGCTGCCACGCAAGTCTTGGAGAGAGACTGGGTTATAATTCCCCCGATATGGCCGATGCGTGCGCGTCGGAAAGGCGGGGGGTGCTACCAAGTGGCATGAGATGTCTGGGTTGGCCTTCAAGGGAGGGTTGCTAAGCTGTGAGCGCGGGAAACCGCGCGTGCGGCCGCCATTTTGTGCGAGCCCGGGAAACCGCCGAGATGTGGTTCACGCGTGGAGCCGCCATTTTGTACGAGCGCGCGAGACCACGGAGATGCGGATCACGCATGCGGCCAAAATTTCGGCCAATTTTCATGCCGAAATATTTTCTTTAACTAAAATGCAGATCCTGGGGGCGTCTCTGAAGCGTGACTTCTTCGCCCCGGGACATGGGTTGGCTCTGACGCATGACGTCTCGACCCGGGATGTCGGAAGATGTCCGCATTGGGGTGTGGGGGTGCGTGAGCGCTAGGTAGTTCGTCTATCCTTACTCTATCACCACCTAGTGGATGGAACGGTAGCTGGGGGTTGGGGAACCCTGCCATCCGTGTTGTGTGGGCGAAGGTGTACATATTGGGTTTCGTCGCCGTGTTGGTTGTGCATCCAACGCATCTGAATTTGTTATTATTTTTTTCTCTTCTCTCGCGTCGGCCGGAATCCCCTCATCCCCAGTACCCAGGGGTCGGGTGACTGTTGTGTCCGACGAGCCGAGGCGAGTGTTCGTGGAGTGATGCCTCAGGAAGGTTTGTGTTTCTCGTCACAGGAGGCAGTATCTACCTGGCACCTTGGAATCGCCGGTTGTGCCGACCGGCTGTGGACTGGGGGGGGAGTGATTGGAGCATGCGTCAGCTACTCCTGCTCCTCCTGTTCTTGACTCCTGGGGAGGGGCCATGCCCTTTGGGCCACTTGTGGTTCCCCCCTGGGGGGCCTGGCCACATGGACTCGTAGAAGACTGGCTGCTCTACATGGCTCTCACACGCCTTGCTTATTGCCTACGCCGTCGTTCCGATGGCCACACTCACATGTCGGTGCATGCGTGATTCTCACACGGGGAGGCTGTGCTGGAGAGCAAGCGGGTTAGCCAGTTTTCATGTATATTTGTTGTTAGTTCCCCGTTTTACATGCGTTCCCCCCCCTTTTACCCTCGTCGATTCTGTGTATATTAGGTGATGTATTTGTTATCGGTCGCCGGTTATTTATTGATGTTACTGGTTCGGAGGCACACCTTTTCGATGTTTCACAGTTGTGTTACAGTCGGGATGGCTGTGTGTTTATGCAGGGGAGGGTGATGTAGTGGCATAGGACGTCACTACTGTGTAGACCAGTACGAGGACTGGGGGTGCCTGGGGGGTCACGTGGTGGAGGACCCGGACCTTCCCAGAGGTGGGGGAAGGGAGGCATGGCCTGGGCGGAGCCGGCCACGCCAGAGCGGTTATAAGCGGGGTGTGAAGGCAGAGCGGGGCTGTTCAACCCCGAAGTGAAGACGACATCATCGCTCCTCAAGTCCCGGGTCATCGTCTGGGACCAGGCAGCCCGTTGCCTGTCTGGGTCACGCTGTATAGTGTTCCAGAGTGTTAGTGCGTTGAGGAAGGTGGTTACCACCTTATGTACAGTGTTATATTACTTACCGTTCTAATAAATAGTGTTGCCTCCAAGCTGGGTATGTGTGCACCTAATTCGAACACACTACATATACACGGTGTGTGTGCTGGCAGGGTGGAGGAACTGGGGCAAGGGTCACGGTAGACCTCATAAGGAGGCCCCTGGAACCCTCCAGTGGATTCGAGAATGGAGGCGCGGCTAGGGCAGAGCCAAGCCGCGCCGAGGAGAATATAAGCAGCGGAGAGCGAGAGCTCCAGGCTGCCGGTTCTGGGAATGGACTCGTCTCTTCGTCCCTGTCGTCATCGCCGCCGCCGCCTTCGCCCGATCATTGCACGGCCGGACAGTAGTTGGCTGTCTCGGTCGACGCCGTCGGTGCAACGCGGACAGGGTCGTGTCTGAGCCGGGCTGTACAGCAGCATGGTCGTAAGAAAGGAGGCCAGAGTTGATGATGTGAACGAGATAATAAAGAGAGACGGTGCCTCCTGCAACTACCTCGTCTTCGACTGAGTGTGTGCGCCGCACACCACACGCACACACGCCGCGAGGAAGGAGAAAACTGCAAATGTATACCAATTCCCTATTCGCGACCCGCCAAACTCCAGCATTTGTGAGTGTACTACGTCGTGCCAGACCACCAACACCGGGGAGGTGCGCCGCAGAACATTGTTATGTTTGAAACGGTCTGCGAAGATTAGGCACATGCCCTCAGCTGCCCGCTCAGTCCTCAATTTCGAAGTTATGCCGCTCCGAACTCGACATTGTCCATGTTTACTTCATATGTACTTACAGTCGACTCGTTTATACATTTTGGTATAAACGAGTCGAGGGAGGCAATCAGAGAAAGTGTTGCGGCCACCGCTCCCCAGTGCTAAATAATAACCATTGTGCGGCGTTGTTATCAAGCACTTGCATCTCCTGAGTCATCCTCCGAAAATCACGTTATCGCACCGGCTTCCATTGCACCCACCGTGGTTGTGCTTACGGTAGGGGTTATAATATGGTTGTTGTGATTAAGTGGTGGTTACGATGAAATTGCAGCGTTTTGGTCATGATTGTGATTAGGTGGTAGTTATGGTTGTAGTTGTGGTTGTTGTGCTTATGTAATTTGTTATTTTCAACCTATCTACGTGACTTTACCGAAAGACCAAAAGAATATGTAATTGTGGTTTCAGTTGTGGTTACAATGTGGTTGTGGTTATACTATGTCATGAGACGTCCTTTGCCAGTATTAAATTATGATAATGGGGTTTTTCCCTTTCTGGCAGTAAAACAGGTGTTAAGATGTTATAACACCAAACTGAAACCTTTGCAAGGAATCATGTCTGCATTAACCACATATACATGTGGTGAAAATGCAAACAAATAAAAAATATGCTCTGACAGTATGTGCATTGTCTTTAAAACTGATTGGTCCACACCAGACAACTTTCTTTAGATCCTAGTCTCAAACAGTGTTAGACCAGAGGACGTCAAAAGGCGAACAGCAGAAAGACAATGCACTATCAGGACATTGAGAGCTCGGGGTGAGCAGTTACATCATGAGATCTCCTTTGCCAGTATTACATTTTCCCCTTTCTGGCCATAAAACAGGTGTTAAGATGTTAAAACACCAACTCAAACCTAAGCAAGGAATCATGTCTGCATTAGCCACACATACATGTGCTGAAAATGCAAACAACAAAAAAACATGCTCTAACAGTATTTGTATTGTCTTTGAAACTGATTGGTCCACACCTAAATAGTTTTTGTGGTTATAATCTAGATGTTGTGGTTCCAGTAATATGGTGGTCATGCTTGTGGTTATTTAATTATAGTTGTGGTTATGTGACTTATGGTTGTGTGCTTGTAGTTGTACTTAAAATGATTGGTTATATTGTGGCTTCAGTTATGGTTGTAAAATAGCTGTACAGGTGTTGCCGTTTACACACATGGTATTGATGATATTAACATTGTTACGTCAATTGTTGGCCATGATGCTATATTATTGTTAATATTGCGAGTTGGCCAGCAAGTGTCATTGGGAAACGAACAGCAAGAAATCCACATCGCTCACAATTCACTTATGTTACATCCCGTGCGAACCCGCAGGCAGTGCTACTTGTAAACATACAAGGATATATGTCAAATACAAACGAGATTCATAGTTTTTCATTCACCTGAATATATAATTGCTTGGGTAATCTTAATTAAATTGTTGTATTGCCTCAAAAACGCACCAAGTAATTTTACACCCTGACATGCCCTCTGACAAACACTTTTGAAAAAAAAACCTACATGGCCCAATGAGTTGACTTCCATATGCTGAAGGAACAGATTGAAGTAAACAAAAACTGAACGATTTTTTATTTTACCAGGTAAGGCTCACTGAGCTATATAGCTCTTTTTTTCAACGAAGTGGCTCATCATGTGGAAATTTATAGCAGCCAAATACTCTAAACACATGTTGATTCTAAATGTGGAGGGAAAAACCCAGAGTACCCGGAGAAAAATCCACACGACCACGTAGAGAACATGCAAACCTCAAATATGCACGCCTCAGGGCTGGGATCGAACTCACAACACTGCATACCAGGCGAGGTAGTTAACATCTTACCACCGTGGCGCCCAGAGAGATGGTGATGTGAGAGAGATGGTGAGGCGATGGAAGTGGTAGCACAGCAAATTAAGTACGAGGGCTGTGAATATCGATTTGACATCACTGCATCCAAAGCAATTTTAAGTCCCTCCCAGATTATAACCAGGTTCAAATCTTTACCTTGATGACTTTTGCAGAGTATTCCATTGCTTCTCTGCGTTTACGTTTCCTTTCCACGTAGTCGTTAAGAGATTCCATTTTTCCAAAGTGCGTTGCATGAATCTTGGACCAATCCACGCCACCTGTATTCACATAACATACATTCAGTAGCATAATGTATGACTCCAAGAAATCATGCCACACAGAGCACTTCTCTAAAAGACTGTGATTTTAGTTTAACAAGTAGGCTTGTGTGATTATCACAGAAAGATTATTCCATGACTGTCAACTGATACAGATTTGATATATCTTGGAATAAAAAACTTTTATTTTACCAGGTAAGGCCCCACTGAGCTCTTTTTCAGAAGTGACCTGGCCGAAAATGATAGCTCAAAGCAGTGGCTTATCATCATGTGGAAATTTATAGATGCCAAATACTCTAAACACGTGTTGATTCTAAATGTGGAGGGAAAACCCGGAGGACCTGGAGAAAAATCAACCCGACCACAGGAACAGAGACATGCAAACTCCAAATATACAGCAGGCATCAGGGTCCGGATCGAACCCACGACCTCCTGTATACCAGGCGAGTTTGTTAACGTCTCACCATCATGGCACCCTTGTGAGCCAGTCTTGCCATATCTCCATTGACAAGGAGTTAGGTGTATATGGCCAAACATAGGATCATGACTGAATAAAGCAACAAGCCTCGCAGTGCATAATGATGCCCATTAATTTGTGGAAATTGAGCAGGCAGCCCTCACCTGTGCCAGGTGTGGTATTCTTGGCTTGAGGAGCTGCTCCTTCTCCTGGAGTCTTGCACCACAGAGGAGCTCTCGTTGCAGACGTGGGATCGGTAGGGGCTGGGCAGGCAGACCAACAATAACCGGACAACACGATTACAAAGGGTGCATTTCAATATAGAATCACATAATACTGTATTGATTTCTAATGACGTTTGAATTATTTTCATATAGTAATAATATTATATGCGCAAAAGACCAAAATATGAGAACAAAAAAATAAAGCGTGTTTAGCAAGTGGCATAACTGTGTTACCTCTATTTTTGAGCCTTGTTTCAAGTTCAGCCATGACCAATTCTCGCATGTCAACGGTATCTTCAGATTCCTGAAGAGCGAGAGCGCCCTGACCTTGATGTTCCTCTTCCTTCTCACAGCCACGCGACTCTTCGCTGCCCTCCCTTTGTGCCAACCCTGGCGTGGCCTCTTTTCGCACTTCCACCACAGCATCATTCTGTTCGCAAGATTCCGCATGCACGTCACCGTCTGCATCCTCGGCTTGTTGTTGTGGAGCACATTCATTCATGCGATTTGTTAATTCTAAGTCACATGGCTGCAGGACCTCATCCATAAGTTTGATGCTATTATCTTCTTGCTCCAACTTGTCTGGTTCCATGCCCCCTGCATCCTGCTCCAAGCATTTGGCTTGCTCCACTTGGTCTGGATCACAGCAGTCCTCTTGCTCTGCACTGTGATTGGACCTCTTGCGTATTGGTTCCTTAACCTCCACCGCTGCTGCATCGTTGTCAGAGTCTTCCTTCTCCTCCGCTGGAAGAGACTTTACAAAACAAACACAGCCATCGTGTCCAAATGCTGCCTCAGTTTTGGAGCATGCAATGAAAGCGTAAAAGCCTCAGAAAATTCTAAGAGTCTGCCTCCAAAAATAATAAAACATTTGTAGTAGATTCGTGCTATTGTTATTTTTTAAATGTACTTACTATATCAAGGTACAGTGAATGTGACACATACCATTACCTGATATTTTAGTTGTCTGTGTAAAGAAATTAATCATTATTACTCGATACGTTTGGCGTGTGCAGACAATAACACGGTGACGTGTCTTTCTCCAAATCAACAATTTGGTTTCCATGAAATCAATGGGAGATATTGCCAAGTGTCTTGATTTTTGTTTAGTTCTTAAACAAAAGTCTTATAAGGTGTGGCCATCTAATCAGCAGATAACTGGAGTACGCTATTGTGCTGGATTACTGGTGCATACCTTGGATTTTTCCACAAACAACCCAACACAAATTGGATTACCTTTTGCAGTAAGCTTGTGTGTATGCAGGCCTGGGTTTGCTGTGCGACATTTAAGATTCACACACGCCCATTTGAGAACCTCTATCTACTTTCTACTCGAGCTCTTCCCCACTAACACATCACATTTAGCTGCATGTCATTCATAGAGGTGACACACATGACATAACACTCAGGATACAGTGCATAAGCATTCTGTTGTGTTCATAAACTGTGAAATATATATGCACAAGGACTAGCTCATCTGCCAAACATCGTACTCAACAAAATCATTTCCAAGTGACTCCAGCACCTCACGGTGGGGTTCTTTAGGGTGTAGTCACATGTACCACGTGACCAGAAGCAAGTGGCCTATCATACAAAAATCCCCCGTATAGCCTGAAGAAGAGTTTTGGGGAAAATCCTGTTAGCCATGTTGGATAGAGCCTTTTCCAAAATTAAGATTAACAATAATATTTTCCATTATATATATCATTTTTTTAAAGTGACAAAAACAAATAATTGATAAAACACGTAAGCCAGCTACACACGAAAACCAGATGCCCATCGTAACAAGGCCATTAAACCAGAAAGTCCAGGAGATGAGCAATAAACAGTAATAAACCAGTTAAGGGAAGGGTCGCCCCCTCCTCCCCTCCAGAATTGTAAAACACAGACACACGAACGCACACACACACAGACCACGCCCCCCCCCCTTCACTGCGCAGAGTGTAATTATTTTTTAATATAACGGCTTTCAAAAAGTTCAGTCAAAGCAGTCAAGACAGATCAGCGATTCAAGACGTCGACAAGACACTAGCAGTCGCAGCTAACGGCTGGCTCCAAGGAGCACGAGCCTCGCTGAGTAGCGAGGATCGCTGAGTCACGATGTATCAATGAAAGTGAGTCCAGGGCAGGGAACAAAGTATCACTCAAAACTTTATTCCTACATCAAGTGTCAGCCATCCAGCAGCGGAAAAGCAGAGCGTTCTGCGCCGACAAACAAAAGAGTCAACGAACCAGCGGCCAAGCGTTGTGCCGACTCAGCTCATCCAGCAGTGAAGAAAGCCTGCTGCTGCCAACGAACAGAAAGAGCGTGCAGCAGCCATCCAGCAGCAGAAAAGCTTGGCCAGCCGCCAACAACCTCAGCATCTCCACAGAGAGAGCGAGTGCAACGTGGCACAATCAGCAGCGGAAAAAGCTTGGCCAGCGCCGCCGAGCAAGCACGTGCAGCAGCCATCCAGCAGCGGAAAAGCTTGGCCAGCCGCCAACAACTTCAGCAAACCAGCGACCAAGCGCGTGCGACTTGAGTCATCCAGCAGTGGAGAGAACTGCTGTCAGTGAACCAGCACGGGCGCGTTCGCGCATCTTCAAGGAGAGGCAGCGCGCGCTACTTCGCGCTACGGTGCGACACCAGCGCTGAAAGCGTTCGGGCAGCACCAGGAGAGGGCCGCGGGCCCGCACTCAACATCCATCAACACCTATCATCGCGCGTTGACGGCGAGCGTCGTGCCGACTCTTCCAGCCGGCAGTGGACCGAAACTGTGGGAGCCCATTCGTATGCCCCCCTCCCCCACACTCTCACCCTCACACCCCCACCGCTCCGCAGGGAAGCAAACATTTTTGATACAAGGGATGCCCAACCTTGGCGTCTGCTTTACGCAAAGAATTGAACCACTGATAAAGAAGACACACGATACGCATATCGGGATAATCAAGAAGGGTTGCCACTCCAAGGTGATGCATTAAAAATCAATTCATAAGGAAAAATACTGCTGTCAGTGAGTTGCATAATAATCAATCGTCCTACTGTTAACAACGTGACAAGAATCTGCATTAAGGGTCGCATATGATCAATGACCGAATGCCGTGTTGTGTAACAATTTAAATACGAATTACATATTATAAGGTTAAGGTTTTGATAGAATAGTCTGCATGTTTAATCTCTCTCTCAACAACCGATCAATTGCGTTACGCGTCGGGAATTAACCACAGGTGCCGTTATCGAAGTGAAACAACGCAATCGTGATGTGTACCATGTTAATGCTGTGGTGAAATTCCGAGGTTGAGAGTTCTCATATTATCCAAAAATTAAAGTTTAGCTAGAAAATAAAATTGATTAAAGTAGAAGAGTTCTGTGTGATTCTTTCCGTGATTCTGCATAGAATTGTTCTGCGAATGAGATCTGAACCTTGAGTGGACCTATCATAAGCACACTAATCCATAATCCATCACAATAACATCATGCTAATCTCCCAGTTACATGCTAATTCCTGACTTTATCACCCTGCTGATCCAACATTTTAACACAGCTATTTCAATGCTAAATTCTCCTGTTTGATATGTAAACTCCTTTGTCAAGGCGCGTTACCTCTCCCACCAAGCCTAAAAGACACTGCGAATCTTAGCAGCGTTCATTGAAGCGCTGTCGTCCCGACAGTTCTGTTCCTTCACCTGAAGAAGGCTACTTGTACTCTTTGGTTTTATTCGGTAAAGTCACGTAGGTAAAAAACAAATTAAAATAAACTAAAAAACAATTAAAACACGACGTTTCAGAGGCAACACAAGCTTCCGTCTTCAGGTGGAAACAGTCACAGCAAAAATCGCTGCACCAAGTGGCGAGGCTCTGAGAACCTCGGGCTTAAATACAGGTTAAGGGAGGGGGGGGGAGGAGCCATGTAGGGGGACCTTGGTGGGGTGAGGGGCTGAGTTATCCGTCTTTTGTTGTGTAGAGGGTGCGGGGGATGGGTCACTGTGTGTGTGCAATATAAACGAAACAATAGAAAAAATTAAAGATCGGCAAGAATGTGCTGTAGGGTGTGGAGTAGAAAAAAGGGAAATAGAAAGTTCAGAAGGAATATGCTTGGTATACCACTACTTGAAATTTCTGTTAGAAATTAGTTGACGTTTGGTATGATTTAAAACGTCTTTCCAGTGGTTGCTTAATTTGAAACCATCCTCTCGGTTGAAGTTATGCCTGTGTTTGTATATCTGAATGGCTTCGTGAACAAATCTCTGGTGATAACCTATAGGTTTACAGAGAACCTTGGTATCGGAGAAGACAATCTCATGATCACCCATAGCGTTGTAACAATGATCAGCCACAGCAGATAAATTCGTTCTGCCGTGTTTCAGATCTGAATTGTGCTCGCGAATTCGGTCAGAGATATGTCGTTTTGTCTCCCCGATATAGCAATCACCGCAGGTACAACTCAATTTGTAAACTCCGGGGTACTGTAAGTCAGGGATAACATCCTTTACGGATGGGATCAGATCACGAATTTTGTGTACCGTATTGAACCGGACTTGGATCTTGTGTTTGTTTAGAATTTTTGAAATCTTTTTAGTAACGCCTGCTATGTATGGTAGTGATGGTTTTGATTGGAGTATCAAGTGGTTGTTTCTGTATGGTAGGAGAAAATGCTTGGCGGATGGTACGGTCAGAGTATCCGTTCCTCTTGAGGGCCAGCCGTACCAATTTTAATTCACTGGTCAAGTGGTGTTGGTCCGAGATGCAATGAGCCCTATGGTATAACGTTTTGATGAGAGAATTCTTTTGAGCCGGGTGGTGGTGGGAATCCGGTTTCAAGTAGGAATCTGTGTGGATGGGCTTTCTGTAAACAGAATGTCCCAACGAGCCATCAGACCTCCTCTCAAACAGAACATCCAAGAATGGCAGTTTGCCATCTTTTTCTACTTCCATGGTGAATTTGATGGAAGGGTGTCTGGAATTGATGTGGTCCAGGAAAAGGTTCAAAGCTGGGAGGCCATGTGGCCAAATGACGAAAGTGTCATCCACATATCTCTTCCACAGGGAAGGACTGAGGGTGGATGTCTGGATGGCGTCCGATTCAAATTTCTCCATGAAAATATTGGCTATCACTGGTGACAAGGGGGAACCCATGGGAGTACCCTCATTTTGCTTGTAAAAGGTACCATTCCAAGTAAAGTAGGTTGGTGTGGCAGTGCCTAACCAGCGTAGGTACCTCGGGGCAGCTCAAACGCTCTGGCGTTCTGGCGTTTGAGCTGCCGTTTTGTATTTACAAGAGGTGGTCCTTTTTTGAGCTGCCATTGGTGTATGTGTAAGATGTGCGTGTTTGAGCTGCCGCTCTCGCTCTAGCCCCTCCCCCCCCCCCAACCGTATTTCCTATTTAAGCTTCTGTTTATCCCTCCGGCCCCCCCCTCTCTCTCTGCCTCCCTGTCCGTATTTCCTCCCTCCTTACCTCTTGGTGGACTTGTATATGTATTTCTACTGACCGTGTACCTCGTATTTTTCATTCTATCTATGCTGGTATGTGCAATCCAAAGGTTGAACACGAAATTTAACACTTCTGAAATTCGTGGTCCACCAGGAAGTGTCTAACTGTGTTGTTGGCCTGACTGGATGTGCTTCACGTAATGTTTTTTTCAGGTTTGTTGAATTCTCGTCTCTCATCTTTTTGTTGTATTTATCTCCGTGACTTGTTCTTGACACCTGATGAAGATCGCTTGTGTTGTGATCGAAACGTCGTAATTGTTTTGTTTTAATATAATTTTATTGTATTTCTACATACGTGACTTTACCGAAAAAAACAATGAGTAGGATGTTTCAAATTAAGCAACCACTGGAAAGACATTTTAAATCATACCAAACGTCAACTAATTTCTAACAGCAATTTCACGTAGTGATATACCAAGCATATTCCTTCCGAACTTTCTATTTCCATTTTTTCTACTCCCCCCTTACAGCACATTCTTGCCGATCTTAAATTTTTCTATTTTTCCCGTTTCTATTGCACACACACAGTGACCCATCCCCCGCACCCTCTACACAACAAAAGACGGATTAACTCAGCCCCGCACCCCACCAAGGTCCCCCCTACATGGCTCCTCCCACCCCCCTCCCCCTTAGCCTGCATTTAAGCTTTTCTATTTCCCGTTTTCTACTCCCCCCTTACAGCACATACTTGCCGATCTTTAATTTTTCTATTTTTCCCGTTTCTATTGCACACACACAGTGACCAAATCCCCCGCACCCTCTACACAACAAAAGCCGGATTAACTCAGCCCCTCACCCCACCAAGGTCCCCCTACATGGCTCCTCCCCCCCTCAACCTGTATTTAAGCCCAAGGTTCCCAGAGCCTCGCCACTTGGTGCAGCGATTTTTGCTGTGACTGTTTCCACCTGAAGACGAAAGCTTGTGTTGCCTCCGAAACGTCGTCTTTTAATTGTTTCTTTTAGTTTACTTTAATTTGTTTTTTACCTACGTGACTTTACCGAATAAAACCAAAGAGTATGAATTATTGCAGTCACGAAAGCTTCAAATCAAGGCTACTTGTGTTGTGGCCGAAACGTCGTGAGAATTTTGTCTTATTTTGTTTTATTGTTTTATTCTCATTCTACGTGACTTTACCGAAAGAACCAAGAAAATGTAAATAGTTATATATTTAGTCATGAATGCTATATATTGTCATGATATATGTATTTACATATAATAACATTTGTACCATATTTACTCTATATTTAGAATTTTGGACTTCACGTCTTTAAAGTGCAATAAGCCACGTGCTTAGTCACATGGTTCGTGTGGCTCTCTAGGCCAAACGCTAATTAATCACCGTGTGGCTCGCTAAGCCACAAAACATTTCATCTAAAGTAGGCACAGTACTGGAGTTTGTCAGACTATAATTAGGGCAATAAGAAACTTACATTTGCGAAATACTCTTCCAGTTCTTTCACGAGCTTCTCGGCCTAGAAAACAGAGAAAATACAAATTGTTGCATTCAATATAACCAAACACACCCTGCTCACGTTCACATTTACAATGCCTGGGAGGGCAAAAACAACAATTAGTTTATTCATGTGGTCCACATTAACATAAGCTAAATTTAACACGTAGGCTTTTCGCGACCAATATTATTCATAATAAAGGTTTTTGGGTTAGATCGCGTTATTTATAAATGTGTCATAACCCTCCACCACCCGACACGGCCAATCAGCAAAAAAGTGTCACGTTGACAAATAGTTCACTACTTTAGCCCACCGGTGTGTTGAAGAGTGTGTGGTGCCGCCGCAGCGGAGCCGCTCCGTCGGGGCCGTGCCCACCGCCGTGACGCCACCACCGGGGAGCGACGACGCCGACGCTGCGCGCCCCTCGCCGCCCCCCACATGAACGTACGCATACCCCACATACAGCCCGGGGGGAGGTCACCTGGTCGGCGGGTTTTCGTCCAGAAGCCCCTAATGGGATCAAGCTTCATGGTTTCCTACGGCCGGGGAATTGGGCGACCTACCCCCGAGGCTGACGGGCACCGCGGCGCCGTGACCTGGGATTGTAATTGCATGGTCACGGCAGGGGCTGTTAAACCACCGCTGATAGAAACGCGCACACGCAACACGGGTCAGTGGGCTGGTAGCGGGAAGAGCAGAAAGCGGACGTCGAGGGGACCACTGCGGTGACATCACCAGAGCTAGGATCCGACTATCAAAAGAGCGGGAAAATCCCGGTCGCGGGAAGAGCAGAAAGCGGACGTCGAGTGGACCACTGCGGTGACTAGGATCCGACTATCAAAAGAGCGGGAAAATCCAGACCCCTGATTGGACGGGAGGCCAGGGGGGCGGGGCAGCGCGGTGCCCTTTGATGTGAGCGAGGACGATAAAAGAGGGTGAACCAGGGAGTGACGGGAGCGTTCTTCAAGGCATCGAGATCAGCGGGGTGTTGGAGCCAGCCGTTCGAGTCGTCCGTGTGACGAGGTTCAACGCAGCCAGGCCCAATCCTCCACGGAGACAACGTACAGTATCGCCCTTCCACAGCTCCCGGCGAATCAGAGTGGGAGTAAGCGTAAGTAAGGGAGAGGTGAGTTTGGGCTAATTAACCAGAGGGTAGAAAGTGGAGCGACAGGCAGGACAAAGAGAGTCCCGGATCCCCGAGGAATAGGCTACCGTCTGCTGACCCACACAAACACGCGTAGTTTAGCGGGTTATCCGTGGGGAATAAAATCGCCAGTAGAGAATAAACTGTGTCGTGTGGTCTTTGTGAGTGTGAAGAGGAGGGTGGAGTGCCTTGTGTGCGCGTGCACGTGCGGTTGTTCACACGGCCTTTAAATCGGCTCAGGTGTCCCCTCCAATCGATGGCGAGCGCGCGGTGGACACCCCTGCCCTCTAACCCCGAGTCCCTCGCGTGCAATTGGTGTACGGAGCCGGGCAGGTAGCGACGTCGGGTTTGTTAGTGCCCGGGCACGTAGGGCATGTGTGCGAACGGATCCCGGGGGGCTAAGCGCCAACCGGGACCATGCCTCACACAGCAGCGGCGAAGGTAGGAGAGGCAGGGGGTAGCAACCCTCCCCCGAGCGTAGAAGAGGAGAGCCTCGGATCGCAAGGGAGTGGGGATTCGGGGAGCAGCGGTCCCAACAAGTGAATCCACAACATTTAGAGTACGACGTTTCGCTGGTATTTAAATCCAGCATCATCGGGCAATTCGCCAGAAAGATAAAGCCCTCACTTACTCCCGGTCTTAAATAGAGCAGCAGGGTGACAGCTACAGGCTTAGTGCGGCTTGGAAGCGTATTATTAAATAATACATATTACAATTCCTTATAGGGGAAACACATACTAATTAACGGATTACTAACGTAGCATATAATCACAATAACACATTACAACTAATTACTAATCTACAACTCATTACTAATCATAACCATTGACTGATTACCAATCGATTATATAATTACAATACCCCCTCCCCACTCCGCCTTAAATCACTACACCGCGATCTAACCCAAAAACCTTTATTATGAATAAGCTAAATTAATATAAGCTCAATTAACATAAGCAAATTCAGTTAGTGCTAAGGAAGTTCAACATACAAATTCGCCATTTGGGACAAAAAAATGCTAAACAATGCTCCAGCATAGGAATGAATACCAGTGGACAACTTAAAAGGCAATGAATGCATTAAATAAATAAAAAACTGACACTAGCAGGACCTATAATGTCTTAATAGAAATAGATACAATCGGTAACATTTCGTGCAATTACTCTTCTTCACAGATCATATATTTAACTTAGAGGCAATGTTTTTTTAATTGTGCACCACATCCGAACAACTAGTTAAGGAATGTAAACAAAAATAACACATTGTATAACGTTTGATTTGAAACCAACACAAAGTTATGAACAATGATATGCATGTATGTTGAACCTCTTTCGCACCGTACGTAGCTCATCGTGCTAATCGGGAGTTACGAGGTTAGGACAACAAACTAAACACCAAAAACTGTTAAAGAAATTAGTTTACTATTTAGATTTTAAAGTGCATATCTAGAGTGGAATCATAATGTTAAGCAATCATTTTGAAAAGGCAAAATGTAACATTTTAAACAAATTTTCTTCGAATATATGTAGGATCCATATGAAATCATTCCTTTCTCCAATTTGCCCACCGTGTGCCCGCGTCCACGGGCCAGCGAACGCATGTCTCGTGCTGCGCTAGTTCGCTCTCCATGCGCTCTCTCTGAGCCCCCTTGAGCGGATTCTATTCTTGTGTACGGCAGGCAATGTGTGTCCGGAGGCAGTGGCTGCCAATGTCGAAGTTTACTAGCCACGAGGCCTCCAGGAGAGTTCGTGTAGTGTTTGTTGCTCGTCCTCCGTTGAAGGAGCGTAGAGACCACAAGTGGTTCAATGTGGGTGCAGTTTGGGTTGCAATGGTACGACTGTGGCTTGTGTTCTTAAATGCCCCAATTAATACTAAAACTATATATATTTTTTACCAGATAAGGCCCACTGAGCTACATAGACTATTTTTCAACAGCGAGCTGGCCACAAATAAAGTGGCTATACGTGTGGAAATTTACAGCAGCCAAAATGCTCTAAACTCCGAGGACCCAGAGACACATTCAAGCGACCACTAGAAGCAGACACGCAAACGCCAAATATACAGGCATCAACGGATGGGATCGACCCCACGACCTCCTGTATACAGGGCGAGGGCGTTAAAATCTGGCCACCGTGGCGCAACTTTTAATGTTAGGAGATGGTGGGCATCGTTGTGTTGATGTTGCGATGCGGTCGATGGTTAGAGCGGTGCACGACGGCTGTGGTAGTGGTCGGGAGTTAACCAGAACGCCAGATGCGCTCCACGGTAACACAAATCGGGATGTTGACTAAAATAATGAAAGGGAAGATGGAATATCAATCAACTATAACAATCATCCTGTTTCCCCATTACAGTAGCGTACATTCAGTAGCTGCGGCTAAGAACGTTACAAAAACGAGTACAAACACACGATTAATACTTGCGGTGCAAAGTACACGGTAAACAAATCACCCACACACAAGGTGTGCACAAAAACCACGGGCCATTTCCTGCAAACGTCGCCCATTATTTTCTTTCAAGGCCAGTTGGTATTGACGAATGCGTCGAGTTTGCTGTTGTTTTCACTCTGCTTTTGAGAAAGCAGCAGCAGCAGCGGCGGCGGCACCGTCTGCCCCAGCAGCAACACGCGGGGCTGCCGCGCCGTGTTTATAACGCAGCCTTCGCGGCACCCCCGTTTACCTGCTCGAGAGCACCGCGCTAAGAAGTCACCCGAGTGCGAGAGGGGCGCGTCGCGTGCGATCGTGCAACAGCGAGCTGCGTGCTGCGTCCAAGCCGCGCCGTACGCGCGAGAGACACGGCCGCCCCGGTCCGCGCTTCCCGCCCGCCTCTACCACGCCCTGCTCGTCATGTGCAGCGCGCGTGGTGCGTGCCGTGCATCCATCCCACCGTCCCCACCTTCTTGTTGGCCTTGATGCCGCAGCGCTTGGCGAGTTTCTGCAGCTCTGCGTACTTGAGGTCGCTGCGCAGCGCGGCGCGGCACGGCCAAGGCGCCTCCATCGCTCCCCCTTCACAACCGTCGTGGCGGCTCCCGCGCTTACAATCAAACCGGCCAATCAGCGGCCGCCGCCGCCGTTGCGACACTTCCGTTTCCTCCCGAACCCGTTGTGAAGTGCGTCACTTCCGGCGACGAAGGCGGTGGGGGAGCGGGAAGAGGGGGGGTCGGGGGGAGAGGGGTGACGGGGGGGGTGGGTGCGAGGGGCGGGACGACGAAGGCTGTGGGTGGAGAGGGGGCGGGGGGAGCGGGGGGGATCGAGGGGCCTCACAACGGCCACCGCCCCACTCGCCACTCGGTGACGTCACCACGGCGCTCGTGCCAGGCTAGGTACACATTCATAATAGAGGGTTTTTTTGGGGTTAGATCGCGTAAATATAAATGTGTCGTTAAAGCCGCCACCGCCCGACACGTAAACAAAACGTGCCAATTAGTTACTAGTTCAGCACACCGGTGTTGGAGAGTAAAACCCACAACATTTACAATTGGAGTACGACGTTTCACTGCTAATTAGAACAACCAGCCTCATCAGGCGATTGCCAGAATAAAGCTGATTGTTAAGGATCGTTTTGAATGTCAGGTTTGAAGGGTGGCAGGACAACCGACGTCTACTGAGCAGGGTCTGTCTGCTACCTCTTCAGGGTACGATTTCGTTGGCGTTATTGAAATCTGCAGAGACATCTCATACAGATAAACTAAACTATGTTTTAACTAAACTATGATTTATTTCACCAGGTAAGGCCCACTTTTTCAGAAGCGACCTGGTCACAAATGATAGCTCAACGATGTGGCTTATCATGTGGAAATGTTATCAGTCAAATCCCCTCTAAATGCATGTTTCTAAATGTGGAGGGAAAACGCGGAGGACCCGGACAACAATCCACGCGTTCACGGGAGAACGTGTACAATTTAAATATACAACGTCAGGGTCGGGATTGAACCCACGACCTCCTGTGTACCAGGCGAGGTAGTTAATATATCTCCACCGTGACACCGCTATACATCTAACCCCAATACATCTAACACGAAGACATCTCACTGAGAGACATTTCATTCAGAGACAGGGACATTTCAAAGAAACAGACATCTCACTCAGAGACATCTAATATGTAGACATCTTAGACACATCTCGTTCAGAGACAGGGATATCTGAGAGCAACAGACACAATACACCATATAGAGGGACATCTCACACATACATTTCACATACATCTAAATCGGAGACATTTTACGCAGATATCCTACACAGAAACATCTCACTCAGAGACATTTCACTTTTAGATCCTTAGAGAAACAGACCTGACACAGAGACAGGGAGTAAAGAGAGTTAATATGTGGAACTCTGACAAGGTGCAGTGTGTCACCACGTGTGCGAGAAAGGCGCCAAGGATTGCAACTTCACAGAATGGCTTCTTAAGCCAACCCAATAATTGGCATCTTGTCCACAATAGGTTGCTTACGTCTTCATATACTCCACCTCGAGTCTTTGTTCTATGACAATTCACGATAAGAATTAGGTGAAACACCAAATGACACGGCATGGCTTTTGTGGAGTCATAGCCCGGATTTGCATGCAGGATGTCTCTGACTGGCTCAGTTGCTCTCACATATTAGTTGTAGTCAGCTGAGCCACCCAGCCACGTCTTAAATCCGTGTTCACATTGATCTGCAGTGCTGTAGTACAACGAATTTAACGTTTCCTTCTAGAAATTACATTAAATGCTTCAAGCAACAATGTCTGGTATTATTTGTGACATCTCCACACCTCTTCTTTGGTTCTTTCGGTAAAGTCACGTAGAATGAGAATAAAGTAATAAAATAAAACAATACAATTCTCACGACGTTTCGGCCACAACACAAGCGGCCTTCTTCAGGTGAAGGAACAAAAAACTGTCGGGACGACAGAGCTCCAATGTTTCTAAATGTGGAGGGAAAACGCGGAGGACCTGGACACCTTCACCTGAAGAAGGCCGCTTGTGTTGTGGCCGAAACGTCGTGAGCATTTTATTGTTTAATTTTATTATTATTTTATTCTCCTTCTACGTGGCATTACCGAAAGAACCAAAGAAGATGAATCCTTGCAGTCACGAAAGCTTTAAATCGAAAAATCTCCACACCTTTCCTATTTTCAGTTTGTATGGCATTCTTGTTTTCCCACTGAGACGTGTACTTGGCCCACCACTCTGTAAAGCGACACAGAATGTTACAGAATGCGACGTCGAGTTTTGTGACGAACGCACTGCACACGAGGGCGGGGGGACGTTTTACGAATTTTGTTAGAAACCTAATGGCACCCTCAATGCCTTTCCTAATTATGTTCCCAAGTAGGGCGCCTCCCTTTTAAAAGCCCAAGGCCATATACTGGCGAAAAAGATGTTCAAGATAAAACGTCACATTGTCGCAGCACTGTATAATTTAGTGTACGCTAAATGGTTCTGTCATAACAGTATGTTCTCACATAATTATACGTCACTACCAGTGTACACGACACTGCATTATGACCACAAGAGGCCTCGTGTACATTTAAAAGTCATAACATAAATGTGCAGACCATATTGCAATGTAAATAATAAAGTAACACTCGATTTAAAGCTTTCGTGACTGCAAGGATTCATCTTCTTTGGTTCTTTCGGTAAAGTCACGTAGAATGAGAATAAAATAATAAAATAAAACAATAACATAGCTATTTCGTTGACCAGTCACAAGCTAATCCCTCAGCTATTCAATGCTAAATTATCTTGTTTGATTTGTACTAGGTGCCTCTGTTGATGTGTAGGCTTTGACTTTAACATAGCTATTTTTGTGACCAGTCACAAGCTAAATCCCTCAGCTATTTCAATGATAAATTCTCCTGTTTGATATGTTAACCCCTTTGTCAAGGTGCCTCTCTTCTCTCAACCAGCTTAAAAGACGCTACGAATCTTAGCAGCGTTCATTGGAGCTCTGTCGTCCCGACAGTTTTTTGTTCCTTCACTAAGAAGGCCGCTTGTGTTGTAGCCGAAACGTCGTGAGAATTTTATTGTTTTATTTCATTATTTTATTCTCATTCTACGTGACTTTACCGAAAGAACCAAAGAAGATAGTAACACTCAACAAATAGCCTTGGGTCTTTCGGTAAAGTCACGTAGATAGGGTCAAAGAAAATAATTAAAAAAACTACGTTTAGATCGCAACACAAGCGGTCGTTTTCCTGTAGACGACCGCTTGTGTTGCGATCGAAACGTCGTAGTTTTTTGTTATTTTTTTTTACCCTATCTACGTTACTTTACCGAAAGACCCAAGAATATGAATTCCTGCAGTCACGAAAGCTTTAAGTCAACACTCAACAAAGTTGTGACGTCTTGATCTATGATCAAAACCCAGGTGTCACCAATAATAGGGATGCCACCTTTTGCACAGATAAAACCAAAAGTTCTACACACTAGTGATACCAGATCTGTATGTGTGTTGAACTTCTTTCGCACCGTACGTAGCCAACCGTGCTAATCGGAGGTGCGGAATAAGTACATTCTTGCCACATGAACGCAGATGGAAATCCGCAGGCTGTCCGGGTCAAACCCGACAGCCTGGGGATTCAAACCCGGACAGCCTGGACAGGTTGCGACCATGTGCGTTAGTGATGCTTGAAATAGTCAACAATTGTCGGTCTCAACGAGCATGCTCAAGTTAATACAACGAATAACAACACTAATCTAATTACTGCATTGCACACATGTTTCTAGCAGTGAGAGCGGGCGTAGTGTACACGCACAGCAATCACCGTCTGCCTCTGCACACTCGACCAGCGGTGCTTGTGGCTTGCTGAGTGCTGGACACGACACGAGCAGCACTTACACGCCAGATGTTTTTTGGGCTTTCGATCCCCGTGTGCGGTGGGCCCTAAGAGGCGCTTGTTTAAACGCACACGGTTCATTCAGCACTTTAACACGATCGGGGTCAACGCCACTTTTAGACAACGTAAATAATCCATGTGCTGTGATTTAAAACTCGTTCAGCACCATAGAAACACCAGCACTCAAGGGTGGCTCTGCACTAGTGCATTGCCTCCTTCGCTTTCATGCCTACGTTGTGTAACATATGCATGTGCGATGTTGTGAACTGTTATTTTAAAAGTTAAACCTTATAAAATATCAACTTGTAACGCGCGCTGTATTGTATGTATGCATGTTGAACTTCTTTCGCACCGTACGTAGCCAACCGCTCTAATCGGAGGTGCTGAGTAGGACAACAAACTAAAGACAAAGAGCAGATTAAAAGTTAATATCTCGAGTGGCCTTCTAATGTCAGATGCTGTGACCGTCTTTGTTTGATGGCCAGCAGCCAAGAGCCTCTACGGGGATGAGCGGAGTTCGCGTGATGGTTTCAGCACTCAGAGAGAGATAGAGAGCGACTCGGAGACGTGAATGTACCAAGAGGGCAGTCAGCCACGTGGCCAGCCAGTGACAACAATCGCTCTCAAGCGCTGCTGTCGTATATTAATATATATGTGTTGAGGTGCTATCGGTGAATTAAAGATTGTTTATTCGTGGGAGGAAACCGGAGAACCCGGAGAGTACCCACACGTGCGAGGGGAAGCACTCTTTCCTACACAGATTGAACAGGTTTGGGACACATTCGCATTGCCACCTCCTGCTGGTAAGCAGAGGTATGTCTCCTCGATGCCCACGGGAAGTGAGTTTCACATCACTTCTATGCATAGCCAACACCACCCAGCAAAACTTCCAGAATAAAAACGTGCAATTAAATGCAACAATTGCTGTACAAACATGCCTAATTCTCATCTTTTTACAGCTCTGATCCAGTGGTGTTTAAATCTATTCATTCGGCGAGGAAAAGTTATTCATAAACAACTGAGGATCCGTTTCGTCGTGAATAGTAGGACTCATCAGCAAAGTATATTCACCAATGGGTGGGCTTTACCTAGTCGGATGGGAACGCTATAGTTGTATTTGTATGTCTTTGCAATGATTTGTTTACTTCTCTTGTACGTTGCATGGCTATCGTGTTTTTGTATTGTTTGTTGTTGTAACGTTCTTACCCCGTGCCCCTACTGGGCCATCTGTGATAAAGAGCTTCATAGCTCATCGGATTCCTCCTGCAGTATAAATACAGATTCTGATTGTGTGTGTTGAGACCCTCGTTATGTATTTGAGCTGGGGGGGGGGTACCAGAGTGGTCCCCGGGGGGAGGGAGGGTGGTAGAGTGGTCCCCGGGGGTAGGGCGTGGGGCAGAGTGGTCCCCGGGGGGAGGGAGTGGGGCAGAGTGGTCCCCGGGGGTAGAGAGTGGGGCAGAGTGGTCCCCAGGGGGAGGGAGTGGGGCAGAGTGGTCCCCGGGGGTAGGTAGTGGGGCAGAGTGGCCCCCACGCCCCCCAGTGGCAAAGAGTCTCACTGCCAGTGGGCGGGGAGAGAGGGCCCCGGGGTATTTCCTTCCCCATGAGACACAATAACAACGCGAATCGATAATCCGATTTCCAACCGCGCACGATTAACCCCCTTGACTTCAGCGTTAGGAGTGGGAATTGACGAATCGATTCTATCGCGGCTCGCCCCGCGCACCATGAGTCAATCACTTACGAGGCCGAATCGCACAACAACGATTCTCGCGTCGCGATTCCGTAGCTTTGCGTAGGCCAGCAGGGAGAATCGATTCGCTGCCCATCCTGTCAGGCTCCATTTGCCGGGGCGTCACTGCGCGCATGCGCAGTGTGACCCGCATGACGTCACGGGGAGAGGTGAGGACGAGGAGACGAGAGGTGAGCGAGTGTGAGTTGGTGAGTGTGAGTTGGTGAGTGTGAGTTGGTGAGTGTGAGTCTGTGAGTTGATGAGTGTGAGTTGGTGAGTTTGTGTGGCTGTGTGAGTGTGTGAGTGTGTGAGTTGGTGAGTGTGAGTTGGTGAGTTTGTGTGGCTGTGTGAGTGTGTGAGTTGGTGAGTGTGAGTTGGTGAGTTTGTGTGGCTGTGTGAGTCTGTGAGTTGGTGAGTGTGAGTTGGTGAGTTTGTGTGGCTGTGTGAGTGTGTGAGTTGGTGAGTGTGAGTTGGTGAGTTTGTGTGGCTGTGTGAGTGTGAGTCTGTGAGTTGGTGAGTTTGTGTGGCTGTGTGAGTGTGTGAGTTGGTGAGTGTGAGTTGGTGAGTTTGTGTGGCTGTGTGAGTCTGTGAGTTTGTGTGGCTGTGTAAGTGTGAGTTGGTGAGTGTGAGTTGGTGAGTTTGTGTGGCTGTGTGAGTGTGAGTCTGTGAGTTGGTGAGTTTGTGTGGCTGTGTGAGTGTGAGTCTGTGAATTGGTGAGTTGGTGAGTCTGAGTGGGTGTGAGTTGGTGAGTGTGAGTCTGTGTCGGTGAGTGTGAGTCTGAGTGGGTGTGCGTCTGTGTCGGTGTGAGTCTGTCGGTGAGTGTGAGTCTGAGTGCGTGTGAGTTGGTGAGTGTGAGTTTGTGTGGCTGTGTGTGAGTGTGTGTGAGTCTGTGTCGGTGAGTGTGAGTCTGTGTCGGTGAGTGTGAGTCTGTGTGGGTATGAGTTGGTAAGTGTGAGTCTGTGAGTTCGTGAGTTTGTGTGGCTGTGTGAGTGTGTGAGTTGGTGAGTGTGTGAGTTGGTGAGTGTGAGTCTGAGGGGTGTGCGTCTGTGTGGGTGTGAGTTGGTGAGTGTGAGTCTGTGTGGGTGAGTGTGAGTCTGAGTGGGTGTGAGTTGGTGAGTGTGAGTCTGTGTGGGTGAGTGTGAGTCTGAGTGGGTGTGCGTCTGTGTGGGTGTGAGTCTGTCGGTGAGTGTGAGTCTGAGTGGGTGTGAGTTAGTGAGTGTGAGTTTGTGTGGCTGTGTGTGAGTCTGTGTGAGTCTGTGTCGGTGAGTGTGAGTCTGTGTGGGTGTGAGTGTGAGTTGGTAAGTGTGAGTCTGTGTGGGTGTGAGTTGGTGAGTGTGAGTCTGAGTGGGTGTGAGTTGGTGAGTGTGAGTCTGTGTGGGTGAGTGTGAGCCTGTGTGGATGAATTTTGAGTGCGAGTGAGTCTGAGTGTTGGGGAGAGTGTGAGTGACACAGTGTATGTCTGTGTGGGTGAGTGTAGTGTGCTTATGACTAGCTCCGGTTTGACAGCAGGTCTCACTCCGCCTTAGTCGAGGCCGGCATCTTTCATTGGCTGCATAATGCTGTGTGGAAGCTACCTGGTCTGTCACTCCACACAGAGCTTTGGGTTTTCTCGGCCACAGTCACAGTCATGCCATCCCTTCTCTATGCTTGTGAAACGTGGACCTCTTTAGTAGAATATCTGTGCCGGTTAGAAACATTCAGGCAGGCCTGTCTACGATCCATCCTGGGTTTAACCAGGCTGGATTGTGTGAGGAGCTCACACATCCTTGAAGGATCTGGACACATTCCCGTCGGTGAGTTCCTCCAGCAGGCGAGACTGTGCTGGGTAGGTCACGTAGCCCGCATGTTCAAGCAGCTTATGTTTGGCTGGATAAGAGGGCGCTTTAACGGGCACGACACAGGATGGATTAGAGATGGACTGATGTCGTGCGGGAGCTGAGTGGACTTGCCGACGACCGGGACCAACGGTGTCAAGATCGGCCTCTGTGGAGGAGGCTCGTGAAGGACGCTGCTACTTGGCAATTGGAGGCAGTCGCCCTCCAACAACAACGATGAGCGCAGCGCCGGGTGGCTAAAATAGAGCAAGTTGGCACAGGAGGGGCCACAGGTGGTGCATCGGCCAGTCATCTCAGTCAGTCAACTCATGGTACCTGGGTCTGTCCCGTGACCTGTCAGCGAGCCTTCGACACTTCACGTGGCCTTGAAGTGCACCTGGCCTGGCACAGGCACCGTGGTGATGTCACCGCCACTTTATGGCAAATGGCGGGTGTTGTTGTGAGTGTGAGTCTGTTCATAAGTGTGAGTGACTGTTGGAGAGTGTTGAGGAGTGTGAGTCATGAGTGAGTGTTGCGCTGTGTGAGTGTTTTGGCGTGTGAGTGAGTGTAAGTGTGGTGGGTGAGAATGTGTGGGTGAGTGTTGAGTGTTTCTGCCAGATCGTCATACTGTATACCCATTCAATGACAGGTCAGATGAGATTGTTTTAAGCAGATTCATGGTTTCACTATGGGTCAGTATTTAACTGTTAAATATGAAGGGACGAACTTTGGATCTGTCAGTCGTTTATGATATAGTTGAATGTGTTTGTATTAGTTGATCGTGACTTGTGTGAATTCAATCAAGAATTGTATTCAAGTCGGTGGCGATAGTGAAGGATCTGCACAGTGGGCAACTAAATGTCGATTTAGCGAGCGATTTGAATGAATTTGATGCACGAAGTCTACCATTGTCTGCAAAGGAGTGGGTTATGTTGTGAGAGGAAGATAATGAAGAGAATACAACTTTATGGGAGACAAAATAGTCTTGCGGAACACCATGGTGAATGACGAATGTATCAGACTGGCCACAATAAGATAATTTACTGCTGAATATATTGACGCATCAGACTGCTAAAAACATGAGCTTGTAGATTCCAGTGTATGCCAAATGAAGATTGCTTGGCAAGTAGTGTGGGATGCCAGCCACGATCCGATGCTTTGCAAATGCCAAGGGCTGTGATCATAGACTCTTCTCAAACGTTCAAAACTTCAACTCTCCAAACATGAGTTATGCAAATTGACGGGCCACCGGTGGATCATGCTTGACGGAACTCATGTCGATGATCACGAAGACATGATGCTGTCTGCAAGTGTTGTAGGAGCTGATTGTTGATTATAGAGTAATGAAGTGAAGGTGATGGGATGAAAGTTGCTCATACAAGATGGGGGTCACCGTTGTTCGGGTCGGGCAGAACCTGGGCTTATTTTTAAGTTGTTGGTAGTTTATGAGATCCTGTAGCGCAGCGGTTCTGAACCGGGAGTACGCGGACCCCAGGGGGTACGTGAGGTGATTTCTAAATGTGTGAAATGATATCATACATGAGAGTCAATGGTAAATAATGATGTATGAATCTGCCAATATATTAAATAACTCCGATAACATTTACATCCATATGGTAACCTAGAACGATATAAAATACCTTTATAAACTCATTGATCGCAAACAATGTGGTAACTCCAAGAGCAGCCAGCGAGCGTGAACACATCATGTCACGCATGCAGAGCGTCCATTGATTTTTGTTTTATTCGCTTGTAGTGACGTGATAATTAGGATAATACCTCACAAAATGGCCAATTGGTTAAAATACTAATGTTCATTATTCATGCATCTATTTTTCAGAACCATTTTGGGTCCAGGCAAGGGAGGGTACTACTCTGTTGAAACCAAATTCAACAAGGTGGTTGCAGGAGTAGCTAAAGAAGGTTACGAGAACCACTGCTGTAGAGCCTAAAAAGAGCTGTCAAGTTCTGGAGCTCACAATCCAAATCACAAGACATGGTTTGCCATCAAAACCACGAAACTCGGAGGTTATACGTTTGGACAGTTAGCCGATGTACATCATGCGCAGGTGAATTGTATTTACTTTAATACACAACCGTTGTAAGGAATCGCTGCAGGTGGAACGTTACATTGTCATCAGGGGTCGAATTATCCGACAAAAAAATATGATCCACAGAGATTGGCCTTGTATTTTTTGCGTGAAGAATTTTAGATGCAGATTAATTACACATCGGTGAAAATATAAGATTGTTCAGGTCTGAGACAGCATCTGGTGTGCGACTAGCACAATAAGCCAATTGTTCAAGGTTGCGGAACAATTGGTTAACTGTGCTGGTGGTCTGCGGATATGTTGCAGATATTACGAGAAAAAATACATTTAGTTTGTACTGCCCGTTGTACTTATGTTTATAAAAACAAGTCAATCGACTTATGGATTTTTTAAAACAGATGTTGGGCAGCACTTTTGGAGTCGTTTTAATGTTCAAAAATATGTTGTTCGTGAATGGTGGTCTGTCAGAATTGTTTTGAAGCTGGACTATGGTTCCACCGATCCAGGAATGTCGAGAACCACTCCTGCAAATCGCATAAACAGACCGTAAACCAACCCCTGTGAAGCAACTGCATAACCCCCTCCACACACAGACCCCATAAACCATTTAGAGCGCCACTCCAGAACCCCTATAACACAGCTCTTCGTGTCAGAGCTCTACCCAGCGCCTGCTCTCCGCCCCAACAAGTTCATGAGAGGCTCTCACCTGAGCACACACCCTCCCCCCCGCGGTTCCCCCAACCCACACTGACGGGACCCGGATCCCATCTGTGTGTCCAGAGTATTTCCATGTTATCCCCTTGGGGACCCCGAGAAGTCGGGGAGATCCCAGCACCAAACAGAATATCGGTGTCTCCCTGCGCACACAAGAGCGGGGTGGAGCTCTTTAGCGTCGGTGGCTCTGGATGTATATATGTTAAAATTATTTCACACCGTATGTAGTCAATCGTGCTAATCGGAGGTGCGGTGGAAGGACAACAAACTAAACACTCAAACCAGTTATAAAGAAGTGAGTTTTCAAGATTTAACAGTGCAAAGCTCCGGTGGTGTCCTAATATCAGAAGGAAGAGCATTCTAGAAAAGCATCTGAAAGCGCCGCGCGATGCAGTGAATGTCTTTGTTCCATGGTTAGCCAAAAGCCTCTGCGAGGATAACTGGAGTTCACGTGAAATCATGGAGATTGCAGATTTCTATGTCATGACCAATCAATCCACAGCCTAATAAATATACATGTAGATTTGACGTTTTCGTGACTGCAGGGATCCATACTCTTTGGTTCTTTCGGTAAAGTCACGTAGGTATAAAATAAATTAAATCAGGACGTTTCGGGCGCAACACAAGTGTCCGTCATCAGATGGGACAACCACAGCAAGAAACAGTTGCTGAAGTGGGCAGCAGAGGTGCTTGTATCAAGAGGCTATATAGGTAGGAAGGTTAGCGACTCGATTAGCTGCGCCTTTTTGTCCCGCTGTCTGTTAAAAGCTCTAACAGATATGTGGAAACCCTCCCCATAGAGGCGGTTAAATCTAGATTTGAAGCTTGATTTATTTTATTTTATACCTACGTGACTTTACCGAAAGAACCAAAGAGTATGGATCCCTGCAGTCATGAAAACTTCAAATCTAGATTGAACCGCCTATACGGGGAGGGTTTCCACATATCTGTTAGAGCTTTTAACAGAGAGCGGGACAAGAAGGCGCAGATAATTGAGTCGCTAACCTTCCTACCTATATAGCCTCTTGATACAAGCACCTCTGTTGCCCACTTCAGCAATTGTTTCTTGCTGTGGTTGTCCCACCTGATGACGAACGCTTGTGTTGCGCCCGAAACGTGGTGATTTAATTTATTTTATACCTACGTGACTTTACCGAAAGAACCAAAGAGTATAAATATACATGTATATCATTATTCACTTTGATACAAGATTAACCATCCCTGGTTTATGAATTTATAGACACTCCACCGATTTCTCATGACCGTGTTTCTCAATTGGTGATTTAATATTGCAGAAGCGGATTGCCCCGTACCTTACAGAGGGAAGGATTTAATGAGATTAATGGGAGACGTGTCGAGGCTTTCAAATCAAATTCGTTTTCTCTGATTTCTCCAGATTATTTACAAGCGTATCTGGGCATGGATCGCCCTGTACATCTTGCTGAGCATAGTAGAGATACTTAACGTGTTGGCACGACTTTTTTTTTATTACCATGCTTGTTTACCCAGGAAAGCCTTGGCCGAGTTTCACCTTTTTTTTCGAGAACGTCCGGCTCGGTTTTGGCAGTCGGAGGCGACGTTTGCTACGTGCTTCCCAATGAAGGAGTTTGCGAGTCATTTTTCAAATTCTGACCATGACACCAGCACACGATGGCCCACTTACTCGTCTCTTGAATGACGCCACGGGCTCGTTAACATCCACTGTGTAGTTGAAGGTGTGCAGTATTTTATTGCTAATGCACCCGCAGCGTTAACCAAGGCAGCCAGTTGGACACAAAACTCCAGCAACCTCTGCAACAAGTGGTTGACACGTTACCACAGGGCCGACATCATGGAGAGAATTGCATGTTTATGGAAGAAATATCAGCTTCAATATTGTTTTCTGCAGAATACAATATTCAACTGCACACAGAGGCCGTGTCAGTTGATTAACCTTTATGTAAACCATATCGAACTTGCTCCAGGAAGTTATGGAGGGAGAGGCGATTGGCACGGCGGGACAAGATGATGCTTTTAAGAATTTCTGTGAGGAGTGAGGAGATTGAAGATGTTGACACTGCCTTGCAGGGTTCCGAGGAGCCCGCACATGTTTTTTTTTAATGTTGATTGACATTTAATAAAAATGTGGATTCAATATTGGCTTTTTCCAGGAGTGGGCCCAGAAAGAAAAAAAGAGCGTGCTTCTTGAACCCGGGCGCGTTGCGAACCGCCGAGGATGAGCACGGCGCAGCTGAACGGCCACCCTGGGGGGGCCGACGATGATGACGCGGTGGCCGGGGAGGGCGAGGGACACCGTGAGATGGCCGTAGACTGCCCTGCGGAGTTGGGGCCGCGCACCCACGCGGTGCAGCAGAGCTTCCGCTCGCTGCAGCTGGAGCGCATCAAGCAGCAGCAGGACGACATGCGCCGGTAACGAGGGTGGCAGCGGTGGCGGGCACAGTGGTTAACGCTCGTGCCTCCATGGCAAGGAGGGCCTGGGTTAGATTCCTGATTGGGGCACCTCTCTGCATGACATTTTGTATGTTCTTTCTCCCCTCGTTCTGCATGGTGTCCTGTGGGTTCTCCGGTTTGCTGTTATAGCTTAAAAAAAACACGATGTAACTGGTGTTGGCCAAACGTCCCAATGCTGAAATATTACCTGCAGATTTCTGCCTTGTGATTACACACATTGCAGGATTGCCCCCTTACTTACTGCTAAACCTGACAGGACCCTCCAAAAAAATGTCTTGAGGCTCGATTTCCTGGGTTGACAAGCGGAATAATAATAACATGTTACATTTAACCACCAGGGGGGCAGTAGTTTGCCGTCAGTGCAGTAGGGCAGAGGGGTTTCCAAAGTTTTGGACTCGCGACCCACCTGAGTTGCAACATCATTTTCTGGGATCCATGCCCAGTGAGACGGTGGTGTGAAAAACATTGGCAGCTGCTGGTGACTTCTCAGTGACAGGAGGCACGAATACAAACCCTAGCCAAGAAATGGGGTAAACCTGCACATTCATGAAGGCCTGTGCCAGAGGAGCCTAGCTTTGTATGAAGGTTTTAGAGTGCAGCTCACAGAGTGTGATAATGCAGCTCACAGGGTGGTGGTATTGCAGTGCACCTCACAGACACACAGATGTAAATATACTCACATACAAGACATGGAGATGTCACCACAGCGCTTGTGCCAGGCTAGGTGCACTTTGAGGCGACGTGAAGTGTCAAAGACTCGCTGACAGGAGGTCACAGGTCACACCCAGTTGCCAATGGTTGGCTGAGATGACTGGTAGAGATGCACCACCTGTGCTCTCCAATGACACACACAGATTCACACACACACGGAGACACAGAGACACGAACACACAGACACGAATTGCAGTGCAAGATGACTCGGCACCCGGCCTGCACGCAAGCGGGCATTGGGTTTTCCAGGAGGGCGCGATGACTGCCGCATGCTATCCCGGAGTTGAGTCATTTATTTAACGACGCGAATGTGTGCGCATGTGCGGCGACAGTCGGCGTGAGGAAGAGGAGCGGAAGCTGCGGGAATTGGACATCAATGCCTCGATCCGTTTAAAGCATCTGGCACAAGTTCCGCCCAAGATCGGCATCGACAACCCCAACTTCGACCAGGAGGAGGAAGGCGTTGTCCTCTCCACCTCTGCTGGTTGGAATGCGGCTCACATCCTAGGTGGGTGCAGCTAACAGTTCCGGATGATATCATGGGACCTTTTTGCTTGTACCAAAGTATGAAAAATAAGAATAGGTTTGACCCTTTCTGGCAATAAAACAGGTGTTAATTCTGCATTAACCACACGTACTTGTGGTGAACATGCAAACAAAAGAAAGCTGTTTCTGGTGTAGGCCGATCAGTTTCAAATACAATGTATATATTATAAGAGCATGTTTGTTTGCATGTTGTTTGCATGTGCACCACAATTGCTTGTGGTTAATGCAGAGTTGATTTCTTGAAAAAGGTATCTGTTTGGTGTTTGAACATCTTCAGGCCTGTTTTATTGGTAAAAACCTTTTCATAGTTTCCGGATGACTCGCCGTGGTCCATCGCCGGTGTTGATATTTCTGTCACCCACTTTTGCCACGAGTGGTTTTTAAAGGGAATTGGCCTGGGCCATACTTTGTAACGGGAAGTGATTTTTATTCAGGATTGATTTATGTGAGTGCACTGTTTTACATATCTTCTGTAACGTGGTTGTTTATTTGGTTCTGATTTCTATTGGGTTGATTTTCGTACTTGCTGTTGTATATTAGGGCTTTTATCATTTTGGTCACCTGGGTCAATCTCGTACATGTGAACATCATTGTTTGTTGAGTTTTCACTGGTTAAATAAAGGAAACTGAAAACATTATTATTATGCATGTTTACCCAGGAAAGCCTCGTGACTTTTCTTCAAGAGGGTCCAGGAGAAGTATTCACAGTTTGGGGGAACTGATTGCTGTGCATACCCCAATCGAGTAATTTGCCGTGATATTTAATCTTTTTTGGCAAACTTGGTCGATGACGCCGGCACACAATGGCCTACTCATGTAGAACGACATCACAGGATCTTTTAACGCGTGGATTTTTTCCCCCCCACATTTATTAACATGCATTTAAGTGTATTTGGCTGCTATAAATTTCCAAATGATTAGCCGCTTCGTTGAGCTATCATTTGTTGCCAGGTTGCTTCTGGAAAAATAACTATATAGCTCAGTGGGCCTTAGCTGGTAAAATAAAACTAGTTTAGTTTAACAGCCACACTGAAACAGGCGGCACGTACGTTTTCAGTTTAATCCACCCACAATATTAACTTGGGCTGCCTGCTGGAGTCGAACCACTTGGCCTCCTGCAACAAGTGGAAAAATGCGCTCCGCCCCCCCACCAAACATACGCTTGCACGCTGTTCTCCCAGATTTGGACGAGCTGCAGACGTCGGTGCAGCTGATGCAGAACCTCTTGAAGGACAACCAAAGTGCGCAGGACCTGGACGTGCTCAGCCAGCTGCTGCAGTCGGCCGACTTCCGCAAAGCGCTGAGCATCCACAACGCGGTGGCCTTCTACATGAAGCGGCCCAGCCCGCCCTTCCCCCGCTGTGGAAACGCCCAGCAGATCGCCCAAGACGTGAGTTGGATCTGTATAAACAACGCGCTCCTGCCGTACGTAGTCTTCTCCTCCTCCCACCCTTTCAGAAAAGCTCTTCCTCATGAGTACAATAATAGACAGATATATTGGCACGTTCTAAAAGCGCAAGACCAGCGCGAAGGAAGGCGCTTTGTTTCGCAGGCAGTTTGTGCTAGTATAGCATTAGGGGGCGATGTTGCCGTGTGTAATCCAAATTTAGTCGTGTGCAGTAAATCATCCTAATTTGGACCCTGACGCCGGCACTCAGTGACCTCATTTGGAATGATGCCGTGGTGATCTTTATCGTGCACTGTAAAGCAGACGGCACGGAGAATGTTACAGTTAATACATCTGCAGTAATGACCGGGGGGGCCTGCCAAATTCGAACTGCAAATCCTGTCCAACAGGCGGCAAACATGATACAGCTGCACCTCGTAGCTGCCTCCGTGGTCTCCAGGACAATCAAAACAAAGTGCAATCTGGTTTCCGCCAAGACTTTTGTGGATGCAGATCTCCTTTGTGCGGTCAATGACCTCCTCTCCTCTGGCCATGGATCCTGCCCACTCCCAAGTTCTCCTGATCTCGCTGCTGCTTTTACACACCTGAAGATTTCCAAGACTTTATAACACATGAAATAAAACAATAATTCACATCATTGTGACGACGATAATAAAAAATGGAAAGCCGGACAGTGGTGGCGCACGCCTGTAGTCCAGCACTATGGAGGCAGCGAGGGTTAGTGGATAACACAAATGTTGTGAAACTCCCTTCCCATGTGCATTGAAGTGCCATACCCTGGTTTTCCAGGAGATGGCGATACAGCAAATGTGGATTTGACTTATTCCGTTTGTATGGGAGTCTTGCCTACTCGCATACGTGGGAAGTATGCACTTATTAATTGGCTTAAAACATCTTAATACATGGAAGAATGCACGGCTTGGCCAATTGTTATCACCAGTTCACCACATGGTTGCTGCCTTCCTGCTTGCCTCTGGTTCCAGGCACCTCTTGAGTCGTTCTCTCTATTCGAGAGCGCGTGAATATTGTATGGCAGACGGCGTGTTGCAAGTTGACATTACGTAAAAATACAATCAGGCTAATTGCCATTCTGGGAGTGTCTACTTTTAGCAGCATTGATTCAATACAAGCAATCTTTGTACTCGGTTTTGGAATTCAGTGTCAGCAGTGTCAGCAGCGTCAGGCTTCCTTGAGCCGATGCAAGTGAACTATCAGATGTTTATAGACAAGGACCCCCTCTATTAAATGTGGGTCCTAGTGTAATGCAAAACTCTGTAATGTGCAAGACAAAAATATAATCACTCACGTCGCCGGAGACTCCAACGTACAAGACTTCGTAGGTTTCTCCAGTACTTCGTCTCTCCGGCTTCTCCGCTGATCTCTCAAACCGCTCCTTCTACATCATCTCTCGTGCCGTCGTCACAGTGACCGGCCAAACCAAGGTCATGTGACTGGTCTTCCTTTCGTAATGGAGATATTCGTCGATCCCAACTTCCACATTTTTTGGCAGTGACACAAACACTTAAACTGTTTTAAACTAAACCACTCCTGATCGTTGGCACATTCTGCAGCATACCACAAGCATTGTCCTTTATGGTCGTTGATAAGATTTGAAGTAAAAAAAATCTAATCTTATATTCTTTGGTTCTTTCGGTAATGTCACGTGGATAGAAAAATAATAATACAAATTAAAATAAAGTGAATAAAAATATCACAACGTTTCGATGGCAATACAAGCAGTCTTCATCAGGAAAAGGGTTAACCTCTAAAGGCAAACTATTTATAAAGATTTAGAGATGGGCACAGCCCACGTGTATCAGCAGCACCAGCAGCATGGGTGGGGCAGCAATGCCAATGCAGCAGCAATGCCAATGCAGCAAAGGGCCACCAGGAAATCACAGCACCCCGCTCCACACAACACACTGCTGACGGTGGAGGTTGATTGACAAGAAAACACAAGTCAAGTCATGACCCACAGTTTGCCTTCAGAGGCTAACCCATTTTCCTGATGATGACCGCTTGTGTTGCGATTGAAACGTCGTGATATTTGTTTATTACTTTTTATTTTTTTCTGTCTACGTGACTTTACCAAAATAACCAAAAAATAAGAATTCCTGCAGTCATGAAAGTTTTAAGTCAACATTTAAAATCTAATCTTTTTTAAATTATTTGGAATTGTATACAGTTATTCCTCGTTTAACGCCGCATATGAATTCCCCAAAAAGTGGTGCGTTAATTGAAAATGCATTTGGCGAAAACTATTTCCCCATAAGAAATAATGTAAAAGGTGGGGGTTGGGTTCCACACCAGAATTTTATAAGGGTCACTTTAAAAAAATGCTGTGTGGGTGAGGGAAAGAGGGGGGGAGAGAGAGAGGATCGTGATAACACATTCCTGCAGAGAGAGCTGGTAGGAACGTTGGGTTGCTCGGTCAATGGCTAGGCTCAACGGCGGCGTGGTGTATTCCGCAAATATGCCCGACTGTGAGGGCGGGCACAAGCCGGCGTGAGTAGGTTAAACGTTGAGTTTTATAAGGGCACCACGGGGTGACCAGCTCCTCCCCACCCAGCCTCACCCCTCCCAGCCTCCACCCAGCCCCACCCTCCCCACCCAGCCCCTCCCCACCCTCCTCACCCAGCCCCTCCCCACCCTCCCCTCCCCACCCAGCCCCACCCTCCCCACCCAGCCCCTCCCCACCCTCCCCTCCCCTCCCAGCCCCTCCCTCCCCACCCAGCCCCTCCCCACCCTCCCCTCTCCACCCCGCCCCACCCCTCCCATTTTTGGATGCACGACAGACGGACGGACACAATAATCCCCTGTGGGCTTGTGTAACCAGGATGTTCCTACCAGTATTACATGTAACAATTATAATTTCTAAAAATTAAGATTCTTAAGATATTTTAAAAATAACAATGCAACAAAATTTCACTTATCTGAGGCGGTGGTGGTTGTTGCTTGTTCTTGTGGAGATGAGTTGGGGTGGAGGGGCGAGTGGTGGCATTACACTGCGTGTGCTACATCATTCTGTGCATCTATTCCAGAGTTCCCATACCGCTGAGCCACGCAGCTCAAGAAAGTAGTTCGTCATTGACCGCTCCGAAACCGAGTTCTAACAGACGCGCGATACAGTGGACGTGCTTTACAACGGACACGCGTTCCGCGTTGTCACAAAAGTCTTCCCCGAATAGAAAACGTGTTGCGTGAAAACGCGTTAAGCGAGGACCCATTGTGTTTGTTATTGTGCGCTCTGAAATATTTGGAATTGTTACTGCATTAAGTCAAGAAATATCTTAAGTCTCTGCTCTCCAGTTGCCTGGGTGAAAAGTAGGGCTGTGTCCTTGGCCAATCCTGGCCCAGCCTGGCTCACAAACTCAATAAACAATAGAGAAAGCTGTGCGGCGGCGTGCACTGTGTGTCCTCACACCGACTAATGTCCGCGTGATTACGAGTGCACTAATGATCATATTACGTAATAATGTGATTTTAAAAACAAATCACTTCATCCCCATAGGTTTGTGTGCATATCGACGCATTTGTGTGACCTCCCCTGCCTTGGGGAGACTGGTTAGGCGTCGTGGTGACAAAGAACATTGCCAGTGAGGATGTCGGCCGTGTGGACGTGTCTCATCCAGTGCTTGTTACCTTAGCAGGACCAAACGCAAGCTAACAATATGTGAGTGCATGCGGTGGCACTATGTGTGGTGTTTATATGTGGTGTCACTGTTGTATTGTATGTGCTGTGTCACTGTGGTGTATATGTGTGGTATATATGTGATGTTTGTGTGGTGTCACTGTTGTATTTTATGTGTGGTGTCACTGTCTGTTGTATTGTATGTGTAGTGACTGAATTCCACTGTGTGGTACCGGACTTGCGAGGCCACGGCGGATAATATGTTGTCATTATGTGCTGCCCGGTTACTGGGCGTAGTACCAGCCCTAGCGGGGCTTGGGTGAACGCTGGTCAGCGCACAGGCATCACATACAGTGTGCGGTGTGGGCTCCCGGTGAGGGAGCGAGAGGGAGTGTCAGCCAGCCAGGGTTACGTTGGGGCTTGATACGCCGGTTGACCTGCCTACACGTGACCGCATGATATTGGAGGGGGGCCACCGATGGACGGGGGCCGCTGGGTGGTCACGTGGTATAGAAGAGCTCTCGGGAGCCTTCGGGAAAGGGCTCGAGAGATCGAGAAGGTGGGCGGGGCGAGAGGCGGAGCCAGCTACAGCCCGGGCCGATATCACGGGGGCCCCGTGTGGGGCTCGGGGTTCTTCGTGTTGCTGGTGATGAAGATCCATGTCAGGTTGAAGAAACCTCTAGCCACGCAGTCCGGGACCCAGCTCGTGGTCCGGACCGGGATAGAGGGACCGTGTCTAGTTCTGCCGTAGCATGGTTAGATGGGTGTTCAACACCCGAGTGTAGGTTACGTTATGTTGTGTTGAGTTGATGTAATAAATAGTGTTGCTCCCAAGGCAACGTCTGCGACTCAGTTGGACTCACTACATATGTCGTGTCACTGTGTTGTGTATGTGTGTTGTCACTGTGTGGTCTGTGTGTGTTATGTGTGGTCTCACTGTCTTTGTGTGTATTTGTGTGGTGTTTGTATGGGGTATGTGTGATGTCACTATGTGTAGTCCCTGTGCGGCATCACTGTGTGTGGTATGTGTGGTCTCACTCTGTGGTCTGTGTGTTTATACTGGTAGGAACCTCCTGGTTACACCAGCCCATAGGGGATTATTGTGTTCGTCCGTCCGTCGTGCATCCAAAAATGGGAGGGGTGGAGCTGGGTGGAGAGGGAAGGGTGGGGAGGGGCTGGGTGGGGAGGGAGGGGCTGGGTGGGGAGGGGCCGCTTGGGGAGGGGCTTGTCACCCCGTGGTGCCCGTATAAAACTCAACGTTTAACCTACTCACGCCGGCTTGTGCCCGCCCTCAGAATCGGACATATTTGCGGAATACACCACGCCACCGTTGACCCTGACCGTTGACCGAGCAACTCAACGTTCCTACCAGCTCCCTCCGCAGGAATGTGTTTAAATCCCTCCGACCGAATGCCCACTCAGCAGTAAAAAGACTGGTGTGCCACAGTCGATCAGTACATAAGTGTATGGTGGGGTAAACTGTGGGTCCACCCACCTCTTCCAAGGTCTCTTTGATCTTTTTCAAATGAAGGCCCATCATGCTGTAGTGGTGTGAGGCCCACCTACATTACCTGTTGTTCTGAGTGCACATCAAATAATGATAACATTTAAGAACTTCTTGTCTCACAAAGATTTGTGTTTTTGTCTTTCACTAGGTCAGAAATCACCTGAACACATCCCATCAGAAGGAGGGACATGAGCTGCGGTCCTTGCTGGGAGGAAGTGACTTCCAGGTACACACAAAGACAAAGATCCCCCGCATATCCTGAACATATTGTTCGGGCTTGTGCTGTTAACGAGCACCTATGAAGGTCGCACCGCACGCAAGGGGGTGGGTGACCAGCACCACGCCCGATCGCCTTTGTCTCCCCAGTGGCGATGTGTACACACTGCACCAGATACTAATTTGAGGCTGAGTCGACCTAGGGGAGGCCCAGGACCGGTTCAGATAATCGTCACTGGTGTTGGCCGTTAGCAGGAATTTAAACCGGGTTGCTCGCATGCACACACACGCCCTGTCAGGTTATTCAGACAGCCGTGGCACACCGCGGTGCCTTGAGCACTGGATGATGTGGGCTGGAACATCTGTACTGTTTGTGCCTCGTGTTTTACCTCCATCATAGCAAAGGAACCCATTCCCACAGCGTTTTCAAAACTATCTCAGCTCCCTCCACTGGCTTCCCATCGCCACAGAAAGTTAATCTGTAAGATCGCCTGCCTATGCCACCGTGCCTCTACTTTCAGTCATCCACTGCATCTCTCCTCGCTCCTGTCACCCTGCACTGCAGCTCACGGTAGAACTGTCAGCAGCAGCAGTGCTACTCGCCACCTCCTCCTCGTCTTTACAATAGGCGCCAGGACCGTCACTGTTGGCCGTCGTTCCTCCATAGCAGACCCCTCCATCTGGAACGTGGCTACTATATCCCCCTGTACATTCACAGCAGCAGCAGCAGCGATCAGTCTACACCGAGCTTTAAGAGACACTTAAAGGCCCCGTCTCTTTCCCCCGGCTTGTGAGCGACACCGAGCCCGCCTCCGCTTCTCATGGTCACGTTTGTGGAACAAAATATTGTGCTCATTAGAAATTATGTTTTCGTTATTATTATCATTGTCATCATCTCCATGATGTGATTGCACCACGAGGCGCTGCGTGTTTGGTTGCGCAGGCCATGCTGTTTGTGCACGACGCAGTGGCCCAGCGGGAGATGTCCACCGAGGCGACGCTGGCGGGCGAGTGGACAAAGCGGCTGTCCCAGCACGGGGAGGAGACGGTGCGCGTGGTGCGCATAGACAAGGCGCGCGACGTGCCGCTGGTACGTGCACGTGGCCGGGTATGGCCCTCCTCCAATCAGGCCATGCTCCGATCTATAAAGCGGCCAGGGTGGTGTCGCTGTGGAAACACTCGTGCTCCACAGCAAGAAGTTCCTGGGTTCGATTCCAGTCTCAGGCACCTTTCTCTGGCTGAGTTGCTTGTTCTCCCCCTGTTCTGCAGAGTGAGTGAGGAATTTGTATGTTCTTCCCCTAGTCAGCAACGTGAGTGAGGAGTTTGTTCATCCCCTGTTCTGCAGCGTGAGTGAGGAGGTTGTATGTTCTTCCCCTGTCTTTCATGGGTTTCCTCCGGGTTCTCAGGTTTCTTCGCATAACACAGTTGATATTTGCCAAAACATGCCAATTCTGAAAAAAAAATCGGTTACTAAATTTGGATGACAATGTTGCCGCCTGCAGCGGAAACATGGCAGGACCTTCATGAAAGAGAGTTGAGATTCGGCCTTTACTCTTGCTGGGTAACCGAGTGTAATGAATAAAAAATACAATTGCCCTGTCCACTTAGCTATCCACTTAACTCTTTCCCATTCCGATGACGGATGTATACGTCAAAAGGTTTTCTTCCAATTCTGTTCCGATGACGTACTTGTACTCTTTGGTTCTTTCGGAGTCACGTTGGTATAAAATAAAAAAAAAATAACTTTATTTTTATTTTTATACCTACGTGACTTTACCGAAAGAACCAAAGAGTATGGATCCCTGCAGTCACGACAACTTCAAATCTAGACGTACTTGTACTTCATCGGAAATAGATAAAATAACTTAATCGGTACCGAGGCTCCCACAAGGCCATACAGGAGGGCGTGTGGCACAGTTTGGCGCCAGCTGTGGTCATGTCGCTTTGGTCCTCTGCGATGAGTACAATGTCTTTAAAAACAGAGGTGCTTTTGCGCCTCTCTAAATAAAATGAACGCTAATCGCTTGCGCGTTCCGAGATTCAGCAGTGAATGGGACCCCCACCCTGGAACTTGCAGGTGTCTCGGAACGGGAAAGGGTTCACATTTTGCTCGCAGCAAATATTCTTCAGAGCACTTTACATGCGATGAGCGGCTTGTATCAACATCTCATCTTAACACACTTGAAAAGGGGACCCCCCTGGTGGCAGCTGTCCCTGTGCGATACTGGGTGACTCAGCACCCCGGCCTGCGAGCGGGGCGGTAGTCTGCTCGTAGGGGTGGGGGGGGGGCACGACGTTGCCGCACGTGACCCTAAATGAGCGGCGGTGGCCCTGGTGGACGCAGGGGGCGACGGTGCGGAACGACGGGGAGTCCGTGGTGATCAGCCGTGTGGTGCGCGGGGGCGCAGCAGAGAAGAGCGGCCTCCTGCACGAGGGAGACGAGATCCTGGAGATCAACAACATCCCCATGCGGGGCAAGGACGTGAACGAGGTGTTTGACCTGCTGGTAATTCACCCGCCTCTCTCCACTGCGCAGCGTTTGTCTCACGGGCAAGAGGTGCCGCATCGACGGGTGGGCGTGAGGGCGTTGTCAAAGCCAAAGTGGTCTCCTGTTGAAATGAACTTCGAACCATTGGTGCTCATCTCCTGTTTACAGCCCTGGATATTCTACATTCTTATGGTGGGGAATAGTCTACCCTTTACTTCCCACAAAGTGGTCATCAATATTATCGATCCTGGGAGGGATGATAGGCTGAGTCAATCCCCAACCAGGATTTGAACTCACGACATTTAAATTTGAGCCGCCCGCTCTACCTCTGAGTCATCTGGCAGGAATTGTTGCTTAATGAGTAATAAGTAGGGTTTTGTGGGTAGGTTTTGTGGATGGGGTTTTGTGGGTAGGATTTTGTCGGGTAGGGTTTGAAAAACCGTGGTTGGGGAATGTGTCTTTTGTTATCTGGACAACTATCTGATGAGGTATTTTGAGCAGAGCTGGGATCCCCAGCTCAGTACCCAAGTGTGTTTAACCTGGGCAGGAAGGGTGATGCACCCGGGGTGTGGGGGGGGGGCGGTGAGTCCTGTGCCAGCGGCGTGCTGTGCCAGCGGCGTGCTGCGCATGGCCACGCTGAGGAGCAGCGTCACTCGCGTCGAGACAATGGTGGAGGGTGGCTCCAAAGCGGTGTACTTGTCCTCCGCAGGCCGAAATGCACGGAGTTCTGACGTTCGTCATCATCCCGACTCGTTTCCACAAAGCTACACAACCCAAAGAAACTGTGGTGAGCATCGTTTCATTACTTTTTCACGAGCACATGAACACATTGCAAAACATCGGAGCTATTGTGTTATCCAAAAGTCTCTCTTGGTTTTGTTTGGTATGTTGGTTATGTTTTACTATTCTGGAATGTTTGGCGCTCGTTTGCTCGGTATGTTTGAAAATCGGCATGAATATATGGCCGGTGCTGGTTTGGTACAGGTTCAGTCTTGGCTCAATATTGGCAACCATGTATGTTTGGTGGTGGTGGTTGTTGCCGGCATGCCTGCCAAATGTTAGTTTAATACTGGCATGCTTGCATGTTTGGTGTTGGCTTGGTATTGGTATGCATGTATGTTTGGTGTTCGTTCAAAATTGGCATGCATGTGTGTTTGGTGTTGGTTTGGCAGTGGCATGCATTAATGTTCGCTGTCGGTTTTGTACTTGTATGTGTTCTCTGTATTGGCTTCGTATTGGTATGCACGTGTGTCCAGTGATGATGAGGTTTCGTGTCGGCATGTTCGCATGCCAGTGTTTGGGATTGGACCGTATGTTTGGTCTTGGATTTGTTACGAGCATGTGTGCACCATGCTGTTTTTGGCATTGGTATGCTCGATGTTGGTTTGGTAATCGTACGATTGTAAGTTCGGTGTTTGTTTCGTGCTGGTACCGCATGCGCAATGTTGGTTTGACACTGCATGCATGTTCGGATGTTGGTATGGCGTTGGTATGTGTGTATGCTGGGCACTAATTTGTTATTGCTATGTACTCCGGACATTGGTATGTGTGCTCGGGACTAGTGTGGTATTGGTTCGTATGTTTGGTGTTCGTTGGGTTTTTCCATTTGTGCCACTGGCCCGAATCCTGGGGGTGCGTTCAAGTGGGCAAGAGCGCTCTGCCCTGGCACCACGAGGTGGGAGGTGCCTCTTATTGAATGGCGTGTGAGGAGGGTGCTTTTGTTTTTTTTATTTAAATGGGGGAGGAAGCCACGCATTCTTTGCGAGACGGCTTAACCGAGATGGACGCATGCTAAAAATGAATTAGCATGGACGCCCGCTGCATTGGTCGTGAATGTCTGCCATCTTGATACAGTCTGACATGGTGCCCACCTCATGCTCGGTGAGGCAGCTCCCCTCAGATGCCGCACCCTGGGCTAACAGCTCGTCCAATAGAAAAGCGCTTTGCCCATTGAACGCACCCCAGGTGAAAATGGAAGAAGCTCTTATCTGTTTCAATATTACCTCCTCGTCACTGTCAGAATTTACGTTGCCTTTTCAGTGTTTCTGCATGATGCTTAATTTTTTAAAGTTTAAGTTTAAACAGTCACATGACAAAGAGCTACGCTTTCCAAACTTGTAGCACCATCTCATCACCCTTCAACAAATGTCTGGTGGTTTTATGGCCAAGTGCGAATTTTTAAACGATGAACGCTAGCTGATGTGTGCAAACATCACAGCGATACACTCCGCTACTCCTGAAGTGGTTATCTGGCTTAACCACCTGAATGTGAAATTTTAGTTGTTGCTCTGCATCTACATTAGCTAATAAAAATAACTTTGGGAAATCTCACAATGCTCTTTTATGCCAACGAGTTGCATTGAAATGTAAACTTATCTTCTGGCTACCAACTACATAACCTCTCTGTGGCAGCCTTGGGCAGAAGGACCTTATTACAGTCGCCCCATGTGCACCTGCGCTTCCGTGTCTGTTGTTTTACTATGAAACTGAGAACCCGACTTACGGTTGCCATACTGTTTCACTCCACTAATTGTAAGGGTCAGTGCCCGTAGCCCTCATTTTGAATGACGGAGGATAGAATGCGCCAAAGAGGATGACACTTTGGGAGAGGCAGCGATGAAATGGGACAGGTGCAGGAGTGGGGGATGGATCGTGGTGGCACGGTGAGAGATGGTGATGGCGTGGGGAGGCCTTCATCCAGCAGGGAATAGGCAATGGCTGACTGTTTTTGTGCTCTTCGCATTCGTAATGTTACATTTATAACGGGCGTAGTTTTTGCTCGCTCTCACAGAGAGAGAGAGAGAATTATTCAGAGGCTTGGTAAGCCACGCATGAGCGGGAAGGCAGTTGAACCTGGTGCCAACAATTGCCCAAGCTCTGCCATCCTATATTGTGATCTTTGGACAAGTCCATTCGTGAGTGTTCTATACTTATGGGAGGAAACCAAAGTACCCGGAGAAAACCCACGCACGCGAGGGTGGCCTTCACTCAATCTCTGTCCGGAGGGAATAACGATGGAAATCAACCCACTTGCTGTACTGCCGTATCCTGATGAGGGGCAAGAAATAGCAACCTCGAGACCTACGAGTAGGGAGGGAGTTTTTGACGAATGCGCGCGTGATCCACCAACCCTCGCTTGCAACACAGGAGCGCGGCATGACCAACCTGCGCCCAAAAATTTGTTTGGGTGTGCCGCCGTGTCCGCTCAGGTGCACATGAAGGCCCTGTTTGACTACGACCCGCTGGACGACCCCTACATCCCGTGCCGCGAGCTGGGCCTGTCCTTCCAGAAGGGCGACGTGCTACACATCATGAGCCAGGAGGACCCCAACTGGTGGCAGGCGTTCCGCGAGGGTGAGGAGGTGAACCAGCCACTGGCCGGCCTCGTACCAGGTAATGGCACCTTTCCCTCCACGGGTTCGCAGCACCGACCGCTTAGGGGTCCCGCTCGTTTGGGTGGTCTGTGTGGCCGGGTTTCTCGAGGCCACGTTCCAGAAAGGCTCTGTCCACCCGTCTGACATCCGTATGTCAGACAGATGGACAAAGCCCAACTCATTAATGTTTACAACCTTAATTGGACAGCAATAAATGAGAGCATTTACTATTAAACTTTGTATTCGTGTCCGACCGGATAACCGAATGAGTGGGTACATTATTCAACAATAATAAATAAACAAGTAATATTTAAAAAAAACTTTTTTTAAAAACACGCTTTATTGAAATGTACCGTACTAGTAATGGAAAAACTCCACAACTCCAGGAAGTGGCCCCGAAACTTGCCATAACGTAAGGTTACATTTATAACGGGCGTAGTTAACAGCCAACGTCAGTTGAGCATGGACAATTAGACCCAAGCTGAAACATACATATAAAAAAAGAATGTTACATTTTTTTTAATGATATAAAATAGTGCTGTCATCTGTATGACATAAGTATACCAAGCTTGCAGTCGATACCACATTGGGAAGTGGGTAAAATTGAGTTACAAGATTTGAGGATATAACAGACAGAGTGAGTTCATTAAAAGCGTGTAAAAATGTGCTGTTTGTTGCATTAAACGTAACGTGTTGAGCTTTTAACTTAGAAAGGAAGCTAGCGGCCATGCTGTTTGATTTGCCGGCGTGGCAGTTGAAGCAACGGGGCAAGCTTATCAACTCCCACACCCCTCCCCCCACCGTCTCTCCACCCAGCAGCAGTATAAATGCTTACACCACAGTCGATCGACAGGTCGTGTGGTGGAGTAAAGTGTGGGTACTTCTCTTTCCTACTAAGAATCCACTGGAATCGATGACCAGTTCCTGACTTTTGGAACCGGTAATATCAGTGAACAAGCCCAGTTTATGATCCATATTTATTTCTGGGTTAGGGCCACTACATAGTGGCTTCATATCAAAATTTTTGCCATTAACCCTCCACCATAACATGGAACTTCGACTGGCCTCACCCAAATTCACATGTGGATCACGTTGGTGGTGGCTACGAAAGCCTACGTTTTGAGTGAACCCGATATTTATCATTCATATTGTAGGCTTGAATTTCATGCAGCCGCCCCTGGTGCCTTAGCCATGGATCTTCTATGTAACTCCCTCTGTGATTTTGCACCACTGCCAACCCCAGCTTGAGCTGGACAGCTGCAAAAAGAGCTTCGTAGCTCTTCAGGCTCTTCCAGCTTCAATCAAATGTCTGTGACTGTGTCTACATGTCTGTGTGTGTGTGTGCAGTAGTGTAGTGGTTGGCGCGCTGCGCTACCAAATTGGCGACCCGGGTCGATTCCCACTCATGGTCACCACCAGTGAGAATTATTTGAACCGGTCCTGGGCCTCCCCTAAGTCAACTCGGCGTCAAATGAGTACCTGGTGCGGTGTGTAAACATTGCCACTTGGAAGTCAAAGGCGGCCAGGAGTGGTGCTGGCCACCCACCCCCTCGTGTGCCGTGCCGGCCTTCATAGGTGCTCGCGAACAGCACTTGCCCCATCAGTCTGTTAAGGCTATAAGGGAGATCTTTGTCTTGTGCGATTGTGTGGATGATTCGTAGGGAAAAGCTTCCAACAGCAACGGGAGGTCATGAAGCAGACGGTGGAGGAGGATGACAATATGGAGAAGTCGGGTGAGCGAGCAAGGAGACAGTGGCCCCTTCTCTTCACTCGATCACTCATCCCTGTTAGCCGCGCTCTGTACACGTCCCCAGACGGGAGAGGCAGCCTCGATCCTTCGCTCCGTCGTCACCGCGTCTCCACTGCGCAGCACCTGCCACCTCACGCAGTTTTCATGGCTTTTTAAAGCGCGCGGCGAACGCGAGACGCGCGCGCAGTCTCTCGGGGTGCGTGTGGAGAGCCGGGCACCAATGAGTCATGCTCACCTGTGCTGCACATTCCCTGCAGGAAAGCTGTGGTGCGCCAAGAAGAACAAGAAGAAGAGGAAGAAGCTTTACGGTACGGCATGGCACATGGTGCTCACGGGGCCAAGCCTCGCTCATCGTCACCGTCGTTCACCCGGCAGTAGCGTAGCGGCGGCGCAGTGGGGTGACACTCGTGCCATCTCGCAGAAACAGCGGCCTGCGTTCGATTGCCGACTGGGGCACCCTGCTGTGTGGAGTTTGCTTGTTCTCCTCCTGTTCTGCAGAGTGAGGGAGGGAGTGAGATTGAGTGAAAAAATGGGCGCCTTGGTGGTGAGATGTTATTTCCCTACCCTGGTATGCAGGAGGTTTTGGATTTGATCTTGACCCTGTCGATGCCTGTATATGTGGGGTTTGCGTGTCTCTCTCACCGTGGTTGCCTGGATTTTTCTCCGGGTCCTCCGGTTTTTCCTCCCAATTTAGAATCAACATGCCTTTAGAGTTTTTGGCTGCTATACATTTCCATATGATAAGCCACTTTGTTAAGCTTTCATTTGTGGCCAGGTCACCTCTGAAAAAGTGGACTTAACCTTGTAAAATAAAATAGTTTAGTTTAGAATGTGGGTGAGTGAATATGTGAGAGAGTGTATGAGTGTGTTAAAGTGAGAGTGATTGTGAGTGAGTTTTCATAGTTTGTATGTTCTCCATCTGATCTGCATGGGTTTCTTTTGAGTTCTCCGGTTTCCTCCCATAGCAAAAAAAACCCATTGTAACTGCTATTGGCCAAATATCCCAAACCTGCAAATGACTCGATTGGGATTCGACACAGCAACATTGCCCACCACCACCACCACAAACACCTGGCCAGTCCCTCCTGAAAAATAGTCACGAGATGCAGTGAGACTACCCTGAGTAAACGAGAGCAAGGGGCAAATCATGAACAAATGGTCATCTACGGTTGACACGGAAGGTGAAAAGGTCTGCGCTCTTGTCCGCTTGTGCTGCATGTGCAGAGATGGATGCCGATGAAATCCTGACGTACGAGGAGATGGCGCTATACCACCAGCCTGCGAACCGCAAGAGACCCATTGTGCTCATCGGGCCTCCCAACTGTGGCCGCAACGAGCTACGAACGAGACTCATGGAGAGTGACGCGGACCGTTTTGCTGCCGCAACGCCCCGTACGGTCTCGCTCGTTCACTTGCTCGCTTGCTCGCTCACTTGCTCGCTCACTTGCTCACTCACTCGCTCACACAGTAGCACACTTGCTCATTCACATACACTCGCTCATTCATTCACATACACTCGCTCGCTCACTCATGCGCTCACTCACACACTCGCTCACTCAAACACTCGATACTCACACTCAGTAACTTTCTCACACGCTCGCTCATTTACACACTCGTTCACTTACTCACATGCTCCCTCATTAATGTGCATTCGCTTGCTTGCTCAATCACACACTCGCTCATTCACAAACTCGCTGACTCACTCACATGCTTGCTCATTCACGTACATTTGCTCGGTTGCTCATTCATACACTCACACGCTCGCTCACACTCTCGCTCATTCACGCACTCCCTCATTCACACACTTGCTCATTCACACACTCGCTCGCACACTCAACAACAACCGCCATTTGCCACTAAGTGGCGGTGATGTCACCACGATGCTTGTGCCAGGGTATGTGCACGTTGAGGCCACGTGAAGTGTTGAACGCCCGCTGGCAGGAGGTCACGGGGCAGACCCAGGTGCCACGGGTCAACTGACTGGACTGACTGAGACGACTGGCTGATGCACCACCTGTGCCCCCTACTGTGCCAACTTGCTGTGCTTTCTCCACCCGGCGCTCCGCTCGTTGTGAGCGTCGCTCCTCCACCCTCCGTTGTTGTTGTTGGAGGGCGACTGCCTCCAACTGCCCAGTAGCGTCCTTCACGAGCCTCCTCCACAGAGGCCGATCTTGACACCGCTGGTACCAGTCATCAGCAAGTACACTCAGCTCCACATCCTCCTGTACCACGTCACTCCATCTCTTCTCTAGCCCGTGTCACGCCCGTTGAGCCCCCTCTGTTTAGGCATGCGGTGACTGGGCATGCGGGCTACGTGATTTAGCCAACACAGCCTTGCCTGCCGGAGGAGCTCACCAATGGGACTTTGTCCAGATCTTTCAAGGATTTGTGAGCTCCTCACGCAATCCATCCTGGTTAAACCCAGGATGGATCGTAGGCAGGCCAGCCTAAATGTTTCTAACCGGCGAAGATGTGCCATTAGGGGGGTCCACGTTTTGCAAGCGTAGAGAAGGGAGGGAATTACCGTGGCCGAGAAGACCTGAAGCTTCGTGCGGAGCGACAGACCAGGTAACTTCCACACAGCATTACGCAACCGATGAAAAGATATTGCCGCTCGACTGATTCGGAGTGAGACCTCTGCTGTCAAACCGGAGCCGGTCATGAGCACACTGCCCAGGTATGGGAAACTCTCCACTCTCTCCACAACTGTCCCATCACCAATTGGGAGCTGTGGGGTGGAGTGTCCGATGGTACAAAATACCCAGGCAGGTGCTTAGTTTTGGTGGAGCTGATGGTAAGGCCCCACCTCTTAGTGGCACGCTCCAGGTTCAGCAGCAGCGCCTCCAACTCCTCCTCTGAGTGAGAGGCAATTACCAGATCATCGGCATACATAACGTGGTTGACTAATAGGAAGCCATCTCTTGACCGCAGCCGGACATCGATCAGCCTCCCATTGTATCTGTACCAGATGGAAATTCCTCCGGTACAGCCATCGAAGGCTTCACGAACTACGTGGTCGAAAAATATGTTACATAATGTGGGAGCCAGAGGACATCCCAGTCGCACCCCAAGGTGAACAGGGAATGGCTCCGGCTCCCGGCCACGTAGTTTTACCCGGCCCGCTCACCATCATGAAGGTCTTTAATGATCATGAGCAGAGGGTCAGGGACTCCGAAAGTATGAAGAATAATCCAAAGCCCAGGCCTACTGATGGTATCATAGGTCTTGACCAGGTCAATAAAGCAGAGATGTAGGTTTTGTTGGAATTCCCTATACCCCTGCTGTAGCAGACGGACAGGAAATATGGCATCTGTGCAGGACCACCCTTTCCTGAAACCGCATTGGGGCTCTGCAAACCTCTCCTCAGCGTGCCTGGCAAGGCGATGTTGAATAATCCTTGCCAGGACATTTCCTGGCACACTAAGGAGTGAGATGCACCTGTAGTTGTTACAGTCTGTGCGGGATTACCAGGGCATCCTTCCAATCCTGCGGAACCCATCCAGTGGTCCAGACTGTTATTATGATGTCATGTAGGACAGTCTGTGCACAAATGCCACCCTCCCTCAGCATTTCACTTGGGAGATCATCTCTGCCCCGGTGCCTTTCCTGGTCTCAGAATCAGGATCGCCTTCAGGACTTCTGTAATGAGCGACTTCCGCGACACGTCGTGTAGAGGGTACTCTCTTTATTCACATTCGGGCACACCACAAGCCAACCTTATCCTCTTTCTTCTCCGAGTACACACGTAGATATTAGCATCCCTATAGGCTACACGTGGTCGATCCCACAGCGTGGTTCCGTCCGCTAACTCCCGGCCCCACCATTGGTTGACGGTGTGCCGGCGAGGGTGGTGGGAATTCGCAGGAGATCCGCCACGTGGTCGAACGATGGAGAAAGATGACGGCAAGCATCGACGCAGTCCGGACCCAAGGCTCCCCACACCAACCAGGAGTCCTCCTTCACCTCCACTTATATTGCCACAGGCACGGCTAGGCTCCGCCTCCGGCCACGCCCTCTCGTGGAACCTTCTAGCAGGTTCCCGGAGTATCTCGGCCAACCCCGCCCTTTACCTTTGGCCCAAATACCTCTCTCTTCGGGATTGGATGATGTTTATAGTGGTGCCTGTACCCATGCTTCCCTTTTCCAACCAGTAGATGTCACTATGTCATTACACTTCCTCAACAGATGGCACCTCAGCCAGCCACTCACAGGGGATGACTTTTTCCAATATTTGAGACACCGCAGCCTCAGCAGGGTCATCCCCACTTTGTCCCACGATGTTTGCCATGCCAAGGGATTTCCCCTCCCCTAAGACTTCACAGAAATACTCAGCAAATCTGCAAACGTGTTGCTGGGGTCGGAGATTGGTCACCATTTTTTCCCCTAATGATTGTAATAGGTGTGGCACTGCAGCTTACTTTTTTGATGGAGTTAAATAGCGATTTGTGATCGTCGGCCATTGAGGCAGACTCCATTTCCTCAGCAACCCGCGACCACCACCCATCCTTGCAGCGCCTCACGACTCTCCAAACCTCCGAGCGAAGGCTGCGGTAAGCCTCCTAATTCTCTGATGTGGGATGCTGTAGATGATGAGAGTGGGCCTGTCGCTTTTCTCAGCCAGCCTGAACACCTCCTTTGTCAGCCAGGGTCTCTGAGGAGGTCTGGACCGTGTACCCAAAGCAGCCATTGCAGCTGCATGAGCCACAGTCCTAAACCTCGCCCATTTACCCTCGACATCTAGAGGAGTGGGGGATGATGTCAATCCCAGCCGCAAGCGATGATGAAATTCTAGCTTGCAACTTTCATCAGCTAGCTGAGACCAGGCCACCTTGGGTTTGAATGGGGTCCTGGGTGTACACCCACCACGGGATGTGAAAGAATGGCAGGGGCATCTTACATGACAAGTCGATGGTCAGTGGGCAGATCAGCTCCACGGTAGGTCCTGGTGTCAAGGACATGGGCCCGCATCCACTTGTCCGTCACTATGTAGTCCAGCAGATGTTCTTGCTTGGACCCGGCATGCATCCATGATGTTGTGTGGATGCGCCGATGCCGGAACAGCGTGTTGGTAATTACAAGCCCATGGGCTGCACAAAAATCTAGCAGCCTCCTACCGTTGTTATTGAGCTGATCTGGCCCATGCTTTCCAATCACTCCAAACCAGGTGCCAGCATCATGACCAACTCGGGCATTGAAGTCACCCAACAGGATTACTCTATTCCGAGGGGCCACTTTAGCTAGCACCTGTGATAGGAGGTCATATAAGCCATCTGACTCATCGGCCTTGCCTGCATCCCTCCACGCATTTTTGTCTTCGGTGGGGGCATAAGTAACCACGACTACTACTCCTCACTTTTGGTTGATGGGAAGGCGAGCCCAAAGTAGTCTGGGGCCTACCGCTTCCCACACCTCACCGCCACGCTCCCACGCCCCTTCATTCTTTTGTTCAGAAGAAGAGCCACTCCCTGTTGTTTGGTCTCCTGCCCCGAGTAGAGGACTGTCCACCCCTCATGGTAGCAGGAGCCAGAGCCGGTCCACCGGACCTCCTGAATACTACAGAGATCCAGGTGGTACCGGTCCAGCTCCTGACAGAGGAGTGGCAGTCTCTCCTCCGCAGTGAGCATTCGAACATTCCACGTGGCCACCCTCAGTGGTTTTTTGTTGTTTCTGGACGAGCCCCGAGGGTAAAGATTCAATCTCTTGGCTCCGCCAAATGGTGTTTGTCCAAGAGATGTCATAGACGCCTGTATCCCCGGGGGCTTCCGGCACAAGCTTATTAATTAGATATTTTAGACGTGATTTTGTGGTAATTAATTGAAGGTGGAGGGGTTACCAGCCCCTCGCACCCATCCAGAGTCCCCATTTGGTCGCTGTGGTGGTTATAATTGCCATGAGGGGAATGGCCAATCTAAATAGGCCCTCCCCCCACTGCACTGCCCACCACAGCGTTGCCGTCCGGCACCACGAGGAGGTAGGGGGTTGTTTTTGCCGGGCTCACACACTCACACACTGGCTCACAGGCTTGCTCAAACACACCCTCGCTTGCTCGCTCAGTCACTCACATATACTTGGTCACCGACTTGCTCACTCGCTTGCACTTACTCATTCACTCATTCACACACTTGCTTTGCTCACTCACAAACTGTGGTGCAAAAGGCAAAGAGCCTCCTCCTTATAGCCTTCACAGACTGTTGGGGCAAGAGTTGTTAGCGAGCACTTTTGCAGGACAGCATGGCACATGGGATGGGTGATAAGCACCACACATCGCATTAAGTACTCAATTAAGGCTGAGTCGACTGGTGTTGGTCGTGAGTGGGAATCGAACTTCGGTCTCTGGGTTTGTAGTGCAATGCGCTAATTGCTACACCACCGCTCCCCACACGCACGCAATCACACACACTCGCACGTACTCGCACGCACGCACTCGTATGCACGGACTCACATACTCACACACATGCTCACACTCATGCTCACTCACTCCCTCACTCGCTTACTCACACGGTTACACGCACTCATTTACTTACTCGCTCACACTCGCTCAATCACATGCTCGCACGCACACAATCACTTATACTATTGAATATTTTTAATACTGAATATAATAAACATTACGAACACAAATCTACTTACCTCAGCCGCTGATCGGTTGAAGTGCATGGAGCGATGACATCATGCCGTCTATGTTGCATGGGGGACCTCAAAGTGCCTTCATGTTGCATGGGGGTTGTCTTCTTGGCTGGTGCAGTGGGAGTGATGACATCATCCCTAGCAACCGCTGTCATGCCAACAAGCATTGGAATCTCACTAGGACCCAAGTATTCCCTTTTTAATTTGTATGTTTTCTCCAACGGCTCTTCAGATCTTACGACGATCTCCGCCCGGTGGACTTGGGACGAGTGTTCGGGGGCGCTTTGTGTACTTGGGGCCCCTGATCGTTGTTTGTTGGCTCGCAGACACGACGCGTGGCATGAGGGACAACGAGGTGGACGGGCGCGACTACCACTTCGTGTCGCGGCAGGCGTTTGAGGCGGACATTGGAGTTCACAAATTCATTGAGCATGGCGAGTTCGAGAAGAACCTCTACGGCACCAGCATCGACTCGGTGCGACAAGTCATCAACTCGGGCAAGATCTGCGTCCTCAACCTGCACACCCAGGTGAGGAACACGCGGGGGTGGCGGCGTGGACAGAGTTTGACGATAATCGTCGTCGTCATCGTCATCATTGGCAACTAAAGTCAAGAGTGACTTCCTGCTGCTCAATTTAACATTGAGACATCGGTGCTCATCTCTTAAGAGCCCTGCACAGCCCAGTGGTGGAAATTCAAAATTCCTTTGGTGAGGGTGAATGAGTCTTGTCCAGAGGATAACCACCGTTGATTTCCGCACAAAGTGATCTTCAATACCATGGACCCCGGAGGGTGGGATGATGGGCCGAGGCAACCCCCAACCAGGACCTCACCTCGTGTAATCTTCTGATTGTAAGCTGCTCGCTATGTTTCAGAGGATCACGGTCCGAATGTAGCCCCTACCGCCCTGGTTCCAAATTTTCTGACTTTTGAGAATTTTCTAAGGGTGTATTAGCCATAAAAAAGAAAAATACACACCATCTGCTGCACAGTGGACGTTAAAAGATCCCCGTGACATCATTCGCAAGGGTCGGCCTTTGTGTGTTGGTGTCATGGTCCAAATTTGAAGACTTAGCTGCAAATTGCTGGATTGAAACATAGGTGGCAATCATTGCCCCCTGACTTGAAAAACTTGGCAGGACATTCCTCAAAAAGCCATGAGACTCATCAGTGAGGCTTACCTGGTAAGCAAGGGTAGTAATAATAATGTAAACCTACGGGATGGCGTGTAAGTCCCGACACCTTACTGCTCAAGTTGGTGTCTGCAGATGTGCGTCATGCAGCACTAGAGATCACTGCAATGAGAGCCTGTGTTTGTTTGTTTTTTTCAGTCGTTGAAGCTGTTAAAGAATTCCGATTTGAAGCCGTACATAATTTTTGTGGCACCGCCGTCACAAGAACGACTCCGAGCCATGATGGCAAAAGAATCAAAGAACCCCAAAGTGAGTGCGCGTTTCTTGGGAATTAAATTTCACTTACGTTGGCAATTAAGCAACAGGTGTTTAACACTTAGGGCTATCATCATATCCATCGCTGGCCTGAACTCGGTGGCGAGATGTTAACTACCTCGCCTGGTATACAGGAGTTCGTGGGTTCAATCCCGTGTGATGCCTATATATTTGGAGTTTGCACATTCTCCCCGTGGTCGCATGGATTTTTCTCCGGGTCCTCCGTTTTTTCCCTCCATATTTAGAAAGATGCTTTAGAGTATTTGGCTGCTATAAATTTACACGTGATAAGCCACTTTGTTGCGCTATGATTTGTGACCCGGTCGGTTCTGAAAACTAGCTATATAGCTCAGTGGGCCTTATCTGGGAAAATAAACAAAAAAAATCATTTAGTTTTAATGGTATAGTTTAATTAGACAAGACAAAAGTCAATGCGATTTTCTGCTCAATGAGCTTATTTCAAGGCATTGCATGAACCCTGAAATATCCGCATTACATTGTACTCGCTTTGCATTCTGGGAATCGGCGATGTACGTGGTGATGTTTCCGACGGCGTGCGATGTGCAGCCAGAGGAGCTGCGAGAGGTGATCGAAAAGGCCCGCGAGATGGAGCAGGGCTACGGCCACTACTTCGATGGCATCATCGTGAACGCCGACCTGGACAAAGCCCACCAGGAGCTGCTGCGGCATGTCAACAAGCTGGACACTGAGCCACAGTGGGTGCCGTCCTCGTGGCTGCGCTGAGCAAGCCCTCGAGAACCCCCCCCCCACCACCCCGACTCTACCGTGGCCAGCTGTCGATGCGTGTCATGCGGTGTGAATGTCTGTCGCAGTACGCTTTCACGAAAATGCTGCTGGAATTCGAGTTGTGCATTGCGGTGCCTTTCAACAGCACCGGCCGTTCACTCACTCCCCCCCATTTCCCACTGCCCAAGCTCCGCTGTTGGCCTCAACACGGCTGCTGACAGCAAATTTCACGAGGCCGCACGAGTCTAAATCCCGCGTAGCGTCGCAATATCGTTTCGTCAATGTGAAGGGTGCTCATGTTCATCCTGCTCACCACGTAGATCAGAGGAGTACCGCGCTTGGCTTCTGCGCAAGCACAGCGCTACCACGGAGGACTCTTTAATACAAATTTACAGAATTTCTGAGTCGTTGGCATACCCAGCATTCAACCGGATATTGCAACGTTCGTTGAAAGCGCTGCTTGGCTTGATAGTCATAACTTGATATGAGGATTTTTTTTTTATCAATTGGCTCGTGCTGTAGAGTCTGGTAGTAATCTTGGGATATCATAGGGCGAGAGAGACGTGTTTTAATACCTTAGGCCGCGGAATAATCTGAACAAATTTGTTGCGAAGCTAACCAAATTGTTACGTGGCCTAACCCAAAAATATATTATGAATCATATCGGCGGCGAAACCCTATGTGGCAAGTTAACATGATCTCAATCTTCGTGGAATCATCATCATCATCATCTCGTCTCCTACTTGCCGGTGCAAACGTGGGCTCTATGCAAAATTGGCCGCACTTAAAATATCAACACAAAGGCCTATTATTATTTTACACCAGTACAGATCGTAGCACCGGTGCGCGTATCATATCAGCATTTGCGTGTATGACTTGGGCGTAGACATCGGACCGCACCGTCGGTGTAGTTCGGTGGTGATGCTCAGCGGCCCCGGGAGTCACCAACCCAGAGGGGCTCCGTGGCCTTGATGGTTCCTTCAGATCGCGTCTTGGCCGAAGCTGTTGATGCCACCCACATTACAACACCGAGACTGATTTGTCAATTTAACATCAGCTGAGAAGCAGCTGACATTCTCGCTTTTTTATTATAATTGATTGGATGATTAAACGTTGATCAATATCTTTTGGACAGTAACTTGTTTAAAAATTTGCTATGATGACATAATGCCTTACAATTTTGAATGGTGAAGTTAAAGGTTATAACATCCACTTCACATTTGGTATATGAGAATTTCTCACTGAGACCATTAAGCAACTACAGGAATTGAACTAACTACAATTTAAAGTACCGGAACCGTTTCACTACCATGAGAGGTCTTCCGTGCAGCATTGTGCTGCCAGGAGAATTCTGAGTGAGCACGGTTCTCTTGTACTGATGATCGGTAATGGTTTTCTTGTACTGTTGATCGGTAATGGTCACTTGTACTGATGATTGGTAATGGTTAACTGGTACTGATGATCGGTAGTGCGCGTTTATACACGGTGCTCCGCTACGTTGAAACGTGGAGATACCACGCCTTGTAGAGCCCTCATCCTGGCAGCAAAGATATATAAATGTCCTCGTTGCTCAGACGAGCAGTGGGGCGGCACTCGTCTCCTTTGGTGGCTTTGAGCCAGTGGTGGAAATTCCACGTTGCCCTGGAGGGGTACAGTCTCTCCATTGGATGATCACATTGCTGGGATTCCCACAGGACTGGTGCTTATCTTAACCCTGGGGGATGGTCGGCTGAGTCGAGCAACGCAGACGTCAGCGTCGTGGAGAGTACAAGTAACAGAATAACTAAACAGAATATGTGCCCCCTTTCCATATCTGTCCCTCCACATAGAATACAAGTATACTTTACTTTGTATGTATGCATGTTGAACTTATGTCGCACCATACGTAGTCAACTGTGCTAATCGGAGCATTCCACCAGCCGCACGGCCTTCTGGGAATGGTTGAACTAAACGCATATCTCGGACCGACATCTAACAAAGAGGGTCCTTGCCTATAAACATCTGGCAGTTTGAGCTTTTTTTCAAATAAGCCCGACGACACACTGAATGTCGAAACTGGCCCAGAGTTTACTTGTGTTGAACCATTGCTAAAATTCTGCGCTCCCAGGTGGATCTGTAAAACATTTATATATTTTTGCATATGTGGAGGAGGCATATGGTTGCTTATTGGTCTTGTCTCTTGAGTCAGCTTTGGCGAGCATGTTGGTGGTGATGGTGGTGGGAGTAGTGTAGCGGTTAGCGTTACGCTGCGCTACGAACCCGGCGACCCAAGTTCGATTCTCGCTCACGGCCACCAACAACATTGACGATTATCTGAACCGGTCATGGACCTCCCCTAGGTCGACTCAAATGAGTACCTGGTGTGGTGCGTAAAAACATCGCTACTGGGAAGACAAAGGCGGTCGGACGTGGTGTTGGCCACCCACCCCCTCGTGTGCTGTGCCGGCCTCAGTAGGTGCTTGCTAAGAGCACTTGCCCCAACAGTCTGTTAAGGCTATATGGGGGATCTTTGTCTTTGCTAGTAGAGAGTGCATGATGGCGGTGGGGGTGGGGGTGGTGGCGGGTAGCGGTTGTGGTTGGGGTAGTGGTTGGGGTTGGTGGTGGTGACGGCGGTGGTGGTGTGGAGGCCCCGCTGGGCTGGTGGCCACTCCGTGACGCTGTGTCCGCATCCTCTACCTTGGCTCACAGAGGTGACGTTCCGCGTTCACACAATTGGCAGTGGCAGCAGCAACAGTGGCCGATATCCGGCAGCGAAACTGCCAAACGTGATTGTACGCTACAGATTTGCAACATTTTCCTGCTGCTAATAATTGGAATGCTTCGATAAGGCAGAGTTTATCTTGCACCATTGCCGCTGTATGCAATGAACATTTTGTGGAACAATTACATTTTTGATATTTTGGGTTTAGGGCATCTGTAAAATATTAATTTGAACAGATTACCTAAAGAAAGACGTATGTATATTTTTGTCGCAGAGGATCGTTTTTATAAAAGAACAGTAAATTATGCAAAATGTGAAGGGTTTGTCTAGCCAGATTTTAAAAGCATTACCAGTCCGAGTAAAATCACGCGGCCTCGTCGGTCGCTTGAGCGACCATCACGCCGCAACAACGAGCAGCAACTGCACAGTGCCGCAAATACGCAGTTGGTGAATAGCAACTGCGTTGTACTCGCAAGTTCAAACTCATTTCTAACAATAGGTTGTCACGCATCCTCGTGCGTCTCAACTCAGTGTCAGCCGTAACTTTAATAACAAGTGATAAATGGTAGGTAAGAGGTGTCATTGGAGTTTCCCCATGAAGCCTGCACCAGGTGCTGGACAGAGCAAATGTGCCTGGAAAACCTGGCCTTCACGATGACCATCTTCAGGCTATGTAGGCCCGTTGTATTGTTTCACCAATTTACACAAACGAAGTTACTGTTGTTGGTTTGTATTACCATTGAGATTAGTTCTCTCCTGCGCCAAACTAATATAAACTGACTGGGAGCATGTGCTGGATAAATGAGTTGGGTTTTAGATTAAGGAGCCATTTCCATGAAGTAGGGCTCCCGTACCATGATTTCACAGTGCGCCGTGACGTTGCAGCACTGGCGACGGAGCAATATAGATTACCTGTTGATCCATCCATTGGGTTTCTATCGTCACGGACATTGAATCCAGTCTATTGATTCCCTCTACAATGAACCACGTAATCTGGCGGCAAACAACGATGTACATAAAATGTATTGCGTGCTAAAAACAAAGGTCATTATAATCGGAATTACAAGTCAAGCTTATTCTAAATCACATTCTTGTCTTAAAAATATCTTAATATTAGAGAAAAATCCACTATACACACACGAGTACTGTTCACACACATCCATTACATTTTTGTCATGGTCCATTCTAAAAGCTTGCGACGGCTGTTGAATGCGCGCCTATTGAGGCCGTCCAGTCTCCTCGCTGTTGATTCCGCATGTAGTCTGGCAGCTTTCTCTGTGTGCCCACTTAAAACTTCTTCCCACCGATGTTTACGTAGCATCGTGCTCACACCGGCCTCTGTAGAACATTCTCATCAACACAGCTGGGACCGCTGTAGTCGCCGCATTTAATTTCCTTGACAAGACGCGTTGGTTGGGCCAGCTCTAGCCCAACCCGTCAGCAGCCAACGCCTGCACTGAGAGGGTTAAAGAACTCCATATCGCAATACTTGAGGTGGAGACGTTGGGATAGTGCTTTAACAATGTAATAATTGAACACAGAGCTGGTACGTTTTTTTAACGAAATAAATATCTGGGAATAATTAGTGGGTGGTTTTGCCGAAAGTTTTTAGTTGGCGTTTTGAGTTGTTAAAAACAGCCGAGTATTGCCCAGACCACAAGGTTGACAAAAAGACATGCACTTTGGTGCAAAGTTTAAACGCAGAAAGGCGCCCCAGATGACGGCCCCGGCGGTCCGTGCCGTGTTCCTTTTCCCCCCGCCATCGTCGGCCCTCTCGCACCCTGCAGTGTTTGCCCCCCACCATCGCTCCCCCACCACCCCCACCGTCGTACTACAAGTCTCGTTACAGCCCCCCCCACCCCTACCACCCCCACCGTCGTACTACAAGTCTCGCTACAGCCCCCCCCACCCCCCCCGGTCGCTCCTCCCCCACCCCTACCACCCCCACCGTCGTACTACAAGTCTCGCTACAGCCCCCCCCACCGACTTCTCTAAGTAAAACGACTCTAACCCACTTTGAAGATGCTGCCTGCGTGTGCCGGTCAGGGCAGCCGCCCCGGGGACTTTGGGAGTGGGTGGATAAGTGGCCACAGGGACTGTGACGGTTTGTTCTGCGTCGAGTTCCCCCCCACCGCCACCACCCCCGGACGACGCGCGATCGGTTCGATCCACCCGCATTGGGACGTGAAGTCGTCTCTCTAGCTCACACGTTGTCTTCAACATTAAAACGATCGGCATCTTCTCGACGTGAAGCAGTCACTGCCGTGTTTAGAGTGGCAGGGTGGCAGCGCAGTTGGACGTACGGCACGAACTTCTTTCGTGCCGTACGTAGACAACTGTGCTCATCGGAAGTGGGGGGAAATTTGTGGCATTTGTGCCTCGCGGCAAAAATGGACCGAGGTTCGAATCCTGCAGTCCGGGAATCGGCATCAGTTTTCGGATGGCAGAAATGTATTTGTGCCGAGCTGTGGTACAGGTATTGTGGTGAACCTTATGGCAGTTTACTGCACCGTTTTAATAGACCTAGGCTGAGAAATTCTTCCAGGTTTGGCTGTGCTTGTTGTGGGGGTTAGAAATAGCCACTTGACTCAGTAGCCTAAGGCTTCTCACAGAATCACAGTTGCAGCGCTGTTTAAAACGCACCAGGGGTGATCTGAATAACCTTCTTCTCCAGTAAAGGATTTAGGAACGTGTGGAAATGTCTCCGCGGAGTTGGATTGACGTGCATACCGATGAAGATCGACCGTCGGTGACTTTTAAGCCCTGTAGTGAGCGTCTACAGGAAGCTTCACTCTCAGCAGCGCTGAACCTGCGTGTAGTCAAAGCCTGGCCACCACCTCGTGAGGGCTTGCTGCGGGCTCTCGCTCGGGCCACACGATGGATGCTTCCTTGGCACCTTAGCACTGTGTCGCTAACGACTGGTTGTTTGCAGATAAGGCGGTGAGTTGAAGCCCACAGATGCGTCACCTTTTTGACCGTCAGGTGTATCGCAACCAGGCAGTTCGAGCAATAACCGTGCACAGCTGTTAATATTGACTGTAAACACGTGTTGTATTGAAATAAATATAGGCTGGAGGAACCATGTTTGTATCCTTTAATTAATAATATATATTTAGTTAGGCAACTTAATGATCTGGCCAAATCTGTACTATAAGACCCTCCACCACTCGACATGGTTCAACAGTACGATTATTTCACGTGGCAATTATCATTGTCGTGTCAGCTCACCGGTGATTTGGAGAATAATTCTCAATTAAATTTGAAACTGTGCCAAAGCATCTTCAGGACAAGATCGAGAAACATTTGTGGAGGGTCTTACAACACAGATTTGGCCAGATCATTACATGTCCTAACCCCAAATGCAACTATGAATCGTAATACCGACTGCAAAAACCTGCTTGCTAAATTTGTTTGATTTGTTGTTGTTGGCTGACATAGGTTAACTACAACACTGTTGTTTTGGAATTATTTTTTCCCCGCGGGTAGCAGTGCTTATATTCAGAAAGCATTGCTTCCTCGTTTTGTGAGAGCAAAGAGCACCCAGGACTTAGCACGAGAGCTTCATGCAGCTCCTGGTCGTGGCAGTAGACCCCCTCATGTCCGCATCCATCGCTGGTTCCTTTGCTGAAACCATCGCTGGTTCCATCGCTGGTTCAATCGCCGGTTCCATTGCCGGATCCATCGCCGGATCCATCGCCGGATCCATCGCTGGTTCCGAGGATCGTGCACGAGTCGTACTGGCCACGAGCGGTCATTTCGGTTCACTTCCTTCGTGTAAAATCTTTATAAAATGTAAGTACAGTGTATAGCAATGTTACTCTTGAGTCTCTAATTTTAAATATATTGCAAAATAGTGTATATTTGACTTATTCATGAAGTTTATTCTATTGTTTAGACTTGCATATTATAATTCCTGTTCATATTTTTACGTAGTCACGTCTCTTTCATTGTCTCATGACTTCTCACGAGGCGATCACCAAGGTCGTTTTGCCGAGGAAGCGGAAGTTCGCACGTCACGTCCGACGTGTGAAATGATATCAACCGACTTATACTACCCATTCATTGGACACTCGTGAGTGAGGGGGGAGAGGCTTGCAGCGGTTTGGTTTTGGAATGAACATTTTATCGTTGGTCACCGCACACCGAGGGGAATTTGGGAATGTATTTTTCCTTTGTACAATGTTTTAAAAACTAGAAATGTAAACGAATCAGTATTACTGTGTAAAGGGTTGTTGTTAGCACATTGTGTGTTTTGTAGTGAACGTGTTCCATTAAGGTTGACGCTGTAAATCCGTTCCGAACCTCTCTGCGCTGCTTCATCATTCCACGGTTACAAGCGATTATCCAGCTATGCAGCTCTTGAGAGAATAACTCCTTTGGAAATTTCACAAATGAAACAAATAAAAGTATTCCCGTTGTTTTACTCTGCGTGTATTGGCTCTTTGCCGTTGTACTGCACGTGGTGTCTGTGCGTGTGAAGGGCAGCGAATGCCTAGCTTGTACCCACGTCACACACCCCGCAACGCCCAGCTTGTACCCACGTCACACATCCCGCAACGCCCAGCTTGTACCCACGTCACACACCCCCGCAACGCCCAGCTTGTATCCACGTCACACACCCCCGCAACGCCCAGCTTGTACCCACGTCACACACCCCCGCAACGCCCAGCTTGTACCCACGTCACACACCCCCGCAACGCCCAGCTTGTACCCACGTCACACACCCCCGCAACGCTCAGCTTGTACCCACGTCACACACCCCCGCAACGCCCAGCTTGTACCCACGTCACACACCCCCGCAACGCCCAGCTTGTACCCACGTCACACACCCCCGCAACGCCCAGCTTGTACCCACGTCACACACCCCCGCAACGTCAGTTCCCACAAGCCCTCAGGACAATGGCAGCCACGATCACAATCAAAATGTGTGCATGTTAAATGAAACCATATATTGTTGACAATCAAAATCAAACACAGCATATTAAATCAAACAGCAACAAATAACAACAATAATGATGAACTTGTATTTTGCGGCGCTGTTCATGTAGATTGTAATCGGAACGCCGCTGTAGAGTTTTCACGAACGTGCGGGAAGGGGCAGCCAGAACCAACAAAACCAACAATTGCCCAAGACTAAAACAGCAACATCGAGCGCTACCGTTCCCTTGGGCACGATATGAAGCTGCGCTCGCAAACGCGAGTCACTTCCTCGTTCATTCTCATGGACTGTCACTGAAATACAACGGCGTTTGTAAATGTTCGCCGCTTGTTGTAGAGGTTCGTGGTTTTGAATTAGGCAGGTCGCCCCGGTTATTACTGCCAGGTTTATTATCAAAATATAACCTTTTTTGCCAGTTTCAAAGCATGAAAAAATAAGAATAGGTTTTACCCTTTCTGGCAATAAAACAGCTGTTAAGATGTTCAAACACGTATATAGAAACATTTTTAAAGGAATCAAGTCTGCATTAATCACACGTACTTGTAGTGAGCATGCAAACAAACATGCTCTGATAATATATGCATTGTCTTTGAAACTGATTGGCCTACACCAGAGGACAGCCTTCTTTAGGGCCTTGTCTCACCAGTGTCAAACCAGAGAACACCAAAAGGCGAACAGTACAAAGACAATGCACTGAGAGCATTCATATCTCGGGGTGAGTAGCTACAAAATGGGACCTTTTTGCCAGTATCAAAGTATGAAAACATAATAGGTCTGACACTGGTGAGACAAGGCCCTCAAGAAGGCTGTCTCTGGTGTAGGCCAATCAGTTTCAAAGACAATCCATATATTATCAGAGCATGTTTGATTGCATGTTCACCACAAGTACGTGTGGTTAATGCAGACTTGATTCCTTGCAAAAGGTTTATTATCCATAAAAAAATACTGTGCTGTCCGCTTCGAAGTGGGGGTTAAAGATCCCCCAACGTCGTTCCAGACGAGTGCAGCCATTTGTGCCGGCGTCACGGTCCACATTTTTCATTCGGAAAAATGACACTGCCCATTACTCAGTTGTTATCACACGCAGTGGCGACATTGCCTCCTGCTGTGAAATCACAGCAGACTCTGAAACTGCAGAAAGCTTGGCGCCTTCCTTCATAATAACCCTCTTGTGTAACAACGATAGTGCCAATACCAAGTGTGCCAGGTGATAGGACTTTCGTGCTTTGGGACCGGCCCCTGGGTGTCTGGCAGTGCCAAGTGTGGCCGTGGGGTGGTGGGGGGGTGGACCCTACTGGTTGATGACGCGCTCTATCCACAACATGAAGGGAGCCGTACGCGTGTACACGCCGGGTTTTCCCGCGTCTCCGCAGCCGATGCCCCACGACGTCACTCCCTGCAGCACCCAGCGCTCGGCCTGCATGCACACCAGGGGGCCTCCGCTGTCTCCCTGCAGCCAACAACCACGCGGGTTCGAGTGTAAAATTGATTTTGTTTAAACGCACAGCCATGCTCCCCTTGCACAAGAGACATTGCACCAGAGTGTGGAGTGGGCTCAACACGGTGGATGATTGTTTCGGTCACGTGGGATTACGCTGCCTGTGTTCCATGTGTGGGAGTGGATAGGCTGTTTCCTGCACGTCTGTGTGAGTGAGTGAAACACATAGTTGTAGGATTTTGCGACCAATGTTATCCGTAAGAGCTTTTTTTGGGTTAGGTCGCGCAAATATAAATGTGTCGTTAAACCCGCCACCATCCGACACAGCCAATTAGTAAGGTTTGTCGCGTGAACAAAATGTGCCAATTTGTTACTACTTCAGCACACCGGTGTGTTGGAGAGTAAACCCACAACATTTACAATTACTTGCTATGTCAGGTTGTGGCGGGTTAAGTGGCATTTATATTTACGAAATCTAACCCAAGAAAAACGTCTTATGTGGGTGAGTGTATCTGCTAGTCATCTCAGTCAACCCATAGCATCTGTAATGGAGCCTTCGATACTCCACGTTGCCTCAAAGTGCACCTAGCCTCAAAATGCACCTAGCCTGACAGGAGCGCCATGGTAACGTCACTGCCCCTTAGCGACTATTGTTGTTGTGTGTGTGGGGAGCGGTAGTGCACTTGTAGTGATTCAATCACAACCGAAAATTCCTGACGTTATGGACACAGCGTGCATGACAGAGAAGACCAAAAGGCGAACAGTACAAAGACAATGCACTATGAGAGCATTCATATATCGGGGTGAGTATCTACAAAAAAGTCTCAAAGTATGAAAAAATAATAGGTTTGACACTGGTGAGACAAGGCCCTCAAGAAGGCTGTCTCTGGTGTAGGCCAATCAGTTTCCAAGACAATGCATATATTATCAGATCATATCACATCAAGCGGCTTGCAGCGTACAGTCAGGAAGTAAAACAAGCCCCCTGATTGGTGCTTAACGGGCCTGAAAGGGGATTGGTTAGAGGCAGGAAATTAAAGGGATTGGAGGAGAAATACAACATGGAAAGTGTGGGAAATGGAGGATGATTGACAGGGAGGATGTTTGGAACTATTAGGAAATGTGGAAGGTGATTGACTGGTGGAAAAAACAGGTCAAGGAACCTTCGGGAAAGGGGCTTGAGGGATATATGAAGGGGAAGCGAGAGAGTTCGGGAGGCTTGGAGAAAAGGGAATCCTTGGAAGAAATAAAAACTCTTATTATTGAATACGACTGTGTCGGGTGCCCACTACACATTGGTTCGCGAACTGCGCTACGAACCCGGCGACCTGAGTTAGATTCCTGCTCACGACCAATAACAGTTACGAATATATGAACTCGTCGTGGGCCTCCCCTAGGTCGACTCGTCTTTCAAAATGAGTACCTGGTGCTGTTTGTAAACATCAGTACTAGGAAGACAAAGGCGGCCAGGTGTGGTGCTGGCCACACACCCCCTCGTGTGCCGTGCCGGCCTTCGCAGGTTCTCGCTTGCAGCACTTGCCCCAGCGGTCCGTGTGGGCTACACGGGGGATCTTTGCATGCGAGTGGAAAGGCACACCTGGCAGGAGTCAGTGCCGCCCTGCTCGTAGCCAGCGCAGAGCTGCGTGTGCGGCACGCGGTTGTTGAGGAACTCCTCGCGGTTGCAGACGTCTCGGGAGATAATGGGCAGCAAGGCCTGCTTCAGCACTCCCTCGTTCCCAGTTCCTGCACAAAACGCAACAAACGCACGCAGCGCATTTGCCAAGAGCAGGCCTAGTGGCCTAGCACATCAAGCGGCTTGCAACGTACAGCACGATCAGAGTTGGAATAGATTGAATGTGTTCATTGAATTGCGGAAGATTATTATTATATAGACGATAGCAGAAGATTCCAAAGTGGAGCAGTGCGAGGGAAGAAGCAGAGAGAGAAGTGTTGAGACCGGCAGTGTGGTGAGTGAGAGGGTGAGTGGGTGAGTGAGTGTGTTGTTGCGATCTGCAGTGTGGTGGGTGAACACAGTGTGATGGAAGAGACAGCAAACAGTGTCTGGTAGACCGTGTCCTCAACACGGGAGGAGGAATCAACGAGTGAAGTTCACAGCAGCTGTAACCATGGTAGTGGCCATAGGAGAGTGACGTTAAGCACTTATAGGCATTGCCGTTGTACAGCGGACAGAAGAGCTGACAACCCGACGTGCTTCACACAAAAGTTAACGTGGCAAAGAGCGGGAAGCGGTGCCGGCTGAAGGGACCGCAGCGTGCGTGGGGCGCTTCGGGGCGACCTGCCGGCACCTTTGGTCTTCCCCCACCCCGTGATGTAGCACATCGTGCCATGCACCAGCTGTTGGTTACGCTCCGGCAGGCAGACGGTGTTCACCTGATCCGTCATCCTCACCGGGCTGCGTGGAAACAACAACAACAACGGTGACGCACGGCGCGCCGGGAGCCACGGTACGTGCCGGTAGCAGCAAGCGCCAACGATCACAGCAGACCCTGCCAGCTGTCGGGGAGTATTGGCCACAGCAAGTACTAATGACTTCGCGAGTACTAATAATAAGAATAATGTTTATTTATAGGGCGCTTTTATTACCACGGGGTTCGAGGCCACTCTTCGACACAAGTTAAGGTGAAACTAACATTTACAAGAAATGCGCGTTTTGAAAATATAAATACGCCTCAAGCCTTGTGTGGGCGAAATCTCTGACGCGATCCGGTGGAGAGTTCCACAGTCGCAGAGCCCGAACACAAAGAATGAGAATATTTATACTGGAGAAATCCCATGAGCTATAAAGCTCTTTTTCACAAATGTCCAGTAGAGTCACCTCCTCTCCTAATGAGCCCGACCCTGGCAATGCAGAGCTTGGTCTGCTCCTGTCAGCTGACCTCAGTGCATGCTGCGGCCGACGTGGAGACAATAACTCTAATAAGTGAACCTGGTACCATTCCACTGAGTGCTTCAAACATCAGTGATAGGATTCTAAAATAAAGTGTACATTTCACTGGAAGCCAGTGCAGAGATGCCAGTGCTCCCTCTTGTTTTATTCTGGTGAGAACCCTTGCAGCTGAATTCTGCTACAATCCGTAACCGTGATAAGGAACGGCTTGTAAGCCTAGCCAACATGGCATTACCGTAGTCAAGTCTAGATTCTAGTCTATGGTTACATGTGGCAGGCAATATGTCCAGGAGCTAAATGGCAATGTCGAGGTCTGTAAACCACGAGATGGCTTCGGGAAAGGGTTTGTGCAGTTTTGCTACTCCTCCGTTGAAGGAGTGCAGACCAGTGGTTTACTATGCGGTCCTTTGGGTAGCATGGCCACAATCTCACGACCGTGACTTATCTTTAACGTATCTCTGTGTATCTTTATCTATCTCTCCGTATCTCTATGGGATTATTTTGTGGTCTCTGGTTCTCGCCATCGACTAATGACACAAGGGACCTAATCCGACGATATATTTCCCTAGGTGGTAGAACGACTCCTGCCACTCGTCAGCGCTCAACCAGGTCGGAGCCGGCAACCCGCGACGATCGTCGTGACCTGGAGAGCTTGATGAGTGCGATGTCCGCGTGACCGGGTTCGACCACGATCCTCGAGATGGACGCCGTCTGCCATGACGGCTCGGGGTCGTTGTCCTTGTGCGCTCCCAAGAACACCTTCATGAGGTACGCAGGTCTACACGCAACAACAACGACGACGTCAACAAACAAGAATGACTTCAAGTTGGAACATGCCGCCACCACAGTGTTTTCTTGCTCTGGAGAAGAGAGAGAGAACGACTCAGAGGCATGAGGAGGAACCACAGACAATGTTATGTGTGTACGTTGAACTTCTTTCGTACCATACGTAGCCAACTGTGCTAATCAGAGTGTGCGAGGAGACAAGCGGGAAAGGCAGCGGTGAGCCAGTGCCCATTTCCCCTCCAAGCTCTGCGTTCCTCTATATATGTAGTGACACAGAATTGGTCACGTAGCAGTATAGCGCTGGCTGCTGGCAGGGAATGGGATCTGCAGCTTCCAGCAGCCCTGACTGACAGCAGGCCACGTGATAGACCTAGTAGGTTCCAGAAGAGGGCGTGGCCGGGGGCGGAGCCAGGCCACGCTGACAGTATAAGAGGGGTCCCTGGAGGGGACCTCGGGGCTGTCGTTTGAAGTGGGATCCCCGTCGTGCTGCTGGAGTCTTCACCGTCGTCGCCGTCTTCACCATCTCGGCATCGCCAGTCAGACAGTCTACCAGCTGTCCTGACTGGGAACCGTAGTTACTAAGTGTAACTGTTAGCCGAGTTAATAAACAGAGTGCCTCCTACTCTTAGTGTCTCTGAGTCAGTCACTACATATATATGAGTTATCAGCAAATAATGATTGTTTACATGTGGAGGAAACCAGAGAAAACTCACGCGTTTCTTTTTTAAGACTGAAACAGGAAGACTTCTCCACAATTCTGGAAAACCGCCTGATGAGGCCGGTTATTGTGATTACCAGCGAAACGTCGGACTCAATAAATGTTGTGGGTTTACTCTCCAACAAGGGTGTGCTGAACTAGTAACTAATTGGCACGTTTTGTTTACGTGACTACCTTACTAATTGGCTGTCGGGTGGTGGAAGGTAAACGACACATTTATATTATGCAATTTAACCCAAAAAAAAAACCTTTATCATGGATAACATTGGTTGCGAAAGCCTACTTGTTAAACTGAGGGGGCAACATTTTATCCCATACAGATGCAACAGATGGTGTTTACACTTTGCTGTACCACCTTCTCGCAAACCAGGGTATAGCGGCACCTGGACACCCACGGGAAGGGAGCTTCCCGATGTTTGTGCGACCCACCAATACTCGCCGCCACCACAATACTGGACCACAGGCCACGCGCGTGGCCGGTTTGCCACCTGGCACCACGAAGCCACCGGCGTGTGTGTGTAGAGTGTGTGTTTTAGCGTGCGTGTATGTAGCGCGCGCGTGTGTGTGTAGCGCGTGTGTGTATAGCGTGTGTGTAGCGTGTGTGTGGCGTGTGCGTAGCGTGTGTGTAGCGTGTGTGTGTGTAGCGTGCGTGTGTGTGTAGCGTGCGTGTATGTGTGTGTAGCGTACGTGTGTAGTGTGTGTAGCTCGCGTGTGTGTGTGTGTGTAGCATGTGTGTGTAGCGTGCTTGTGTGTGTAGCGTGTGTGTGTAGCGTGTGTGTGTGTAGCGTGTGTGAAGAGTGTATGTATAGCATGTGTATGTGTAGCATGTATGTGTGTAGCATGTATGTGTGTAGCATGCGTATGTGTGTAGCGTGCGTGAGTGTAGCGTGCGTGTGTAGTGTGTGTGTAGCATGTGTGTGTAGCGTGCTTGTGTGTGTAGCGTGTGTGTGTAGCATGTGTGTGTGTAGCGTGTGTGAAGAGTGTATGTATAGCATGTGTATGTGTAGCATGTATGTGTGTAGCATGTATGTGTGTAGCATGCGTATGTGTGTAGCGTGCGTGAGTGTAGCGTGCGTGTGTAGTGTGTGTGTAGCATGTGTGTGTATCGTGTGTGTGTGTAGCGCATGTATGTGTGAAGTAGCGTGTGTGTATCGTGTGTGTCTGTGTAGCGCACCGCTTAACGCAGTGCTCCGCCGTGATGACCCACTCAGGGGTGATGAGGGCTCCGCCGCAGTCGTGCGAGTATTCCCTGCAGCCCACAGCGGACAGAGCCGGCGACCAGCGTGCACCGCGTATGTTACGTGTATCTGGTGCGTGTTGCGTGGGTGCGCTTTGTTGTGAGTTGCGTGAGAGATGGTAGCAACCCCAAACTAAAATCCAATCCATTGAGAATTACGAAAATTGGCTTTGAATTGGAATTCAGCGGAATACTTAAGCAGGTGTTGATATTCGGCCAAAGAGTAAAATTTGGAATTGGCTCTACCTATAACTGTCACTGAGTCGATGTAAACGCCAAAGGCTCCCACCGTCGTATACCAGACGTATCTCCACCACCGACTCCAACTGCATCTGATGCTGTGAATGGGATGCTTGTAAGTGTCTGTGTGTATGTGTTTATTGTTGTTGTTGTGTGTGTGCGGCAAAAACAACCCCCTACCTCCTCGGTGTGCCGGACGGGCAACGTTGTCATGGACAGTGCTGTGGGGAGGAGGGCCAATTCCGATTGGCCTTTGCCCTCAAGGTGTTTGTAACCACCACAGTGGCTAAATGGGGGTTCTGGACGGGTGTGAGGGGCTGGTAACCCCTCCACCTTCAATAAATTACCACAAAACCATGTAAAAAAATATCTAATTAATAAGCCTGTGCCGGAGGCCCCGGGGGGACAGGCGTCTATGACGTCTCCTGGCCAAAATCCATTTGGCGGAGCCAGGAGATTAAATCTTTACCCTCGGGGCTTCTCCAGAAACAACAAAAAGCCACTACAAATGGCCACGTGGAATGTTCGAACGCTCACTGCGGAGAAGAGGCTGCCACTCCTCTGTCGGGAGCTGGACCGGTACCGCCTGGATATCTGTGGTATTCAGGAGGTCCGGTGGACTGGCTCTGGCTCCTGCCACCATGAGGGGTGGACAGTCCTCTACTCGGGGTAGGAGACTACCAAACAACAGGGAGTGGCTCTTCTTCTGAACAAAAAGAATGAAGGGGGCGTGGGAGCGTGGCGGTGAGGTGTGGGAAGCTGTAAGCCCCAGGCTACTTTGGGCTCGCCTTTCCATCAACCAGAGGCGAGGAGTGGTGGTCGTGGTTACTAATGCCCCCACCGAAGATGAACATCCGTGGAGGGATGCAGGCAAGGCCGATGAGTCAGAGGCCTTCTATGACCTCCTGTCACAGGTGCTAGCTAAAGTGGCCCCTCGGGATAGAGTCATCTTGTTGGGTGACTTCAATGCCCGAGTTGGTCATGATGCTGGCACCTGGTCTGGAGTGATTGGAAGGCATGGGCCAGATCAGCTCAATAACAACGGTAGGAGGCTGCTAGATTTTTGTGCAGCTCATGGGGTTGTAATTACCAACACGCTGTTCCGGCATTAGCGCATCCACACACATCATGGATGCATGCCGGGTCCAAGCAAGAACATCTGCTAGACTATATGGTGACGGAACAGCGGATGCGGGCCCATGTCCTTGACACCAGGACCTACCGTGGAGCTGATCTGCCCTCTGACCATCGACTTGTCATCTGTAAAATGCGCCTGCCATTCTTCCACTCCGGTGGTGGGTGTAACACCCAGGACCCCAGTCACACCTAAGGTGGCCTGGTCTCAGCTAGCTGATAAAAGTTGCAAGCCTAAAATTTCATCGCTTGCGGTGCGGGTTGGCATCGTCCCCCACTCCTCCAGATGTCGAGGGTAAATGGGCGAGGTTTAGGACTGTGACTCAGGCAGCTGCAATGGCTGCTTTGGGTATGCGGTCCAGACCTCCCCAGAGACCCTGGCTGACAGAGGAGGTGTTCAGGATGGCTGAGAAAAAGCGACAGGCCCACTCTCATCGTCTACAGCATCCCATGTCAAAGAATGAGGAGGCCTTCGCTCGGAGGTTCGGAGCGCCGTGAGGCGCTGCAAGGATGGGTAGTCGTCATGGGTTGCTGAGGAGATGGAGCCTGCCTCAATGGCCCGCGATCACAAATCCCTATTTAACTCCATCAAAAAAGTAACCTGCAGCACCACACCTATTACCATCATTAGGGGAAAAAAACGGTGATCCAATCTCCGACCCCCAGGAACAGGTTTTCAGATTTGCTGAGCATTTCTGAGAAGTCCTGGGGGAGGGGAAATCCCTCGACATGGAAAACATTGTGGGACAAAGTGGCGATGACCCTGCTGAGGCTGCGGTGCCTCAAATATTGGAGGAAGAAGTTACCCCCTGTGAGTGGCTGGCTGAGGTGCCATCTGTTGAGGAAGTACTAAAGGCGATCCAGAGTCTGAGACCAATAAAGGTACCAGGCAGAGATGATCTCCCAAGCGAAATGCTGAGGGAGGGTAGCGTTTGTGCACAGACTGCCCTACATGGTATCATAACAACAGTCTGGAACACTGGACGGGTTCTGGAGGATTGGAAGGATGCCCTTGTGGTCCCCCTCTTTAAGAAGGGGGACTGCACAGACTATAACAACTACAGGGGCATGTCACTCCTCAGTGTGCCTGGAAAGGTCCTGGCAAGGATTATTCAATATCGCCTTGCCAGACATGCTGAGGAGAGGCTTGCGGAGCCCCAATGTGGTTTCAGGAAGGGGCGGTCCTACACAGACGCCATATTTTCTGTCCGTTTGCTACAGCAGAGGTGTAGGGAATTCCAACAAGACCTACATCTCTGCTTTATTGACCTGGTCAAGGCCTATGATACCATCAGTAGGCCTGGGCTCTGGGTTGTTCTTCGTGCTTTTGGAGTCCCTGATCCTCTGCTCACGATCATTAAGGACCTTCATGATGGTGAGCGGGCCTGGGTAAAACTACGTAGCCGGGAGTCGGAGCCATTCCCTGTTCACCTTGGGGTGCGACAAGGATGTCATCTGGCTCCCAAATTATTTAACATCTTTTTCGACCACGTAGTTCGTGAAGCCTTTGATGGCTGTACCAGAGGAATTTCCATCTGGTACAGATACAATGGGAGGCTGATCGATGCCCCGGTGCGGTCAAGGGATGGCTCCCTATTGGTTAACCACGTTATGTATGCCGATAATCTGGTAATTGCCGCTCACTCAGAGGAGGAGTTGGAGGTGCTGCTGCTGAAACTGGAGTGTGCCACTAAGAGGTGGGGCCTTACTATCAGCCCCACCAAAACTAAGCACCTGCCTGGGTATTTCGTATTCAGGCACTCCACCCCCACAACTCCCAATCGGTGATGGGGCAGTTGTGGAGAGAGTGGAGAGTTTCCCATACCTGGGCAGTGTGCTCATGACCGGCTCCGGTTTGACAGCAGAGGTCTCACTCAGAATCAGTTGAGCGGCATTATCTTTTATCGGTTGCGTAATGCTGCGTGGAGCTACCTGGTTTGTCGCTCCGCACGGAGCTTCAAGTCTTCTCGGCCACGGTCATTCCCTCCCTTCTCTACGCTTGCGTAGCATCTTCGCTGATTGGAAACATTTAGGCTGGCCTGCCTATGATCCATCCTGGGTTTAACCAGGCTGGATGGTGTGAGCTCACAAATCCTTGAAAGATCTGGGCATCGGTGAGCTCCTCCGGCAGGCAAGGCTGCGTTGGCTGGGTCATGTAGCCCGCATGCCAAATCACCGCATGCCTAAACAGCTTTTGTTCGTCTGGATAGAGGGGGCTAAACGGGCGCGGCACGGGCTTGAGAAGAGATGGAGTAATGTGGTACAGGAGGATGTGGAGCTGAGTGGACTTGCCGCTGACTGGTACCAGCGGTGTCAAGATTGGCCGCTGTGGAGGGGGCTCGTGAAAGACGCTGCTGGGCAGTTGGAGGCAGTCGCCCTCCAACAACAACGAAGGGTGGAGGAGCGACGCTCAGAACAATGCGCGGAGCGCCGGGTGGCTAAAGCACAGCAAGTTGGCACAGTAGGGGGCACAGGTGGTGCATCAGCCAGTCGTCTCAGTCAGTCGGCCTGTGGCACCTGGGTCTGCCCCGTGACCTCCTGCCAGCGGGCGTTTGACACTTCACGTGGCCTCAAGGTGCACATAGCCTGGCACAAGCGTCGTGGTGACGTCACCGCCACTTAGTGGCGAATGGCCGTTGTTGTTGTGTGTGCATGTTTGCGTGTGTGCATGTGGTGGGGAGCGGTAGTGTCGCGGTTAGTCTGCTGCGCTATGAACCTGGCGACCCGAGTTCGACTCCCGCTCACGGCCAACACCAGTGACGATTATCTGAACTGGTCATGGGCCTCCCCTAGGTCAACTCAGCCTCAAATGAGTACCTTGGTGTGGTGTGTAAACGTCGTCACTGCGGAGACAAAGGCGGCCGGGCATGGTGTTGGTCACCCACCCCCTTGTATGCCGTACTGGCCTTCATAGGTGCTCACTAACAGTCTGTGTAGGCTATACGCTGGATCTTTGTCTTTATTTGTGTGTGTGCGTGTGTTTCTGTGTGTGTGCACGACGAGGAGGAGTGAGTACCGGCTGAAGGCCGTGAGTTTGATTCGCAGGCTGATCTGCCAGGGCCACGAGTGGGGCCGAGCTTCGCAGCCCCCAACGATTCGCTGGCGGCAATCGGACAGAGACACGGCAGCGACGCCGCAACGATGAAGCCCCGGGGCTACATGGGCCGGCGAGCCGGGGAGTTCTGGCAGGCCCGGCAGGCCCGACCCTCCCTGCGGCCACAATGGCTGAGAGTCTTCAGCAGGCCACGGTGGCCTCGGCACCAGAGACGGCACTGTCCGAAGGCCAAACAAATAAAAAACGACATTGCATCATCACTGCCACCACTGTCTCACCTGTCTTGTGTTAAGGCCAGCGGCGGATCTGAGGGGTATTGTTATTTGTCAGAGGCAGGACATTGAATTTGTTGTTGTAATGAGTATAGGGTCCTGTTTGAATAGCTTTAAACATCAGTACCACCGCCCCCCCACCCCTATGGATCCGCCTCTGGTTCAACCACCACACTGTAGGTCACAATGTTCACTCCCCCCACTCACTCACCACACTGCAGGTCACAATGCTCACTCCCCCCACTCACTCACCACACTGCAGGTCACAATGTTCACTCCCCCCACTCACTCACCACACTACAGGTCACAATGTTCACTCCCCCCACTCACCACACTACAGGTCACAATGTTCACTCCCCCCACTCACTCACCACACTGCAGGTCACAATGTTCACTCCCCCCACTCACCACACTACAGGTCACAATGCTCACTCCCCCCACTCACTCACCACATTGCAGGTCACAATGCTCACTCCCCCCACTCACTCACCACACTGCAGGTCACAATGCTCACTCCCCCCACTCACCACACTGCAGGTCACAAAGCTCACTCCCCTCACTCACTCACCACACTGCAGGTCACAATGCTCACTCCCCTCACTCACTCACCACACTGCAGGTCACAATGTTCACTCCCCCCACTCACTCACCACACTGCAGGTCACAATGCTCACTCCCCCCACTCACCACACTGCAGGTCACAAAGCTCACTCCCCTCACTCACTCACCACACTACAGGTCACAATGCTCACTCCCCCCACTCACCACACTGCAGGTCACAATGTTCACTCCCCCCACTCACCACACTACAGGTCACAATGCTCACTCCCCTCACTCACTCACCACACTGCAGGTCACAATGTTCACTCCCCCCACTCACTCACCACACTGCAGGTCACAATGCTCACTCCCCTCACTCACTCACCACACTGCAGGTCATAATGTTCACTCCCCCCACTCACCACACTGCAGGTCACAATGCTCACTCCCCTCACTCACTCACCACACTGCAGGTCACAATGTTCACTCCCCCCACTCACCACACTACAGGTCACAATGCTCACTCCCCTCACTCACTCACCACACTGCAGGTCACAATGCTCACTCCCCCGACTCACCACACTACAGGTCACAATGCTCACTCCCCCCACTCACTCACCACACTACAGGTCACAATGTTCACTACCCCGACTCACCACACTACAGGTCACAATGCTCACTCCCCCCACTCACTCACCACACTACAGGTCACAATGTTCACTCCCCCCACTCACCACACTACAGGTCACAATGTTCACTCCCCCCACTCACTCACCACACTGCAGGTCACAATGTTCACTCCCCCCACTCACCACACTACAGGTCACAATGCTCACTCCCCCCACTCACCACACTGCAGGTCACAATGTTCACTCCCCCCACTCACTCACCACACTGCAGGTCACAATGCTCACTCCCCCCACTCACCACATTGCAGGTCACAATGCTCACTCCCCCCACTCACTCACCACATTGCAGGTCACAATGCTCACTCCCCCCACTCACTCACCACACTGCAGGTCACAATGCTCACTCCCCCCACTCACTCACCACATTGCAGGTCACAATGCTCACTCCCCCCACTCACTCACCACACTGCAGGTCACAATGCTCACTCCCCCCACTCACTCACCACACTGCAGGTCACAATGCTCACTCCCCTCACTCACAGACATTTATCTCTGCTTCTTCCCTCACACTGCTCCACTTTGGAATTCTCTCTCCATCATCATCATCTCTTTTCCTCCAAGCTATTATCATAATAACCTTAATAAATATAATCAATATTCTTAGTTTTTTCGGTAAAGTCACGTTGAAGAGAAACAACAAAATAATAAAATATATATATAATATTTTCTATTGTTTTATATATTTTATTATTTTGTTGTTTCTCTTCAACGTGACTTTACCGAAAAAACTAAGAATATGAATTACTGCAGTCACGAAAGCTTTAAATCAAAATATAATCAACTTAAGACATAGCCATGTGTTGTTGGCCGCCTGACATTCTGAGCCTTTGGGCCTGTGCTCAGAAGTATGTGTATACTACTCTTTGGTTCTTTCGGTAAAGTCACGTAGATAGAAAAATAAATAATAGATTACGACGTTTCGATCGCAACACAAGCAATCGTCTTCAGGTGAAAAAATACAGCAGGCGGACTGCTGAGGCAGGAAGAAATGTAGCGAGAGAGCTACTGCAGCCAAAGGTTATATTGGTTTGAGATGGGTACAACCCAAGGGTAAGTGGGTGGGGCTAGAGATGGAATTTGCAAGTCAATGTAAGATCGCAGAGCTAGGCATACCTCGGCTAATCCGAGGGGGGGAGGGAAGGGAGGGGGAGGCGCTTCAGTACTGGGCGAGAGGGTGGAGTGAAATTCAAAGAGGGAACAAGGTGAGAGAAAAGAAAGAAAAAATCAAACTTAGAAATGCAATGCAACTCAGAGAGTCGGCCAACACAACACTTAACACTTTAACTGGTTGATCAACTTCCTTCCAAAGTCTTCTTGGTTCTTTCGGTAAATCGAAAAATTCCTTCCAAAGATTGATAAATTTGCATCCATCTTCTCGGTTGAAGTTATGTCTGAGTTGTGTGGAAATCCTCCCAGTAGAGGCGGTTCAATCTTGATTTGAAGCTTTCGTGCCTGCAGGAGTTCCCCTCCCCTCCCTCCCCCTCGGATTAGCCGAGATATGCCTAGCTCTGCGATCTTACATATACAGTACTTGCAAATTCCATCTCTAGCCTCGCCCACTTACCCTTGGGTTGTACCCTCCTCAAACCTATATAACCTCTTGCTGCAGTAGCTCTTTCGCTACATTTCTTCCTGCCTCAGCAGTCCGCCTGCTGTATTTTTTCACCTGAAGACGATTGCTTGTGTTGCGATCGAAACGTCGTGATCTATGATTTATTTTTCTATCTACGTGACTTTACTGAAAGAACCAAAGAGCATGACTTCCTGCAGTCACGAAAGTTTCAAATCAAGATTGATTATGTGTATACTGTGTAACAAAACAATCCATTGCATCTGACCTGATGCTCGGAGCTCTGAGACCGCCACTCTGAACTTAGATGGCCAAAACCCACGACGTAAACATGAAATGACTAGCAGGTGTACCCGTTCTTCGCATGTGACGTCACCGCTCACTTGCCGTGGAATAGATTATATCCATTATTCCCCCTCCCCCCCTAAAATACAAAAGTCTATTTTTATACTTTTTCCATTGTGTACAGTATGGAAGCTACCCACATGCAAAATTTAAAGTTTTTAGCATGTTGGGAAGTATGCTAAACATTTCGAACAGACACACATATCCACAAATTTCCCTTTAATATGTATAGATTTAACTGGAAAACCCTGAAAAAAATTGATGCTTGTGTAGAGGAGTAGTGGGATGACGTCATGTCATCGAGGCACTTAAGGGGGGACCCCGGGACAAGGGCGGGGTCGCCATGGGGAGAGGGAGGTGATCGCTGTAGGAGAGTGAGAGAGAGGGGAACGAGAGCCTGTGTGAAAGACATCCCAGCCACCGCCGAAAAAGGGCTAGAGATGTAGAGGTCTCACCTCGTCGCCGGGCGGTGATGGGTGAGCCCCCGCCCGGGGCAGACGAGGTGATAGACATAGGGGAAGCCGTACCGGGGCGTAGATAGCTGAGGGATGTCCGCGTAAAGGACAGAGTTCTGACGTGTGTAAGCGTCGAGTATAGAGAGTGGAATCAGAGTGTATAAGAGTGTGTAACAGTTGTGAATAAACGGCAAGCAGCCCTAAGTAACAATCCTCGTCTCCGTCTTCCTCTACAAGTCTCCTGGGTGTCAAGAGTTACTACACAACATTTGGTGTCAGAAGTGGCCATCGAACCTTCGCTGCTTAAATTCAAGAAAGCTGGAACCCTTCGCTGGCGTGGTGTAAAAGCCGGCAGCGGAGTGCAAGGCCCAACCGGAGGAGCGGATGGACAGCGAGGGCTGCACCGGAGCTCTCCCTGCGACGACCCCGGAGCCCGGGGCCCTGGTGATGTGCCCCGGGGGGAGGGCGACTGCAGCCTACATGGGAGGAGGCTGTGGGCCCAGACTGGCTGCCTTCGACGGAGAGCTGGGGCGACGTCGCCGGCCGACTCGATCAGCTGCTGGTGTCAAGGGAGCGGACGGGTTTGGGTGAGTCGATGGCGGAGCTGCAGGGGGACGCGGCCGCTGTCGGTTCGCTGCGGGCGTTTCCGCAATTCCTGCGGCTGCGGCGTTCCCACCATTCCCACGGCTGCGGCGTTCCCGCCATTTTCGCGGCTGTGACGTTCCCGCCATTTTCGCGGCGGCGGCATTCCCGCCATTTTGCACGTGGCTGCGATGTGACCGTCGGCCGCTATTGTCGCTGCTGGAACCCGGCGACTGCGAGCGGGGTGTGCCTCCCTCGTCGTAATTGAAGAGGTGTGCTCCGACGTCTGGAGCCTGGGGAGCTGCCTGCTTCGTGCTGGTGGGGTGAGCCGGCACGCAGGAGAGCGCACCGCCACTGCGCGATGGGCCTGCTGCTTGCGGGGGGTGCAGGCCGAGTCGTTGGTGTGACGGGCACAGCAGGACATTGCTTCGAGGGACTTTGCAACGTCGGCCGTCAAGTGTTGTGTTCCTCGCTGACGTTCTTTCCCTCCTTGTTTTTTTGCATTCTTTGGATTGTTGGGGGTGTTATGTTGTTGGTACAGTGTTGTTATGTTGTGGCTATAGGGATGTTAGCTTGGGGGTTTAGTGTTATGATGTGTTGCTGTTTTTTACGTTTTTTGCTGCCTGTCATGGGGGTCGTCTAGATTGTTTTGTTTCTTTTTATAAGGGGACGTTGAAACCCGAGACGGCTGATTTTTCTTCACAGAGGGGGGTGATGTAGAGGAGTAGTGGGATGACGTCATGTCATCTTTAGAGTGGGATGACGTGATGTGATGACGTCATGTCATCGATGCAGTGGGGTACTTAAGGGGGACCCGGGACGAGGGCGGGATCGCCGTGGGGAGAGTGAGGTGGTCGCCATAGGAGAGAGAGAGAGGGGAACGAGAGCCTGCGTGAAAGGCATCCTAGCCGCCGCCGAAGAAGGGCTAGAGATGTAGAGGTCTCACCTCGTCGCCAGGCGGTGATGGGTGAGCCCCCGCCCGGGGCAGACGAGGTGATAGACATAGAGGAAGCCGTACCGGGGCGTAGATAGCTGAGGGATGTCCGCGTAAAGGACAGAGTTCTGACGTGTGTAAGCGTCGAGTATAGAGAGTGGAAACAGAGTGTATAAGAGTGTGTAACAGTTATGAATAAACGGCAAGCAGCCCTATGTAACAATCCTCATCTCCGTCTTCCTCTACAAGTCTCCTGGGTGTCAAGAGTTACTACACAACACTTGCAAGAAAGAAAAAATCTGAAACAAATAAATGTAACTAAATCGGATGTTTTTCACTGATATAAATTCAACCTTAACCCACTAATACGCGAGGTCGATTTAGGCAACTCGGGAAGGGAATGACGTGGCGAGCTGAAAATAGTCGCGTACCCTTAGTAATTCCAGACAGCATAAGCTGTGCAAATTTCATGACGTCAGAGCTCAGATGTGACGTCACCGCTCACTTGCCGTGCAAAATATATCCATTATTGCGCCCCCCTCGCCCCCCAAAATACAAAAGTCTATTTTATACGTTTTGCATTGTGTACAGTCTGGAATCTACCCACATGCCAAATTTCAAGTTTGCTGCATGTCGGGAAGGATGCTGAACATTTCGAACAGACACATATGTACACATTTTTCTTTTATATATATAAGATGCACACGCAGAAAACCGAGCGGCTGATGGGATGTGTAACGTCGAGGGACAGTCATGTGGAAGAGGAGGCGTATTGCCCTGCTTAGCCACGTTGCACGTCCAGTTGTTTCCATCATACGTGCTCGGCGAACCTCTCTCAGTGTCTCACAATGGCTAGGTCCTCTGTCCCATGGCAACACTTTGGCCATGCAGCATGCGAGATGTTAACTACTTTGCCTGGTATACAGGAGGTCGTGGGATCAATCCCGACCCTACCACCTGTATATTTGGAGTTTGTATGTCTCTCTCCTTGTGGTCGTGTGGATTTTTTTCCGAGTTTTTCCCTCCACATACATTTCCACATGATAATCCGCTTCGTTGAGCTATTATTTGTGGCCAGGTCGCTTCTGAAGAAAATAACTATATAGCTCAATGGGCCTTACCTGGTAAAATAAAAATAGTTCTTATTATGATTGTTTACCCAGGAAAGCCTCAATGAGTTCCAGATCTTCTTACAAATCAATTCCTGCCACCGGAACAACAGAGGTGCAGAGGAGCGACACCCACAACAATGAGCAGAGTGCTGGGCGGATAAAATGAAGCAAGATGGCACAGTAGACAGGGCAGATGGTGCAACTGTCAGTCATCTCAGTCAACCCAAAGCACCTTGGTCTGTCCAGTGACCTGTCAGCAAGTTTTTGACACTTTACATGGCCTCAAAGTGCACCTGACCTGGCACAAGCGCTGTTGTTGTTGTGTGAGATTGTGGAGTGGTGGTGCAGTGGTGAGTAACATTAATAGTCGTCGTGCTACCCCCCTCCAGGCCCTCGTGCCTGGTTCGCGGGGGTTGTGCGGCGGCGGCGGTGGCTCCTGCGCGGCGGGGCGGCAGGGCTGAACGTCGCAGTACTCCCAGCGCAGCGCCGCGCTGACCGTGTAGCACCAGGTGCCGTTGTTCCCGTCCGGATTGCGGCAGTAGTTCTCCTGCAGCCCGCTTGCAACGAGCGAGGGCGGCACGCACACAGACGGACGGAAGGTGAAGGCGCTGCGGGGCTCGCTGCGCGTGCAAGCGCTCGCGCGCACGCGGCATTGCGACTGTGAGGATTGGAAGCGCGCCCGTTTGCCGGCGCTCCGTGTTCTTTATTTGTTGATTTTTTTTTTCTAACCAGGCAAGGCTCGCTGAAGTGACCTGGCCACAAATTATAGCTCAATTATAGCTCGAGAAAGTGGCTTATCACGTGGAAATTTATTGCAGGCAAATTACTCTAAACGCATGTTTATGAATGATCCAAGAAAAAGATCCCCTGTATAGCCTAAACAGTTAGCGAGCACCTATGGCAGATCAACACAGCACACGAGGGGGTGGTGTGGTTATCACCACGCCCGTTCACCTTTGATTCCTCAGTGCACATGGGACCGGGCACTCATTTAATAGTCATGATCTAGGCGAAGCCCAGGATGGGTTCAGATATGTCATTGATGTTTACTGTTTTCAGGAATCAAACTTGTATTGCCTGGTTCGCAGAGCAGTGTGCTAACCACTGCGCCACTGCTCCCCACTCTCACGCAGACACTAAGTGGTGGCGATGTAACCACAGGGCTTGTGCCAGGTTAGGTGCACTTTGAGGCCATGTGAAGTCTATTATAGGCCACACGGTGAATCTTTGTCTTTGTGCGTGTCTCCTTCCGGGTGGCTGTGTGCACTGGTTACCTGCAGGGGTAGTTCTCCGGGGTGCGAGTATGCTTGTGCGGGAACTGTGAGTCCCACCGCTGACACCGTTTCCCCGAGAGAGTCACCGTCCTGGAGCCCCGATAGCCCTCCCCACGGCCTCTGGCGCACACGGTGCTGGTCGAGGTCGCTGGTGGCGGCGTATCTGCTGGGTGGAAATCGGGGTCGTTCGAATCGTTTACTTTGCATTCCCAAACAACCGTCTGAATCGTTGACACGTTGGTTGAAACTACAGCGTGAGTTTATTCAATCACCCACCCTCACCTCTGACCATCCAGCAGCCGTATTAGAAATGGATTCACCGCAGTCGATGGGTGGGTCACACATCTAGCAAAGACGTTGCGCAGCGTGGAAGATTAGGCCAAATATTCTCTACAGGGGACTCTCAAGAACTCAATCTCGTGAAGAATGCTCTTTCGCAATTGGAGGTCTGAAAATTTACCTGTTCACCATCGTAGTTGTCACCATCCTCGCTCTCATTCACAATAACCATCGTTAACACTACTCTTCATATCATTATACACATCACGGACCTCATCCTATGGCAGTTTCTCTACCTTGTGAGTTACAAAAGTATTCCTTTCGTGCCTTTCCCATGTCACGGTGTTGGAATAATCCTAATGTTTTATTATTGTTGTGCAACGCACAACGCTGCGGCAAAGTTTGTAACGCGCAGAGTTTTTGCCCCAAAGTTCGAGAATCCACAGACAAATGGGAGGGCAACCAGTACCAGTGCTTCCAACAATTGTCCAAGCTCTGTGTTCCTATATTGGGATGTGTGGCCATGATCGTGACAAATGATGGATGATTGATAATGAATGGCATGGTGATAGTGATGATGAATTGAGAATATGATCATCATTATGATTGCAATCTTAATGACGCTTCCCACTAAGTGGTACCATTAATTTTATCGGCGCCAGAGAAATGGTGACAATGGCGAAGTCGACCAGGATCTGAAGTCGCGACCTTCCGATTAAGAATCAAGTGTTCCGAGTATGAAGCCAGAACGGGCATACCACCAAACTGCCAAAGATCTGTGGTCGCTTCTGAAAAAGAGCTACATAGCTCAGTGGGCCTTACCTGGTAAAATAAAAAAAATAGTTTAGTTTAAACGGTTTTAGGGTGTTTGGCTAACTCTGTCATATAGGTGTAGTGATTCAATTACAACCGGAAATACTCACCCAACGTTATAGACACGGCGTGCATGACACGAATAGTCAGGAAGTAAAATAAGCCCTCTGATTGGTACTTAACAGGCCTGAAAGGGGATTGGTTAGAGGCAGGGCATGAAAAGAGTGGGAAACTCAGGATGTTTGACAGGGAGGACGGTTGGAATCCGTGCGGAAAAGCAAAAGAGGATTGGCGAGAGAAAAAGCGGAAGGTCAAGGAACCTCCGGCAAAGGGCTTGGGGGCAGGATAAATATGAAGCGAGGAAATTTGTGACGCTTGGAGAAAAGGGAATCTTTAAATACCTTGTCTCGTGCTCGAATAAATAAAGACTCCTATTATTGAAGACTGCTGTGTTGGGTGTCACTACACATGGTATTTTTTAAATTTAGTTTACTTATTTGGTATAGCTCTGTGAGCCATTTGGCTCTTGAATTGGGTGCAACCACAATAAACAAAAAACAAAAACACGAACAACAGTGCCAGAATATCCTAGTAGCAAAAGTAGATACATATGCTACGGGCCCCGCACTTTCAAGGGCCCCGCGCTAAATGCTTTCAAGCCATCAATTCCGGTTCAGTGATTCTGCACTTGCTCTATTACTATAGTACTATACTGCCTTCAACTTTTATGAACGACTGGGTGTTTAAGGTTAGCGATTTGTCGTATTATCTGGCTGTATAGCAAATGAAATAATACAATTACTTGACTATGCAAGTTAAACATTTATGTGTCTTAATATTAAAGTTTGTATTTATTTAGGGCCCCTTTATAACATATGCTACAGGCCCCATACTAGCTTAATCCGGCACTGTATACAGCAAGGGAAGGGGAGAGGGCTGTGAGGGAAAAGGGGTAATGGAGGGACTCACTGCAGCGGGGAATAGTGCAGGTCTCAAGGCGCACGCTGGGGTCTGTGGTGTAGCACCACGGCAGAGGCTCCATGTTGGGGTTTCGGCAGTAGTTGCTCCGCAGATCTTTGTCGGGAAACCTGGAACACAGATTCCTGAGGTTTACTGACAAGTTTCACACCGTGGTTATGGCTCCCGTGAGCTTTAATCGTTCATCCCTCCAAGCATGTTGAGATCTCTACCAAAACATTGATCGTTTCGTCTCATCCACACGGTGTTCAACCACTACACTGCAGGTGACAACACACTCAGCCACGTATGTACTCAAACTATAATTCACGAAGCCACTCGCTAACCCATCCATTCACCCACACACTCGCCCACTCACTTAACCACTCACGTATGCATCCACTCACTCATCAGGCTCACTCTTTCATCCCATCCACACTCACCACAACTGCGGGTCACAACACTTCTCGTTCTGCTTCTTCACTCCCACTGCTTCACTTGAGAATTCCTTCTCATTGCCTTTTCCCCGAAGCTCTCATATCCTTGCGCAATTCTAGAAACATATTCATGCTTATCTATCATTGAAAGCACTGTTTGTTGCTGGCCACTTAACGTTTGGGCCTTTGGGTCTGTGCCCATTATTCAAATTCTTGAGTAACGCAGGGGAGAAGATGACAACCTGCTTGTGGTCTAGGCGGCTATGAGGGAAAGCACAACGAATGTCATCACATCGGCAACCGAATGCCCGACAAAGGTTTTCCAGCCTGATAAGCAACCAACGGTACAAAACGGCCCTTTCCAAGGACGAACAAATGTGAACATTGTTCCCGTCATGATTAATAATGTCGAGGACACCTCCGGTGTGAATTGCGATTATATTGAGAAGATCCTCAGGTTTCAAGACACCGATGTCCCGGCGCTGGAAGAAACCCGCGTGGACCAAGAGTGCCCTCGCTCAAATATAAATGGTTACACCGTCATTGCCGCAAGCCACCATCCACAAACGTGGCCCTTGCAACGTGTGTAACGACCGACCTCGTAGGACTGGGCACGAGCCATGCCAACAACTCACCACACTATCCATAATGGGGGGGGGGGTTTGGGGTGAGATTGCGTAAACATTAAATGTGTCGGTAAACTTCCCACCACCCGACACATTAAGTACGGTTCATCACGTAAAGAAAAAATGCGCAGTTAGTTACTAGTTCAGCACACCGGTGTGTTGGATAGTAAACCCACAACATTTATCATTCGAGTACCGTGATGTTTCGCCGGTGATTACAACAACCAGCCTCATCCGGCGACAGCCAGAGTTGTGGAGAAATCCTCCCTGTGTGTTTCGGTCTTAAACATCGGCAAGCCCCCCACGCGTGGAACGACCATGTCCTAGCGCTACCACCGCCAAGCCACCCCTACTCTGTTGGCGCCTTCAATAGCTGCCCACACACCCTATGGGTCTAGCGTGCCAACGGTCGGGGAGGTGAGCAACTGACATCATGGGGCAGTGGCAGAAGACCAACACCTGCTCTGTGACTGAAAGAGACGGCGGAACTTTCAAGTCAGCACGGTGGATAAAATGTTACGGCGCCTGATTTATATTAATTATTGCGGGATAAGGACGGTGATCCAATGCCGTAAATGTAAACCGACCTCGACGATTTCCCAAAAACAGTAATACCCCGATTTACTTTTTTACGTTGTTTCGCAGATACGTCTTCACTTTATTAGTATTACCACTGCCGGATTTGCGTCGCCTCAACCCACACTTGCGTCGCTGACAGCATCATCCGTCCTTTCTAGTATCCGTCGCCTCTCAGCCTTCGCTTCCACCTACACTGTACACAAATTACTTTGCTTCGTGCATAAGAAAATGTACTGTACTCTACAGTACAACATATTATTTACATATAGTATTTTCGTGATTCTATAGTGTACTGTATATTATTGTGCCCTGTATAATTTGTGTTAAAGTTTACTGCTGTACACTAGTGTTGAGTAAGTATTGTTTTGTAATTTAATGTAACGTTATGGGTACGTCTGAGATGAATATGCGCGCATTAACACAGCTTCACCGTCGTTTCGATATCCCTCGTTGCACCATTCAGGAACGCATCGCTGATGTAAACTTGGGTATTACCGAATCCAATTTAGGGCCTGTAGAGATCCACATCGGCCTTCAGACTCAACCGCTCTGGAACCTGAGAACGACCTTAGGCCCAAATTACTCTACGGCCACGGAGGATTTCCTCTCTTGCGAGTCAACTAGCATTGCTTCGGTCGTCTCGTCAAGGCAGCTGCCAAAGGCCGACATCACAAGGGAAGTCTTCACTCGCTGTCGGTCTCCAGAAAGCTAACAACTTTTTCCGACAGATCAATGCTGATCAGACACATGAGACGGCAAGATGACAAAGGCAGCGTGAAACGGTAGAGGTGCTTGACAAAAAAACGAGCCAGAAAACCTGGGACCTCCTAAGGCTTGCTGAGAGCAGCAGTGACACCAGCCTATAAACCTCCCCACATCAGCCGTGACGGCATTGCCGGACAGCAGACCAGCAATTCATGAGCGAGGATCGACAAAAACACAAGACGGCAAATTTACAACTCTACCGCACTCTTGGCCCGTGCCAACAAACCTCTGCATTTTCTGATCCTTTCTCAATGGGGGAAGTGGACCCTAGTATTGCCCAGATGAAAATCGGTGCAAGCTGCGGGTCTTGATAGTATTTATCCAGAATTCATCAAGAACTTGGGACCACAAGTGGGAAAATGGACGGCCACTTTCCTCATCAACATCCACTCCTTTAGGTGTGGTACCAACGGAGTGGGAAACGGATAAAATGATAGCCGTTTTTAAACCTGGCAAGGACGCATTGGATCCTCAAAACTACCGCCCGATTTCCCACCCCAGCATCTGGTACAAAGCTAATGCGGCGACTCCTGCTTTATAGGCTGAAGCCTACGCTTGAGGATACAATCCCCAAAAAACAAGCCGGGTTCAGAACCGGACGAAATGCTGCCATCAAGAACTTGTTTAACAGGCCACATTGAGGCCAGGCTTCCAACATCAGCTCAAAACAGTAACAGCGTTCATTGAAGTTCATTGTGGTGCAGGTGCACATTGTTGTGGGCGCCACGGCGGTGAGATGGTAACTACCTTGCCTGCTATATAGGAGGTCATGGATTAGATATTAACCCTAACGCCTGTATATTTGGAGCTTGTTTGTTTTCGCCGTGGCTGTGTGGAATTTTCTCCGGGTCCTCCGGTTTTTCCCTCCACATTTAGAATCAACGTCACATGTTTAGAGTATTGGGCTGCATTACATTTCCACATGATAAGCCACTTCGTTGAGCTTTCATTTAATCCTTTTGGCGGTACCCCGGGGTACCAAATAATACAAAATGGCCGAGGCAATTAAATATTTTATTTTTGGGACACTATTTTTTCCAGGGGTGTACTTCACTCCGCGATTGTGGTACCAATCAATCCGAAATCAGTGCTACTCCGCGATGTCGAAACGCAGCGAGGACGATTGCGCTGGAACCCTGAACGCTCGTATGCACCATAGTGCATCATGTACAGCTCGTCGAGATGAGTCGATTGCCGCATCGCCGACCATCAACAGACTACTGCATCACAGACATTATCCGAGAGCCGGGGTACTATTGTTGAGGAGTAGCCTGATGGCGTCATGGGATAGTGGGATGACGTCATGTGACGGGGATTGTAAGGGGGTACTTAAGGGGGACCCCGTGACGTAACGGGGGTCGTTGTGGGAGCCCGGGCTAAGTAGTGGCTAAGAGGGATCTCTCCCGCTCGTGACCGGACAGAGTTGGCTGAACCCCCGTCCCGGGTTCGACGAGTGGGAGAGCCGTTGGGATTGCCGAGGAGAAGGCTCGAGGAAGTCCGTGAGAGCTGGCTAGGGAGAAGAGGGGTGCTGCTCTTACTCGGTCGGACGGAGTTGGCTGAACTCCCGTTCCGACTCGGGTGAAAGAGCCCAAGGGATTAGCCGAGGCAAGGGACAAGAGTAGAGCCGAGGTCTAATAGAAGGGCCGAGTGTAGTGTGCACCTACCTCTGGTGTGAGTTAGAGTGTTAATGACAGTGTTAATAAACCAGTGTACTGTAAGCCCTTACCTGAAACTCCGAGTCCGCGTTGTTCTACACCTCAACACTATGGTACCCCGGGGTACCGCTATAAGGTTCAATTGTGGCCAGGTTGCTTCTGAGAAAGAGCTATATAGCTCAGTGGGCCTTACCTGGTAAAATAAAAATAGTAAATAGTTATTATTGTTTACCCCGGAAAGCTCAATGATACTCACGTCTTTTTTCAAGAGTGTCCTGCCAAGTATTTGGGGTGGGAGGAGGGGGCAATGTTGCTGTGTAATCCCAATTGATTAAAATTGTCGAATATTTTTTTGCTTTGGGATGTTTTGGCCAATGCCAGTTGCAGTCTATGAATCTTCAGTGATGGGAGAGAAACTAACCTGAGAACCCAGAGGAAACCCATACAGAAGAGGGGGAGAACTTACAAACTACACGCAAAAAGACACCTGTGCCAGGAATCGAACCAAGGCCCTTCTTGATATGAGGTAGGAGCGTATCCACTCTACCACCTCCAGGGCAGAGATGAGGGTCGCAGCTGGAAGCTGGAACAGTAGTGGTGGTGGTGGCACTGTGCATGCAGTGGGGATGGTGCGCACCTGTCCGGCGTGTGGTTGTGTTGGTGAGGACTTTGTGCCGCCCAGTGCTGGCATTCTCGCCCAGACTCCGTGCGAGCCACTTTCCCTCGATAGCCCCCTCCGTTGCACTGCATGCACTCCTCCTGCTCTGCACAACCCAGCACACCACTCTGTGAATTAATACTAAATGTTAAGTAATGTAAGTTATATTCGCATCTAATATTTGCACTTATATGGCACTTGCTCACATGCCTCAGCAAAGCAAAGTAGTTTGCACCACATCTCATCTCAAACATTTGGAGTGGCAGCTGTCCCTGTGCAGCACGAGGTGACTCAGCACCTGGCCTGCAAGTGAGCATTGACCTGAGAGTAGGGGGCGATGATTGCTGCTGCTGTGTATAATCCCAATTTGAGGTTTTTGTCTGGGTAATTTTTCTACTTTGGCAAATGTATTGAATATATTAGATTGAGTAAACACAACACTACAAAATGAACACAACTGTTGATGCAGTGATGCTGCATCAACAGTGGTGCACAAACACAAACAACACAATAAATAACACAAATAATAACATAAATAATAACACATTTGTCTATAACCCTGTGGCCTTAAAATAAAAAGAATATAAATTTCGATTTAAAGCTTTCGTGACTGCAAGGATTCATCTTCTTTGGTTCTTTCGGTAAAGTCACGTAGAATGAGAATAAAATAATAAATTGATAAACTAAAATAACACAATAATATTCTCACGACGTTTCGGCCACAACACAAGCGGCCTTCATCAGGTGAAGGGACGATACTGTCTGGAGGACAGCGCTGGAGTGAAAAAGCCACGCTCAGATCGCGACCTTTAAGCTGTGTGAGAAGAAACAAAGTGCCTTGACAAAGGAATTAGCATAGAATTTAGCATTGAAATGGCTGAGTGATTAGCTTGTGACTGGTCACAGAAATGGCTATGTTAAAGTTAAAGCATACATAGCCGCAGAGGCACCCCTTGACAAAGAAATTAGCATAGAATTTAGCATTGAAATAGCTAAGTTAAAGCATACACATCCGCAGAGGCACCATACAGTACCCGGGCGTTTACAAACTAAAGTGCTTCTGTGGTAGTAGCTACATTGGAGAAACCAAACGACATATCTCGGACCGCATCCGCGAACATAAAGCAGACTTGAAACACGGTACAACGAACTCCTCTGCCGTGGCAGATCACTGTTATAATTCAGTGGGCTCACATGACATTGACTTCTCCAAGACGGAGGTTCTTTGCAAACGAACCGGCTACCATGAGAGATTCGTTCATGAGGCCATTCACATATACAAGCACAGAGACAATTTCAACCGAGAAGATGGATTCTGGCTTAGTAACCATTGGAAAGATGTTTTAAACCATTTCCGTTCTTAATTAATTGTATTTTACGATGACCTTCAGACCGCAGCTCTTTCGCTGGCATTGACTCTTAATACCTCTCACACCACGGTTAATGGTATGGTTTACAACATGGAGTATAACAGTGCCTTGCAGCTGTCTCTCTCCCCCTCCTCTGTTCCGACCATGGATGAACTCGTCCGTCTGAACGGGGCCCGTAGCTATCCGTGTTGCTAAAGTTGAGGGTAAGAATCTACCCATTTTTTTTCGCCATATAGCATTGTGATATATAACGACTTATTGTTGGTAGCTTAGCTGATTGGAGAATATATAGAGTTTATTGATAACATTAAGGTAATTTATATTTTAGTTTTTTATTGGTTCACTATATAGTATTCATTATATATTGTAGTGTATACCCAGTTACTGTGATTAGCTCAGATGTGTAGGCCTTGACTTCAACATAGCCATTTCTGTGACCAGTCACAAGCTAATCACTCAGTTATTTCAATGCTAAATTCGCCTAGTTATTTCAATGCTAAATTCTCCTGTTTGATTTGTACTAGGTGCCTCTGTGAATGTGTATGCTCTGACTTTAACATAGCTATTTCTGTGACCAGTTACAAGCTAATCACTCAGCTATTTCAATGCTAAATTCTATGCTAATTCCTTTGTCAAGGGGTGCCTCTGCGGATGTGTATGCTTTAACTTAGCTATTTCAATGCTAAATTCTATGCTAATTTCTGTGTCAAGGGGTGCCTCTGCGGATATGTATGCTTTAACTTTAACATAGCCATTTCTGTGACCAGTCACAAGCTAATCACTCAGCCATTTCAATGCTAAATTCTATGCTAATTCCTTTGTCAAGGCGCTTTGTTTCTTCTCACACAGCTTAAAGGTTGTGATCTGAGCGTGGCTTTTTCACTCCAGCGCTGTCCTCCAGACAGTCTCGTCCCTTTACCTGATGAAGGCCGCTTGCATTGTGGCCGAAACGTCGTGAGAATATTATTGTGTTATTTTATTTTATCAATTTATTATTTTATTCTCATTCTACGTGACTTTACCGAAAGAACCAAAGAAGAACAAGAATATATAATATATAGTATATATAAAATCAGTGACATTTTGTTTCAGGCCTTCCCAAAGCACATCGTGTAGGGTTTGCCAACTTTTCCAAAGACCAAAGCCTGGACTTATATTTCTCAGTCAGCCCAAGTCTGTTTACTCTGCAGTTTGCTGCCATAAAGTTCAACACGATACCGGTACAAGATCTCGGTTTAAAATATAATTCCTGCCACTCGAACGCAGATTATACCAATTCCTGGACTATCAGGGTCAATTCCAGAGCAGTGCCAACCCTAGCCTCCTCCATACACGAAAGGGCCTGCTACTTTTCACGGATAAAGGAGTATTGTTTAAAGTAAGCACACCAAGGACATACCTGATTCATTATTCATTGTGATATTCTGGCACATTTTTGTGTCATAAAACCCTGCACCGCCCAATGCAGCCAAACATTGTCACGTGCGACAAGTGTTTAACGCACCGATTATGATTTGTTCAGCTCACTTGCCAGTGAGTTGTAGAAGTTGCAATACAAAAAAATATATATTTTAGTTGTGGAAAAATTCTCACATGCAAATTTAGCAAATTAAGATATCACGATTAGCTTGAAACTGCCTTAAGCGTTTTCAATTAAGCATATTTGTTTAACCAGGTGGTAATTCAAGAGACCAGGATGAGTGATGTTCCCAAAAGGCCAAAATATGTTTTTTTTTCAATCAAATTAAGTACAGCGATGGAGCAAAAAGAAATTGAAGCAATACAGCTGCATTACTTCAACAATATCGCGCAGACAAGTCAACGCTAAACTAAAAATCTCCTGTTGCGTAAGTCAGCTCGGGTGGATTGCACAATTACATCGGAGAAACATTAATCAGATGTAGGGTGACTATTGTACGAAAGCGTAAAGGGACGAAGACGCGCTTCGAGCGAGGGACCCACCGCTCTGTGGGACGTCGAGGTGAGGCAGCCCTGGGGGCAGGGAGGGCCGTGGGGGCAGGGGGCCGAGAGGCGGCCATGGGGGCAGGGGGGCGAGAGGCAGCCCTGGGGGCAGGGAGGGCCGTGGGGGCAGGGGGCCGAGAGGCGGCCATGGGGGCAGGGGGGCGAGAGGCAGCCCTGGGGGCAGGGAGGGCCGTGGGGGCAGCGGGCCGAGAGGCGGCCCTGGGGGCAGGGAGGGCCGTGGGAGCAGGGGGGGCCGTGGGAGCAGGGGGGGCAGGGGTCCCCGCCCGGCCTCTGTCAGGGTTCGGTGGGGGTCGCGGCACTTTGGGATGTCGCAGAACTCGAGGCGTGAGCTGGGCTCCGCCGTGTAGCACCACGGCGAGGCCGCTCCGTCCGGATTCCGACAGAAGTTTTCCTCCAGGCCCCTGCATAGGGAATTCGCCATCAGATCGTTTATTTATAACACTCTACACCTCCGATAACTAATTATTTGTACGTGTATACTATTTACCTATTAACGCAGGAAAGACACGTAGGGTCCCACTGCATTGGGATGTTTGGTCAATCCCAGTTACATTGTGTGTGTGTGTGTTTTTTAGCTATGGGAGGAAACCAATAAAACGCAGAGGAAGCCTGCGGGAAACAACGGCAGAAAATATAAAAGTACCGTGAAACCTGTCACCACCCAAAACAACCACTTATTAAGGTTTGCCACGTAAACAAAACGTGTCAATTAGTTACTACTACAGTAACACCGGTGTATGGGACAGTAAACCCACAACATTTACAATTACTGGCTGTGTCGGTTGGTGGCAGGTTTAACAACACATTTATATTTACCTGATCAGACCCAAAAAACTCCCTCTATTATGGATTATATTGGTCGCAAAAGCCTAATACGCGTCAAATAGAAACTCCACACAGGAATCGACCTCAGGTCCGTCTTGCTGTGAGGCACGAAGTGTTACCACTGCACCGCCACCACCCTACTGCCCAACAACTGACGTCAACTTTAGATGTCACGAAAAAATATATATATCAATCACATGAATGATACAAATGCATCGTCAAAAAATTCTAAAGTGATTTCTGCTCAAATGAGCAATGAGGCGGTGCTCATCTCCTGGTTATGGCCCCGTAGGAGCCAGTGTACAGGACAACCACTGTCGACTTCCCTACAAAGTGGTACTCAATTTTATCGACCCCTGAGGGATGATGGGCTGAGTCGCTATGTGTGATCCCAATTGAGTAATTTGCAAGAAATTTAAAAACAAACTTGTCAAATTTGGACAGTGATGCCGGTACACGATGGACCTACTCACTTCAAATGACATCACTGTCAAGCGGACGGCGCCTTTGCGTGTTACGGTGAATATGCTCGCAGGAATAACCAGGGCAGCCTGCCGAACTTGAACCGCTGAACCTCTGCGACAAGCGGCAAATATGCTACCAACCAGGCCCGCATCACCACCCGAAAATTCCGTAATTATGCGCATCATTGCCGATGGTCGTGAGGAGGAGTTAAAGATGCAGTGGGCAATTCGGGCTGCGCACACTGCGACACGGTGCCTCGCTGGTGGCACAGCGGGTGACTCACCTGCAAGGGTACCTCTCCGGCATTATTCCATGCTTGTGAGGGTACTGGGAGTTCCAGGCTTGGCACTGCTTGCCCGAGCGAGTGGTGGACTGGGTGCCTCGGTAGTTCACCCCACTGTCCTCCACGCACCGCTGTGAGGAATTTACGGCCGGCAGCATCACAGGCACTTGCTCTGGAAAAACGGCAAAAGTCGACGCCGATCTCCTGCTGCTCAAAGGAGCTCAGATGCGTTTGCGCTCAATGTCCCGTTTACAGCCCTGCAGAGCCAGTGGTGGAAATTCTACATTCCTATGTGGAGGGGTGTGAGTCTATGCATAGGACAACCGTGGTTGACTTCCCTACAAAGTGCTACATATTTTATCAACCTCTGAGGGACGATAGGCTGAGTAACAGTAAGGGAAAAAAGTATTTGATCCCCTGCTGATTTTGTACGTTTGCCCACTGACAAAGAAATGATCAGTCTAGAATTTTAATGGTAGGTTTATTTGAACAGTGAGAGACAGAATAACAACAACAAAATCCAGAAAAACGCATGTCAAAAATATTATAAATTGATTTGCATTTTAATGAGGGAAATAAGTATTTGACCACTCTGCAAAACATGACTTAGTACTTGGTGGCAAAACCCTTGTTGGCAATCACAGAGGTCAGACGTTTCTTGTAGTTGGCCACCAGGTTTGCACACATCTCAGGAGGGATTTTGTCCCACTCCTCTTTGCAGATCTTCTCCAAGTCATTAAGGTATCGAGGCTGACGTTTGGCAACTCGAACCTTCAGCTCCCTCCATAGATTTTCTATGGGATTAAGGTCTGGAGACTGGCTAGGCCACTCCAGGACCTTAATGTGCTTCTTCTTGAGCCACTCCTTTGTTGCCTTGGCTGTGTGTTTTGGGTCATTGTCATGCTGGAATATCCATCCACGACCCATTTTCAATGCCCTGGCTGAGGGAAGGAGGTTCTCACCCAAGATTTGACGGTACATGGCCCCGTCCATTGTCCCTTTGATGCGGTGAAGTTGTCCTGTCCCCTTAGCAGAAAAACACCCCCAAAGCATAATGTTTCCACCTCCATGTTTGACGGTGGGGATGGTGTTATTGTGGTCATAGGCAGCATTCCTCCTCCTCCAAACACGGCGAGTTGAGTTGATGCCAAAGAGCTCCATTTTGGTCTCATCTGACCACAACACTTTCACCCAGTTGTCCTCTGAATCATTCAGATGTTCATTGGCAAAATTCAGACGGGCATGTATATGTGCTTTCTTGAGCAGGGGGACCTTGCGGGCGCTGCAGGATTTCAGTCCTTCACGGCGTAGTGTGTTACCAATTGTTTTCTTGGTGACTATGGTCCCAGCTGCCTTGAGATCATTGACAAGATCCTCCCGTGTAGTTCTCGGCTGATTCCTCACCGTTCTCATGATCATTGCAACTCCACGAGGTGAGATCTTGCATGGAGCCCCAGGCCGAGGGAGATTGACAGTTATTTTGTGTTTCTTCCATTTGCGAATAATCGCACCAACTGTTGTCACCTTCTCACCAAGCTGCTTGGCAATGGTCTTGTAGCCCATTCAAGCCTTGTGTAGGTTTACAATCTTGTCCCTGACATCCTTGGAGAGCTCTTTGGTCTTGGCCGTGGTGAAGAGTTTGGAATCTGATTGATTGATTGCTTCTGTGGACAGGTGTCTTTTATACAGGTAACAAGCTGAGATTAGGAGCACTCCCTTTAAGAGTGTGCTCCTAATCTCAGCTCGTTACCTGTATAAAAGACACCAGGGAGCCAGAAATCTTTCTGATTTAGAGGGGGTCAAATACTTATTTCCCTCATTAAAATGCAAATCAATTTATAACATTTTTGACATGCGTTTTTCTGGACTTTTTTGTTGTTATTCTGTCTCTCACTGTTTAAATAAACCTACCATTAAAATTATAGACTGATAATTTCTTTGTTAGTGGGCAAACGTACAAAATCAGCAGGGAATCAAATACTTTTTTCCCTCACTGTACCACCCGCCACCTCCGCAACCTTCCGATTGCGAGCTGCTCGCTCCAAAGCTGAGCCACCCAGCCGGATGTAATTGGTTGACTTCCCTACAAAATAGTACTCATTTATATTTAATTAAGAGATGATGGGCCGGGTCAACCGACAATCAGGATGTGAAACTCACAACTTTCCGATTGTGAGCCGCTTACTTCGCACTGAGCCACCTGGCCGGTCGTACCTATTTATTGGACATCACTCCTTGTTATTGGTGAAAAAGAACTTCATAGCTCATCGGATTCCTCCAGTATAAATCCATATGCTGATTCTGTTGTTGAAGTTCCCCAGTAAGTTAAAACAGTAACATGCGATTGAGAAAATAATAAATAAAATAATTGTAACCGTTCTGATAACTACATGCTTAGTGCTGCGTGGAAGCGTATTATTAAGTAATACTACACTGTTTAATTGCATGCCTATACAGGTCACCATATATTATATGAGTCTTTCGGTAAAGCCACGTAGATAGAAAAATAAAAAAATATCACGACGTATCGATCGCAACACAAGCAATCGTCTTCAGGTGAGAGAGAGAGAAAGCTGCTGAAACAAGGTCTTATATAGGCCTGAGATGGGTGCATCAAGGGAGGTGGGTGGAGCTAGAGGTGGTCCAACCACAGAGGCTGGGGCAGTGGCCTTTGTATTGTGAGAGATTAGCCTGTAGGGCGCTACCAAAGCTGTGGAGGTGGCCATTGTGTTGTGTGTAGCCCAAGGGTAAGTGGGCGGGCTAGAGATGGTATTTGCATGTAAATGTAAGATCGGAGGGCGCCCTGAGGCTGTGGATGTGGCCATTGTATTGTGAGAGATTAGCATGTCAATGTAAGAGAACCACCGCAACAGTGGATGTGCAAGTGAGACATCCAGCCTGTCAATGCAAAGACATCCAACCTGGCAATGCAACTCAAAGAGTCAGAAATAACAGCTAACATCGGCAGGTAGGATGGAAACATCACATCACAACCAATTAAAATGGTGAATATTTGAACCGGTCTTGGGCCTCCCCTAGGTCGACTCAACCGCAAACGAGTACCTGGTGTGAAAACATCGCCACGAGGAAGACAAAGGCGGCCAACGGTGGTGTTGGCCACCCATCCCCTTGCATTCCGTACCGGCCTTCAAAGGTACTACCCGCTGATATCACTTTCCCCAACAGCCCATTACAGGCTACACGGGGGATTTGAGGATGAGCGGTGGCGGGGAGGGCGAGCAGCATGGACTCACGGCATTTGGGAACCGCGCAGAGCTCCCAGCGCAGCAGTGGGTCCGTGGTGAGACACCAGGGCCTCGGCTGCCCGTCCGGGTTCCGGCAGAAATTATGCCTCATGTCGTTGCCTGGGAATCTGGAGAGAAGCTGTGAATTATTTGTCTGCTTTGTGCATCTGGTATTCGTGGATGCATTTTTTTTTTATGTACATTAATTTGTGTCTTCTTGGTTCTTTCGGTAAAGTCACATAGCATGAGAATAAAACAATAAAACAAAATAACAGAACAGAACTGTCGTCCCGACAGAACAGAACTGTCGTCCCGACAGTTCTGTTCCTTCACCTGAAGAAGGCTACTTGTGTTGTGGCCGAAACGTCGTGAAAATTGTATTGTTTTATTTTGTTTTATTGTATTATTCTCATTCTACGTGACTTTACCGAAAGAACCAAGAAGATGAATCATTGCAGTCACGAAAGCTTTAAATCGAAAATTTATTTGTGTGTTTTTGGTACAAGGTAATGGTGGTGTGGGGCCCTGCTGATGGAGAGGCCTCTGCTAGAGCGAACTGACACATGCAAGTTTCAGTTGACAACACATCCGTGTCACTTGGATATGCTTTGTAGGATTGATGGAGCGATGACTGGCGCGCATCACGACCGTGTGCGCCAGTAGCTCGGCAGTGGAGCAAGTGCCTCACAATCAGAAGAGTTGCGAGTGCGAATCCAAATTGGGGCATTGATTCAACCCATCATCCTTCTCTCCTTGGATCGATAAAATAAGTACCACAGTGGTGGTCCCCACTGGCTAATGACTGGAAACCGATTATCAGATTTAACAACACACACACGGGTGTGTGGCGTTGCAGGCACAGCGCTCACAGCCTTGTCCAGACCATTCACTCAAAAATAACTGAATGTGTGGCCACGTTGGCGTTTCGAATCACCCCCTCAAAGAGTTGACAAAATGTGGCCATCCTGGCAGGAGGTGACCACCGCCGCAACGCCCAACTGAGTGGGAAGTTATTTTACATAATCAAGAGCCGTGAAGACGCCGCAGTGGTGAGATGTTAACTCCCTCGCCTGGTCGTGGGTTTGATCCCGACCCTGACACCTGTAAATTTGGAGTTTGCGTGTCTCTCTCTCCGTGGTCGCGTGGATTTTTCTCCAGGTCCTCCAGTTTTTCCCTCCATGTTTAGAATGAACATCACACATTTAAGAATAGTTGGCTGCTATAAATTTCCACGTGATGATAAGCCACTTCGTTGAGCGATCATTTGTGATAAGCAGGTCGCTTTTGAAGTAGAGCTACACAGCTCAGTGGGCCTTAAAAAATAGTATAGTTTTAATAGTTTCAGATTAATGGAGCTTGTGTGTAGAGTGGGTGCTATAGGCGTGTGTAACCTGTTGGCTGTGAAACTGTGAGTGTGTGGAGATTGAAAGTCCCATCGCTGGCATTCTTTCCCCGATTGCGTTTGAGAAACATTTCCCTGATAATCTTCCCCGGAGCACTGGTAACAGTTTTCTGAAAAGAGGAAAAGAAATATATGAACTTTGTATGTATGTTGAACTGTTTCGCACTGTACGCAGCCAACCATGCTATATCCCATGATATAGTGGGGCAAATATTTACAGCAAAGAGTCTGAACCATATCTTTGCTGTGATTCAGACCGCATGGTAAATATTATCATTTTTACATTCTGAGTAAAGCATCAATGTAAAACGTACAAGATACCCATTCGTATCATACACTCTCGGTCCAATAGGGCCAGTACAAGTAGCGCCAACACGGACGTCTCAAGCTCAAGTTGACTTTGTCTGACCATGTGAGAACTTAAGAGATGAGGATGAGTCTCACTTGCAAGAATGAGCTGGGTCACAAAACCGTAAAAAGCAATAACGTGAAAACTAAGTACAGCAACGAAGTGCAACCGCTTGCGTTATATATATCGTCTACGTTGTGCCCACACCTACATTATGGGTCATCCAAAAGCGAGCGTGTTTGCGCTGGTGGGATGCGGAGAGTTACTTGTGTTTGGCTGAGACTGATCCCGGCAGGCAGGCACACTGCAGACCTCCCATCGCTGGGCTGGGTCGGTGGTGTAGCACCAGGGCCCTGACACGCCATGATCCGGATTCCTGCAGAAATTATCCTCCAGCCCTAACTCGGGGTGAGTCCAAGGCGTGAAGCTAACACAGAGCAAAAAACACTCAAAGTTGATTTTGGCCTTTCAATCAAAGCGGGAACAACTCGGTTAAACGTCGTAGTAGGCTTTCCCGACCAATATTATCCATAAGAGTTTTTTTGGGTTAGACCACGTAAATATAAATGTTGTTAAACCAGCCACCACCCGATACAACCAATTAATAAGGTTTCTCACGTAAACAAAACGTCGCAATTAGTTACTAATTCAGCATACCGGTGTGTCTTATCAGGCGACAGCCAGAAATGTGGAGAAATCCTCCTCCTGTTTTGGTCTTAAATACAGATATAAATGTGATGTTGTCATTTGTAAGCCAATCAGATGCGAAGACCAGAAGGAGGGGGGAGGTAAATGTGTTCATATATATTATTATCTTTACTACTCGGCTTCGCCCGAGACTTGGATTGTTGTCTTGGATTAATACACGGCCGACGCGGAGGGTTGGGGGGGGTATGCGTGACGTCAGCACTGGTGGGATGCGGATAACATCACAGATGTAACGTCACAGATGTGACGTCACCACTCACTTGCCGTGCAAACTATATCCATTATTGCTACCCCCCCCCCCCCAAAAAAAGTATATTTTATACGTTTTCCATTGTGTACAGTCTGGACGCTACCCACATGCCAAATTTCAAGTTTGTTGCATGTCGGGAAGTATGCTAAACATTTCGAACAGCAACACATATTCACAAATTTCCCTTTTATATATAGACAATGAATATCTACCCAAACAATAATAGATATCGCCTGATGAGGCTGGTTGTAATTACCGACGAAACGTCGCACTCAAATTGTAAATGTTGTGGGTTTACTCTCCAACACACAACCGGTGTACCAACTAATAATAACTAATTGTCACGTTTTGTTTACGTGACAAACCTTACTAATTGGCTGTGTCGGGTCGTGGCGGGTTTAAGGACACATTTATTTTTACGCGATCTAACCTAGAAAAAACTCTATTATGGATGGGAACAACCGCTCGGGGTTTCTGTTGAATATCACAGAACAGTGTGGGGATGACCACACATTATCTCAACCCTTTTGGGTCGGTGGTTCTAACGGACAAAATGGCCACGAATTCAGTTATTTTTAGTTGGCAGTCTGGAAAAGGCTGAGTGTGTTTGTGCATGCAAATGACGCATGACTTTGTGTGTTGTTGATTCTAAGTGTTGGTTGATGTGAAGGATCTGACACAGAGGTGTGTATGCGGCTTACATAAACATTCTGCCGAGTATGTAGCCGCTGGGAAAATTGAGCAGTCAGTGCACAAAAGTGCAGCGCGAGTAAGTTAAATCAACGTGGAGCGTCGTCTGTGCTTGGCAGGACCTTGCTTAATGTTTCCAAACCAACTCCACAAATATCGAGGGCTCAATGAGTCACCTTGTGTTTGGGTGAGCATCACAAACATGTGGAATGTAGCTGACCTGGGTGAACCGCGCAGGGTAATTATGAAGTTAAAAACGCTAGAATATAAGGTGTAACACAAACATTAGCGTCGTTGTTGATGAAGCAAGTGACAGTGTGTATACGCAGACACTACGCCTCCATTCCACGTGTGAATTTCCACGTTAAAAAAAGTATTTATTTCCCCATTTCATCAGCCACATGGCCCCATTCTGGAAGTAGAGCATTTTAGCAGCATTGGTTCAACACAAGCAAAACTCTGGATAGACCGGTTTTGACATTCAGTGTCTAATCAGTGGATTCAGGCTTGATTAAAACAAAGCTGATAAAGTGCCAGATGTTTATAGGTAAGAAATGGGTCTGCTGGGTTGTGTGGAAATATATATTTTAAAAAATGGAACATTTGTGTGGAAACGTGGAATTTTCACAGTTGTCTCATGGTTGACATTGCAGATGTCCCCATGCTTGTTTTAACAGAGACACTTGGGTTTTGGCTTCTTGACTTTAAGTAGCATTGTCAGTTACTGCTGTGCATTAACTGTTAAGTGCATTAGGTGGACAGTTTTGGAATCATTAAATGTATGACATCACTTTAAAACATCCACGAACATACTGCATTTTTTTCTGGTGAAGAAATACACAAATCTAGAAACACGTAGTAACGAATTGGCACGTTTTGTTTACGTGACAAAGCTTACTAATTGGCTGTGTCGGGTGGTGGCAGGTTTAGCGACACATTTTTTTTATACACGATCTAACCCAAAAACCTCTATTATGGATAATATTAGTCGCAAATCCTCCTACGTGATAAACTGACATAGATGCTGTCTGAAAAGAATGTGAACATTCTCATAAAATGGCATTTATATCTCTATTTGGATGAGGAAAGGCATGACACATTACGCATCTGTAATTAAGTTGGAATGCATACGACGCAAATTAAATGAAATCACCAGCAACAACGACCGCCCACCTATCATCTGCTATGCAAATTCATGCAACTTCGCTGTCAAATGTGAGACAGAATATTTGGAATATTCACAGCATAAAGGCTTTTGGGAAAATGGCATACTCAATTTCCATGAATTCAAGTGAAATAGCCGGCGGTGGAGATGTGCTAGGATACGCAGCTAACGCCACACCGGCACTTCTCAGAACACCAAACACGTGCATTGAAACTTCACAGAACGACTCCTATTGCTACACTGCGATGTCTCCGCTGTGGAGAAACGGCAGTGACCACAGACTGCTGACGTGTGAATATGTTTTATATCTGGAGTCCTACATTTAAATTTCAACCACTGGACATGAACATTACACATACGTTTAGGTGATTGCTGAAAACACAATCAACTGTCATTTATCTTGCGTTAGTCCACTCGCATCGAGAGAAAGGCAAATACTTGGGGCGGTGTGGCTTGTTCGTGCTCCAGAATTGGCACTGGCGTCCTGATGTTGTTTTGGAGACCGTCCCTCTGTAGGAAATGCCAAGGCCCACCATGCAGTCTTGCAAATAAACTGAGAAATGTTAACACAAAGACACGTGAATCCCGTGCACCTTGCGGGTAGTTGGTAATTATATCCATAAGGTTATACATTACTGCATAAAATTTGTATTACACGCAGCAGCAACACTCATCGCCCCCTACTGGAAGACCGATGCCTACTTGCAGGCTGGCGCAGTCACCTCGTGTCGCACAGGGACAGCTGCCATTGGGGGTGCCCTTTAAATGTTTTAAATAAGATTATAATAATTTAAATTTATAAAGCGGCCTTAAACAGGTGATGTAAGGGGCTCTGAGTTGCTAAAGCATTTAAGCAATGCAATCTAAATGCAAATATTTATTATTATATACTAGTTGTTTGTGTAACTTATCAATGGTATAGCGTCACCAGCCACCCACGGGTGCCATAGTGACAAGATGTCAACTACTTCGCCTGATATACAGGAAACTGTGGGTTCGATCCCGACCCTGTCACCTGTATATTTTGAGTTCACGTGTCTCTCTCCGTGGTCAGATGGATTTTTCTCCGGGTCCTCCGGTTTTTCCCTCCACATTTATAAATATGCGTTTCGAGTATTTGGCTGCTGTAAATTTCCACATGATAAGCCGCTTCGTTGAGTTATAATTATAATTTGTGGCCAGATCACTTCTGAAAAAAGCTACATAGCTCAGTGGGCCTTACCAAGTAAAATTAAAAAAAGTTTATAGTTTAGCTTAGACTCACTGCCCCTGTTCAAGCGTGGGCTCAATACCTTCCTTTTGCCTCTGTCTATGAATGATTCTCTACATGCAGTAAATATTCCAGGGTAATTCTGTTCAGCACCATGCAATGCACTAACATTATTTACACGCCACTTCAATCCACACGCATTGCAGTTTTATTGTGACCCCGTTGCTAGATGGGGGTTTTGTTTCTCTGTGGATGGAGGCTTATCACAAATGCACAGAACGGAGGTTCAAGCCCACGTCTGGATTTCGCCTGGACAGTTTGGGAACTGGCATCTCTGTTTGGCTGGCAGGTATTGATTTGTACCAAGATCTGCTGCCGGTAATTGTGTGGAACTTTATCACTGTAAACTCCAAAGTTTTGATAGACCTGGAAAGAAAAATGGAAAAAGTGGCAGTCCTTAAGTCCGGAATGGGTCGCCACCACAAATGCCCAATTCCACTTTCCCATCAGTGGACACACTTCCACGTTTTTTATTCTCTGCGATTTTGGCCCTGCACTCGTTTCACGTGTCATGGCAGTTGCGGGAAGCTTCATTATTTTTTTTATTTATCTCTGCCCTGCCTCCCGCACCACTCCGACTCCACTTCATCCATTTTTCCAGTGCACAACGGCGGAGTGCGGTCTGGCAAACTGTGGAATTGCCCCCCACCCACCCCCCGATGCATAACAAAAAAACTAATTTTCCACAAAAAAACAGCCACCATATCACCAAAATGTGGAGGAATCGCAGCACAAACCCATTGAATAAATTCTACCCTGTCTCAAAATACGTCCAGAGAATTTTGTATAAAAGTTTAAACGTGTGATTTATTTTATTTTATGCCTACGTGACTTTACCGAAACAACCAAAGAGTATAAAGTTTAAACAATTAAAGCCTTTGCTGGCTGCGCAATGGGCTCGTGAATTCCAGATTAAAATACCATGCAAACACTTATATTCAATTCCGTTATTATAAGACAAACATCTTTAAAAAGTATATATATATCTCCAATATGAAAACAAGACCCTTTTTGACGTTGAGTTTGGCTGAAAAGTCTTTCTCATGAACGTACCGATTTTCTCATACAGTGAGGAGCCAGGTTTGGCAATGGCTGTTTTCATGAGGCTGTTGACTGGCAAGGTAGTGCACTGGTTACTTTCCACATCGTACACAAATGCCCTGAAAACGTGAACAAAAAAAATGGTTATAATCATATTCACAAGAAACAGCACAGTACATGAAGATTCATATGAGATGTTTGTATAATGTCAATGTAAAAGACGTTCGGACGATAATACTGACCTGCAAGTGAACGTGGTTTCGGCATTGCACACTTTGGCACACTTTTCCAAAGTCTCAATGACATACGACAGCTGTGTGATAGATTGAAGGCTCGAGTCTGGAGTTAATTTATACGCTTGAAGGTTGCTCGTGAGATCTGTAAAAAAAGTACTTTTGACATTTTTTCTGGGTAATGGTGGAACATAACGTCATAACACTGCACTATGAACCCCGAAATTTCAGTTGTATTCCTTGATTAACATCAGTGGTAACGTTGCTGCCTGTCCAAGTTTGACCCGGACAGTCGAGGAATTGGCATCTGTGTTTTGGTGACAGGTATTTATTTGTAAAGAAATCTGCTGCCGGTATTTCCTTGATCTTTATTGCAGTTAAACTGCACAAGTCTGATAGACCAAAGGCTGATTGAGAAATACGTTCTGGATTGGTCTGCAGTGCTTGATCTTTATTGCAGTTAAACTGCACAAGTCTGATAGACCAAAGGCTGATTGAGAAATACGTTCTGGATTGGTCTGCAGTGGAAAAGGTGGCAACCGTCATGGCAAGTGAAATCTGAACTGCTCCTGGGCTCTCCACCGTCACCAACCCGCACGGACCAGCAGAGTGAAGTATGCTCAAACAACCCCCATGACCCACAAAGATAATGATCCCCTGTGTAGCCTTAACAGATCGTTGGGGCAAATGCTCTTAGCGAACATCTATGAAGGTCGGAACGGCACACGAGGGGGTGGGTGGCCAGCATCACACCCGGCCGCCTTTGTCTCCCCAGTGGCGATGTTTACACACCGCACCAGGTACTCATTTGAGGCTGAGTTGACCTCGGGGAAGATGCCCAGGACCGGTTCAGATAATCGTCACTGGTGTTAGCCGTGAGCGGGAATCGAACTCGGGTGGTCGGGTCCGTCGTGCAACAGGCTTAACCGCCGCTCCCACTCGTGGTACCATAGTGGCTGCACCGGTTATCTTTGGATTTCTGTTGGTGAGAATTTATTTTTCCAAAGGCTCCTTCCATATGAACGTCACCTACAGGATGCAGTCTACATGGGTCAGCTGCCCACGCAGCTTCAACGTCGCTCTCAGGCGAGTTCGCACACCTTGCATTCAAGTTGCTTTAATTAGAATACCTTTTTTACATATAAAAGCCCTCTCAAATAAATCTAGCTAAAATTTATAGCACGTCACATTTGACAAGATTTGAAAAGTCAAAGTACAGGAGGAGTGTGTCACATTATAAACAGCAGACTCATTTATACAATACTACATGCTATTAAAATTAACACGATGCAGCAAAGATAATACTATTGATATTATTACCTTGTGCGGCGCTCCAAGTTTCAAATGTGAAGAGACAGAGCAACGAGGAGAGGATCTGCCAATGCATTTTGTCTGTAGCAGAGCCTAGCTCCGAGATGAAGATTCATCTAGAGTCTGCTCAAAGTCTGCTAGGATTATTGATTTTTTTTTAAATAAACGTTCTCTTAATATTTAACAGAACCATGCTGAGTACAGAGCATTGCTTGAAAGGGGTGACCAAACTGTGTTAAACCAGGAATGTTATTATTTGTGTTCAACTGTCTGTGTGTGTGTACAATGTAGTTGAGGAGCGGTAGTGTAGTGGTTATCCCGAGTTCGATTCCCGCTCACGGCAACCAATACCAGTGACGATTATCTGAACTGGTCCTGGACCTCTCCTAGGTCGACTCATCCTCAACATGACTACCTGGTGCGGTGTACAAATATTGCCATTAGGGAGACAAAGGCGGCCAGGCGTGGGGCTAGCTCCCCACCTCGTGTGGTATTCCGGCCTCCATAGGTGCTCGCTAACCGCACTTCCCCCAAGAGTCTGTTAAGGCCACACAGGGGATCTTTGTCTTCATACAGTAGAGAGCAGGGGTCCCCAACCCCCTGTTAGGAACTGGGGCCGCACAGCAGCAGGAGGTGAGCGGTGATTAATGGGCTGACAGGCGCCAGCCTGGCTAGCCTTACAGAGACACACGAGAGCTCTCGGATAATACTGGTAGGAACGAAGTTGTAAACTGAGTGTACCAGCCTGCAATAGATTAATGTGTCCGTCCGTCCGTCCCCTTTCAATACTTTAACGAAGTGAAATCTCGTGCTGTTGGGTGTAAAATCAGCAATAGACAGCACAGAGACTTGTCCTACCAGCCCACCCTGCAGGGACCTGTTTGGCAGGAGGATAAAAGGTTGTGTGTGTGTGTGAGCGGAACGAGAGAGTTGTTGCGGTGACAAGAGTGAGGACATTTCGCCACTGCTGCTCGAGCCGTCTCAACCCTCACGCGTCGCCGGGCGGGTGCTGGCTGATCCCCCCGCCCGGGACAGACGGGTGAGCAGGTCCGAGGGAACGTCGGTGAAGGCAGCAGTGGAGTTAGAGAAGCTGCTGTATGCTGAGACGCTGTGTGCGAAGACGCTGTGTGCTGAGACGCTGTGTGCTGAGACGCTGTGTGCGAAGACGCTGTGTGCGAAGACGCTGTGTGCGAGGACGCTGTATGCGAAGACGCTGTATGCTGAGACGCTGTATGCTGAGACGCTGTGTGCTGAGACGCTGTGTGCGAGGACGCTGTGTGCGAAGACGCTGTGTGCGAGGACGCTGTGTGCGAAGACGCTGTGTGCGAAGACGCTGTGTGCGAAGACGCTGTGTGTGAGGACGCTGTATGCGAAGACGCTGTGTGCGAAGACGCTGCGTGCGGAGTCGCTGAGAGCAGAGCTGCTGAGTGCAGGCTAAGTGAGGTACAGAAGAGATAGGAACGGGGACAAGTTGAGTATACGTGACGGTACAGATAGTTGTAGGTGCGCCTACAACTGGTGCAAGAATAGGTGAATAAAGTGTAAGCAGGTGACCTGTTACAACGTGTCAGTCTGAGTGATTTTACAAAACACGACACTAGTAACTCATTGGCATGTTTTGATTACGTGAAAAACCTTACTAATTGGCTGTGTCGGGTGGTGGTGGGTTTAACAACACATTATATTCACGCGATCCAACCCCAAAAAACCTCTTATTGATAATATTGGTCGCAAAAGCCTACGTGTTAAATAGCCTATGTGATAAAAATGGGCTTAAATCTGTTTAGTGTTTCATTAGTACTGTAGATTCATTAGTAAACAGTCGCCTTCCCATTCATCAGAACCTCAATAACGTCCTTTGTTGTCACTTGAAGTCACGCTGCAAACGCTTTTGGACCCAGGCACTTAACCTTCAGCCAGGGGCGGAGCCAGGGGGTGACAGGGTAGACAATTGTCACCCCCGAAAAAAATTGAAAATCTGAAACATTCTGCGTATAAGTGTACGACACTCGGTCTGGTGGACTCCGTGCAACTGCATTGTCAGAGTGTGTCGCCAACCGATGGCGTCTAGTTCAACAGCCTGACTCTCTAATCATTCTTGAAATTAACATTTGTTGAATGTCACCCCGGGCTGAAAATCCTGGCTCCGCCCTTGCCTTCAGCAATGCGAGTTCAACCCCGATTAAGCTTGGACAGCTGAATGGAGTTCAAAATAACTCATAAACACCTTGTCGTAAAAGACCCAACGCAGAAGATACCCTGGGTTTGATCTTCCACGGAGCTCATGGGCCACCCTAAATCGCATCCACCACGAGGACCCTCCCCTCCCACACACAGCACAGCTGCTAAAGAGCTCCGGGCCATGCTGTGCCCCCTGCTGCCACGGAACGTTCGATTGATACTCGAACATTTTCTTGTTTTGTGAACAAATTCGTTTAGATTCACATTGCTCGTAATAGCGAGTTTTCGTACAAAGAACGCTCGTGAAGGGAGACACACTTGCAGTGATCACCACCGTACCTCGGGTTCCTTCTTCATGTTTACATTTCTCATATCGATCTGGGAGAATCTGTGGTGATGCAGAGAAACGTATTTTTTTATTGGTAAGAGGTTGGACACTGAAGGAACGAGATGGCAGGTTTTCAGGAAACTATTTACTTATCACCAAAGTGAAATAAGTAAAATACATTTATCTTATAACGTCCCGCGAAATACAGGTGTGTGTGTGTGTCGCTGTTCGCACCAGAGTACTGCTACCTGTGCGCCAAGAGTCCAAGTTTGTGTCTCTCGCTGTAGACAACACCCTGACCCTTGCTTGATCTTGTGGTCAACAAAACAAAGATCCCCCGTATAGCCTTAACAGACTGTAGTGGCAAGTGTTGTTTGCGAGCACCCTTGAATTCCGGCACGGCACACGAGCGGTTGGGTGGCCAGCACCATGCCCGACTGCCTTTGTCTCTCCAGTGGCGATGTTTACACACCGCACCAGGTACTCATCTGAGGCTGAGTCGACCAAGGGGAGACCCAGACCTGTTGAAATAATCATCACTGGTGTTGGCCGTGAGCAGGAATCGAACTCGAGTCGATTCCTGCTCATGGCCAATGCCTTGGTAGTTATGATACCTCGTTACGGACCGAATGATCGAGTCACTACCGCAGAACAGGCTGATGAAAAATAAAGAACACTTTCGCTAAACGCATCGCTTCTCTTAGTTTTAATATTTGTAACGTCGCCTAGATTTTAACTAGATAGAAACGGTAAGACTCCGACAACCGTGTACGTTTCAACCAAAATGTAAAACACATCTATATTTTAATAAAGTGTTTCCACAATTGGAACAATCGGTAGTGTCTACTCTTACTCTGACTGTTCTGCCTCACGGCAAGTGTCTTGCCTCACGGCAGATGTGGGGCGTATGTACACAGGAATTTCCTGTTTTTGAAATAGGGGGGTGGTCACGTGACCAGGAAGTTGCGATTTTAGATTTCCGCTGAACCACGCGGGCGTCGGCCATTAAAAACATAATTCAAGATGGCGGCACACATCGCAGCTCCGTGAAGACAGCTGCAGCCACCGTTGTGGGACTTTGGGAAGCATTGTCTGTAAGTTCGTTTGTGTTCTTATGATACTGGCAATGTTGCTATAATATTAGAAGGACCTTTATAATGCTGTTATAACGCTAGAACCTTTATAATGCTGTTAAATTGTCACGATGTATGTGGGGCCTAGTTGACAATAAAGCCTGCAGCTTGCCTTGTGATTTACCGGTAATCGAGTAAGTAGATTCAAACTTGAAATAACAAAATGTCTCATTCATAAGACAACGTTATGATGCTGTGGTGTTTATTCATTGTGTTGGTTTTTCTGGGTATTAACAGATGCTGTATCTGTGCTGTTTTCTTACCAGTTTTACCTCTCTCTACCGTTCAATTTCAATAAATGACGTTCGGAGTCAGATGTTCACCCTGGCTCTGAGGGTTTATTGGAAACGCGAGGTTATCTACTCAGCTAGCTCTGCAACGCAACGCAGAGTGAGGCCGAGATAGTAAAAAGACATTCTTCTTGGAGCTCTCAAGCAGTCAGCCTGCAGCAAGCAACGAGCCCTCAAGCAGTCATCCTGCAGCAAGCAAGGAGCTAGTCAGCCTGCAGCAAGCAACGAGCTCTCAAGCAGTCATCCTGCAGCAAGCAAAAGAGCTCTCAAGCAGTCAGCCTGCAGCAAGCAACGAGTCTGCATTAAAAATTGTGTTGCAAGCATATCAGCATGGAAAGCCACAGTTCAGCAGGGAGAGATGCTGAAGAAGGTGATTTAGGCAATCCAGGACCTCCCATCCAGCCACAAGAGGACCAAGGAAGTTCAAGGCCCCAAAGAGAGGTCAGGCTGACACAACGGGCCTTGGAAAGCTATGATGCTGAGAAGCAAGACCTTGATGCCAGGATACAAAGGGCATGGGACTGGGTTGAAGCTGATATATCTGAAGCTGCAAATGCCTCAGACACAGTGGCCTCAATTCAGCGGGCCATCCAGCGAGTGAAGGTGAGCAGCTCAAGCTACAAGCTCCTGGCAAATAAATACATCTCCCTCCTGATGAAGATGAAAACAGATGAGGGCCTTGAGGGAGTGCGCACGCAAGAGAACTTCCTAGAACTGCTCGATGATAATATACAGGCAGTGATACAAGATGCAATAGACCGTGTGGAGGGCTTAAGAGAGACCCGATCTCAGCACTCTGTCTCATCCAGGTTCACCACAAGATCTAAAGGGTCAGCACACTCAAAGACATCATCTACTAGTATGGCAGCAGCTCAGGCACGCGCAGCAGCAGAAGCAGCAAATGCCCGTATTGCCTACATGGCTGAAGAGGAAGCCATGCTAATTGAAAAGGCCCACTTACAAGAAGAAGCAAGCATAGCAACTGCTGCCGCACGAGAGCAAGAGAGTATATTAGTGGCTACTGCCACACGGAAGAAAATTGAGCTGGATGCTAAGTTAAGTACCCTACAGCTCAAAAAAGAAGCAGCTGCTGCAAGGGCCCAAGCAGAGGTGCTCCAAGCAGCAGCCAATCTGGATAAGGAAGAGAATTGGAGTGAGTTTGGCACTCAGATACCTGTCAAGGACCGTGATCAACTCACCAGAAAAAATATTTTGGACTGGTCTGAACAATGCATCAATGCTCCTCCACCAAACGATACTGAACAAATAGTGGACGTTCAGGCATCGCCATCTCCACACCGAATGAACATGAATGCTGTCTACGGGAATGGTGGAAATGCATATCCTGCCCTGGCAGCTAGTCGTCGACTCAGCGTCGCACATGTGG